TGCCCTACGTTTCGCAAAAAAAAAAAAAAAAAAAGGAAAAAAAAAAAAAGAGAATTGGACGATGAATGTCACGCGTGCAATCGTTTTCTTTCTTTTTTTTTTCTACGTTTTATTTTTAGACCTACCACTTTTATACGTTTTGCACATGATTAAACGGTCCGGAACGGATCATCCCGCTGGTCTTCTTGTACATACAAGATAAGAACTGATGATATGCATTTTCGAATCTTCTTCAGGATGTCGCGACGCCGGTGTAGAATAAATGACAGCCGGCAGAGCTCGCTGGTGCTCGAAGCTGATCACGAGACTATGTATTACATAATCGATGCGTTGTAAACACTTCAACATATGTACACACACTGCACTGGATATGTAAGCTCCTCTCGGTGCGAGGAAGATAGGGAAAAATGAAAAAACACAATGACAAAATGCGTAGAAGAATAACGATCTATTCGAAAGAAACATTGGATTTCTCATTTTTTGCGTCGTTCTTCCACTCATTTTGTCATTGTGTGTGTGTGTTTTTTTTTCTTTTTTTCCGTATCTTTGTACAACGCTTCGATCATCGATTATCTAGTAATACGTAGTCTTCGCTCCCCAGCGATCTGTTGGCGTCGCGACGGCCTGAAGAAGATTCGAAAATGCGTATCGTCGGTAAACCGACTTTCTGGCGACGTTGTGGAGGGGGAAGGGGAGTCTCTCGACGCGGCGGCGCACAGTAGAGAATTCCCCCCTCCCACGATCCGCGGTTTCTGACGCGTCCACACTGTAAATACCCCACACACTATTAGCACCCTTTAAAAGAAAAAAGAAAAAAAAAAGTACTATGTATAAAATTTCATACGTTGTTTAGATTTCTAGCATTAGTTATTCGAGATCAGTTACCAATTATATGAACAAATTGCAAATAAAGCGCAAAAAATAACGCATCGTATCGTTAATGGCCCCCTTCCTCTTTTTTCCCCCTCCCCAACCCCCTCGTTTCATTTTGCATCTCGCACGTGTTGAAGTTGTACGACACAAGGATTGATTATTGGATGAGGATAATTTTTGTTTCTTTTTTTGGTACCTTTTTTTTTTTATTGAGAGTTGCGAATATATATACAAAGGATGACGAACTAATAATAACTATTACATTAGAATCAAATAAACAAAGGTTATGATAGCATTAACGTGTGTTAATATTTGTTTAAATAACATAATGTTCGTATGTGTGTGTGTGTGTGTGTGTGTGTATCAAATTTTTCAAAAGATGTCACTGCATATTCCACAGGTGTCTCGTCGTCATTTATTTATTCGTATTCTTCTTTTAATTATACACACACATATATATATATGTATGTATAATTGCTTTTGCGCTATATCAACATGGGTTTCGATACATTCGATCCTCGAGAGGAAAAAAAAAAAGTTCGAGTTCGAAGGTCAAATGTAATGGTCGAAGATTTGCTGCGTTCGAAAAGGAAGGAAAGGAAAAGAAAAAAAAAAAAAATAGTACCGGATCCATCGAACATTTGTTAATTAAGATCGGCAGTCGATCGATTTATATCAATTTATCCACTCGATGGAACGAACCACCTCTTTTTCCTTAACTCGACTAAAACGATAAACGATAAAAGTTAGAATTTAGAAAAATAAGTAACTACCACCTGATTAGTATCTCCTTACATAACCCCTTTTTTTTTTCTTTTGAATAAATAGTAACGCGGTAATCGTTCTCGCGCGACAAACGAGCCGTGATTATGGTTTCACAGTTTGCGAATCGGGGAGGTATATCTGTTTTTACCGCTTTGTTTCTTCTTTTCTTTTCTTCGTAATATAACGCGGTAAGCTCGAGTGTATGAAAAGTGAAAAACATTTCTATGTCAACTTCAAAGACTCGCGTCCGTGTCCGCCATGTTTGTGACTTGTGCGTTTAAATCGCGACAATTGTTGATTCACTCGTCCGTGGCGGAGCCTAAGATCCGAGGGGTATGCGATTACTATTCGACGCAGATACAAAATCGTATAAAAAAATATGAACACGTTTCCATATTCGTCGAACATGTACTCTCGACGAGGATTTCTATTTCGATTCGCAATCGTGAAAACGCTCGAAACGATTCGACTGAAGTAAGCCAATGATACTTCCAACGTTTCATCCCGCCCGTTTTACAATATAATCTCCGTATTTCGATCTGATCGCGTTGCAACTTTGCCGGTGTGGAGTTTTCCTTTGGACACATCCTTTAAGAAAAAAAGAGAAAAAAAAACAAAGAAAATAAATTCAACGAGGGGGGACAAATCGTTTCGTACAAAAGTAGTGTCGACTCCGTACGAAATATTATCGTGAAGTTGGCGAAGAGACAGTGAGAACGACCTGTGTATCGCGTCTAACGGGCGCCAAAAGACTGCCAAAACTTTGTCTTTTTTTTTTCCGTCATAAATTCTCAACAATCGGGAGACGTCCAAAACCTAACATTGATGCACTTTATTTTCTTGTTTCTCTTTTTTTTTCTTCTCTTCTTTTTTTATTGCTTTTTTCCCCATTTTCATTGCCACCAACATCGTCCTCGGTTGTTTTATTTTTCGTATAATAATAAAATATCTTTCCCTTAGGTGTAAGTCGATCGATCAATCGATCGGCGCACTTCACATCCGTCGCTTTGTCGATCCGCGCATGCTCGTCTCACACTCTCACGTCTCAAAAAAATATCTCCCCACCGTGGAAACGCGTCGAATGATTTTTTTTTTTTTGAAACAATTTCTCCAGCAACGCTGACAGTAGTCAATAAATAGGTGTGTACGGATTTTCGTGCAAAATCTAAAGACACGAGAAAAAAAAGAAAGGAAAGAAAGATACAAATGTTACGCAACGTGTAACATGCAAAAATCTGTATAAAACATCTACGATCGAAGAATTCGTTAAAATACATCAGGGCAACAAAGCAAATTTCTGCTCAGACTCTGTCTTTCCATATCGAAACTATTCCTTTAAAAATAAAAATTTGCATAAAAATCCGCAGTTCGACAGGATTAAAACTTGAACCGAACTTGATGAGGGCTCTCCTCGTAAGTACGAGTCCCTCGAGAGCTACAACATTAATGCTCCTCTCTCGGTCGTGTTTCCTCTGTCTGCGCGCCAGAGGATGCGCAATCGCACACTACCAGTAGAAACTACTGCCAGTAGAAACACCATTACGCTTTGTCAGACACATGGATCCACGAACATCGACGCTTCTTGGATCTTTACCAGCGTGGATTTATTATTACTAATTCTATTACTCGATTACTCTTACATTGGAACTACATACAGGGTGTCTCAGAGTTTAACAGCCAAGCTTGGTCAGCGTTATTATAAATATATATATATATATATATATATGTATATATAATCAAGCAAAAAATGTAACACGAACATGACTTCTGGTTAATCTGTCGTTTTTAATGTCGAATCGTCGTCGTCGTGAACAAAACTTCAAGCAAAAAAGATGTGTCGAACGTAAATTAAAAATGAGTCTCGTAGGATTGCAAATTTCAATTTTTCTCACATTCCCGACGTCGTTCGTTAATGACGAGAATGACGAACACTTTTGTGAAATTGAACACCGACAATAATTGGCTATCGATTATGTTGACTATAAACTTATTGCTGTCCTATAATATCACAGTAACAGTAAGTATTTTTTTTCTTTTTTGACTTTACCACCTATAGATAGATAGTCTACGAAAATTTGGCTGTTGAACCCTGGTAAAACTCTGTACGATTCTTTTCTTTTGTTTTTTTTTTTTTTCTTGTCGATTCGATTGCATCCTTTTAACCTTCAAATCATTCGACGATTCCTGTCGCCTCTCTCTCTCTTGACTACGATAATTACATGTTTCTTTTCATCACAAAAATAGAATTCTTAAAACTTAAACTCAGTTTCACACTCTCGTATATTATTTACCTCTCTTTCTCTCTTTCTCTCACTCTCATTCTCACGTTCATTTCATCCTTCATTTTTTTTCTCCCCTCAACTTGTCTCTCCGCTACTCTTAATTTCTCCGTTACGTGTACACTCGTCGTGCAATCATTTGCTGAGAAGTATGCAGTTACTGTTGACAAAATATGTTAATTACGTTATCGGTCCGTCGATACATCGATATTCGTTTCTTTTTGTTTCTTCTTCTTTGCAGGCAAATCGAAAGGATCACTTTACGCTACATAAATAAATTCGCCATTTATCGTTGCACGTGCCGAAAGTCGGTTCTCTCACTGCCGCGATAAATATTTTTACAATGTAACAATCCATCTGACGCAATTTGGAGCGTGGACGATTAACAATTAAAAATGGCTTGAGCAATCGTTTGAAAAAAAAAAGAAAAGACGACCGTGTTGTTTTGACGTCTGTACTGCCTCTGGTACCGATACTTGTTACTATATAACATACATGGTTAACGCAAGATGGCGCAAGCTGCGGCAATTAAAATTCACGAAAACTCAGTGTTGCAGGGGAAAAAGAAAAACGGTATATTTTAAACGTAAAATTGCAATAAATACACCAAGACTTTTACAATAGTCGAAATATATAATCGTTTAAATGTAGCTAAATGTGGTTATGTTATCTTAAGAAAAGATAAGAAAAGAAAAAAAAAAGAAAAAATAAGGAAACGTAATTTAAAAAAAAAAGAAGAAAAGAAAGATTAGGAGAGACATTCGGGCAAAGGAACGACACACCTCGGCACAATTCCTCAATTCACCACATCCGCGAAGTGCACGTAACAAAGAAGGGCTGTAACAATTTCTCTACAACAATAGTCGCGTTCCTTCGTCTCGACTGTACTAACACGAAGAAAGTGAAAACGAAACGAAAAGTATTCGACGAGACTTCGTCAAAGGCAGGCAACAGTTCTGTATAAAACAAAGTAAAGATAGCTCAGGACATACCCAATTGCATCGAGATATCGACGCACGAACGAAACGTCTTTGCTCTACACAAGCTATTGCCATTATCTGCCTTTCTCAAAATTTTTTTCTTTTTTCTCTCTTGTCAAATGTTCCCTTCTCCTTCTCTTTCTCTCTCTCTCTCTCGCTCTCGCTCTCTCGCTCTTCTTCCCTCACGACTCCAGAGAAATCATCATGGGGAAAAGAAAAGGAAAAAAAATAAAAGAGAGCTGATCAACAACCTCGTCCAGTCGAAGCCGGATTTATACACGATTTCGAGCTATAGTTCGACACGCACTGCACACAGCTCAGTAAATACTTATCTCGCAAATTCTAATCGCCACCGTTTTATATCGATAACAATAATTACATTGATCGTCGACAGTGACCGGTGATTCCGCTTCTTTAGTTCGATATATATATATTTATATTTATATCCATATTTATAATATATATATATAGATATATCAAAAATATCCTTAATAAAATAGAGAATTTTAATATGTATAACGTACCATCAAGTACTTATTTTTTTTTTTGTATCATAATTTTACCTACTATTATATATATATATATAAATATATAATAATACTGAACGTGCGTTGTGAATAAATAAATAATATATATATATAATTATATTATATATATATATATAATTTATTTATTCACACGCACGTTTAGTACCACGTATATGATTTATATTTAATATACATATAATACTCGCGTCGACATTCTTTCCTATTGTTCACGCGCGCGTGCACACAACTGTACTCACGTACAATATATCCCATGCACGTGTATATACGTATGCCTCTGTGTGTGTACAGTCCTTGCGTTTCGCCACGTGAACTTTTACCAGATTAGATTACACACACTTCGAGTTCCTGGCCTTCTTCGTTTACTTCGCTTAACCGTTATACCGCTTCAAAGCTATTCATACATACATACATATATATATATATATACATACATAATATATATATATGTATATACATACATAATATATATATATACATACATAATATATATATATGTATATACATACATTATATATATATATATATATATATATATATATATATATATATATATATATATATATATATATATTCAAATTCGTATTTCAAGGATCGACTAAAAGACGATCGTAAAATATCTTACAACTGCTATTTGATTTGTCAAAAAAAAAAAAAAAAATTATTCAAAGACTATAGCGCCGTAACATACTTGAATAGGAAATTATATTACGATTTATTAAACTAAATGTATCATTCTCTAGTCGTATGGATGTTTGAAGACATTGCGACATATATATTACAATACCGGATGATCTCGTGGTTATGATAATGCAGTGTGTACCATGATATAGCAATTTAAAAAATATCCCTAGATAGAAATCTCGGTAGTAAATCTTTCCGTTGGTAATAATTAATGTACAAAATTTGTTTAACAATGATTCGACAACGTTGATTCAACGAACGAAGCTGCCAGAACACTCGAACAAAATGATTTCTTTCTCTCTCTCTCTCTCTCTCTCTCTCTCTCTCTCTCTCTCTGTTTTGAACTCGCAAAATATTCATTCGTCCGTAGGGTACAAAATCTACATCCTCCTCTCGTCGATCTTCTTTCACCGTTAATCGTCCTAGCTCAACACAGCCAAAAATTTGAAATTCAAAGCGGTAGATATGGATACACGTGACTCTTGAACCGATTTCAATTTCGCGCGAACGATTTTCTTTTTTTTTTTTTTTTNTTTTTTTTTTTTTTTTTGTAGAGAGTGAACGCGTTAACTAGTGCGCATCTACTGTCAGGCAACAATATTCAAATATTAAGTTTGGAAAAAAAAAAAAAATGAAAAAAGAAGAAAGAAAGAAAAAAGAGAGAGAAGAAAAGGTGCGATTAAGAAAACGCAAGCTAAGTTACATAACAAATAAAACATGAAAAGATTTCCAGAGTATTTTTATTGATTATCCTTCTGAGGAGACAAAGAATGAACAGAGAACGAGCTCAGACACGTTTAAGTAGAAATATCTGGAATTCAACAGACGTCATCCCGTCAGACAAATCCTCTCTCTCGGTCGATCTCAATCGGTTCAAAAGTGAGCTTATCCCTCGACTCGAATGATTTTCAATGTTTCTCCACCATGATAGAATGTATCATCATTCAACGGACAACGGCTCAAGCGTCTCTCTCACACTTTCGGCTACTTTCTCTCTCTCTCTCTCTCTCTCTTGCGACACAAAATTCTCCCAGTCGCAGAATCCGATTCAAATTTACATTTTCAAATTCATTTCATCTGTTGCTGCTACTATTTACAATTGATCGCGCGCGTTTTTTTTTCTTTTTTTTTTTCTTTTTTTTTTCCTAAGGCAGTAATAACATAACCTCGAAACGACACGCGACGACCGAGTGCATCACGGGTCGCGTGCACGTTGGAGGATAATATTTTTGTTTCTCTTTCTCTCTTTCTTTCGACGATCGAACGTTTCGTTCGGCCCGTTTTCCTTTTACTCCCCTTTTCACGTGGCGACCTCGCGCAGAAGAAAACAAATAAAAAGGAGACAAAAAAAAATCAAAGAACAGACGAAGGATTCGTTTCTGCTTGTTTCTCTCACTCTTTCAGTCTTTCGCTAAAAAAAATTCATTCGATCAGCCTTTCGATCTTCCATCATATCTCTCGTCCGAAAAAAAGATCTCGAAATCCTCGAACCTCTTCTCAAAACTTGATCGTGTTGCTGCACGATTAGTAAAGGAATCCTGCTCGATGATTAAAATTCATCGTGTTGCATAATAGTAATTGAATTACCGATAAATGAAATAATAATTAATATAATAATAATAATAATTGATTACAAACTAGAAATAATTATCAATTATGTACAGTGTGTAATATAATGGTATTATTAAAGTAACGTAATAAATAAACTCGAGGCAATAAGTCGACACCTACTTTATAGAAATGTATCTACCAATTTAAACGCGATAAACGCCTCAGCCCTTTCGCTTGACGTTCGTCACCGTTTCTGGTATTAATAAGAATTACTTTACAAGTCGTCTCATTACGCTCTCTCCTCCGATGAGCAAGCCAAAATATATATGTATATCTATATATTTTTCTCCCCTCCTCCCACTTTTTTTTCTCTCTCTAATGTACAATTAAATCTCTTTTAGGTGTCTATTATTATCTTTCTCGTCGTTATTCACGGCAAAAAGAAAAAAGAAGTCACATCCTATTTTCATTCCTTCCTGTCTCTCTCGCTCTCTCTCTCTCTTTTCCTCTAAAATTCCGCAGTACTTTTCTTTTCTTTCTTTTCGTTTTCTCTCAGGTAGACAAAAATATATTCGGCGTACGGGAACTGTCGTATCTGTACCGTGGCGCCAACTTACAATTAGTCCCGTAAACACACGCGACTTCGTCTCGACACGAATCGACTATACCTCTTCTCAGGATATACGCGGAAAAAGGAACGAACTACCGATTTGTGAAACTGTTTTTTCGTAGCATCACCCGATCTCTCCGCGAGATCCAGACATAGGACCTCAAAGAACACGTGTGATAGATATGTCTCTAGCAATAAACTGTTTCTTTTTTTTCTCGTTTCTTTCTTTTTTTTTTCTTTTTTTTTCAAATTTAACAACAGCAAGGCAAATATCAGTTTCTTCTTCATTTCGTTCGTCGGGTATATGGTTCTCTTGTTCTGTTCCTCATGAAAAATTCGAGGAAAAATAGTATACCTCCATTGAGGAGTTTCCTTTTCTATATTTTTTTTTTTTTTTTCTTTAGAAATAAACGAAGAAACAAAAGAAGATAAAATTAAAGCTCCTCAATGTACAACCCTTTCGAGATACATACGCCCTTTTCTTTTGTCTCTTTAAACCTCCCATTCGTTCCAACATTCGTTTGTTCTCTCCCTTTTTCTTTTTTTTTTCTTTTCATTCGTTTACATATATGTAGTATTTAAATATGTAAATAAAAAACGAGAAAAAAACGGCGAACAAATGATCGAATTAAAAGAAGGAAAAGGAAAAAAAGAAAGAGTACATATATATAAATATATAATCTCGAAAGCCTATATATTACGGGGCCTTAACCTCCCTCTTTTCATTTCTTCGTTTATATGCATGTATATATATAGGTATATATATATATACATATATATGTATATATTCAATCATAAATATAGCGTGTGTCTCGAGTTCGTCCAACATATATTCTGTCATTTAAAAACTAACGACTTCGTTCGCATTTATATATTTCTTTTTCTTTTTTAATTTTTTTAGGCACTTTTCCTTGAAAACAGATTTCCTTCTTTATACCATGTTTCATTTTCTTTCTTTTCTCTCTCTGCTTGCTTTGGTTGTCAATGTAACAAGATCGTCAACACAATTATTGTTACTCCCCAGCATGCTTTCCTTTTTCGCCGTGTCGCGTCATTTCTCGACGAAACTATATTTCTTTCTTTTTTTTTCAACGTATGTATATGCACGTATACGCGAATAAGATTCAAACCTGCATCGACGAATATCCGATGCGTACGATTATTCATCGTAGGACAGCATTTTCTATTGAACAGCGCACTCTTTCCCTCCTTCTCCCTTTCTTTCGTGGTATTTCTTTTTTTTTTTTTTTTTTTTTTTGCTTTTTCTGTGTCAAACATTTGCACAAAGCAGATACCTTCACGAAACTTTCTCACAACATTTCCCTGCAACATCTCTCCCGCGATCGACGTCGAAACGCAAAATTCATCACCTTTACTCTCTTTAGTTGTTCGTCATGAGCAGTCGATCGTTTCCACTTTGTTTCCCCTTCTTTTTTTTTTCTTTTTCTTTTCTTTTCTTTCTTTCTTACCCACAGGGTGTCGGTAAATACGAACCCCCACACATCTAACAGAATTAACATCTAGTAGTTTTGTTTACTTACACGTTCACCCCCGTTTGTCCGTTATATCTCATTTCTCGGCCGGTCTGGTGACCGTTTGCGGTATCACCGTCAACGATTTCGGTATTTTCGGCAATATCGGGATCTGGTTGCACGTCTTGGTCGTCACCTGAATCGACTTGGGCAGGTTCAGATTGTGCAGCAAGTTCTGCGTCGGGCTGTTCTCGTTGGCCAGCGTGCGTACGTCGCAGATCAACGGCTCGAAGTCGCTCCTACTTTGCCGGCTCAGCATCTCCTGTTGCATCCTCAGGTGCTTCTGAAACTGCGTCTGCGCGACTAACTGCGCCTTCTGGTACTGCGTCGGTGTTTTCACGCCCGCGCTACAGTTCGAACCGGCCGGCTGTTTCTCCGTGAGCATCTGCTGTTTCTGTTTCTTCAGGCTCTGCAGCCGTTTGAACTCGGGCTCGCTCAATTGGAACACCTTGCCGCCGGAAGATGCTGGCAGTTTCTGGCCGCTCTCCTTTCGTCTCGCGTTGCCGTTCGCGGAATTGGCGCTGGTAGACGGAAGATTCAGTCGTTGCAGATTAGGGGGCGGTTTCTTGATTATCGACACGCCGGGGTTCAGCTTCAGGACTCGGGGAGGGCTGCCCTTTGCAGACTGCGCGCCGCTGGTGGACGACAGCTGTTTGGGAGTACTCGTGCTCGGCAATGAATGCTTGTCCCTCTCGAGGACGTAGCCGCCGCTCAGCCGGCGAGAATTGTGATACTCCGAGGCGATCGGCTCCATTATCGGCTCGTCCATCTTCTCCGGCCCCTCGTACGATATCAAACGATTCTGCACGGAGGTCGAGTAGTTGATGGCGTTTCGCGACGCATTCGGGGCCAACACCAAGTCGCCAGATCTGTAATACTTCTCCAGCAGTATCAAATGCCGGAGAAACGAGCTCTGGTTCCCGTACGGTCTCTGCAGCTCTTGCCAGAGGAGTTTCGTGTCTCTGTCGTACTGTATCATAGTGGCGCACTTCTCCCATCCCTGGGGCGTTATCTCCCGGACGTTCGCGAACTCTATGTTGGCGTGAAGATTCATCTCCTCCTCGCCGGGGAAAAGGGTGCGAACACTGATCGAGGGATTAGCACCGAGTCTCTGCACAACCGGCGTGATGTCGTTGTTCGCCCTTGGTTTTTTTGGCAATCTCGTCAACGTCACCTCTTTGTCCATCGCGAGGATCTCGACGACTTCGTTCGGGTTATCACAGGATATCGATGTATCCGACGTCGTGAACGAGTGCATGTCGAGCAGCTTGCGTTTCTTCAGTTTCTCCACGGTGCTCTCGATGCCGAGGAACTGCACGTCTATCGCGACGTTCTCGTCGTTCAAGCTTACCTTCGCGGCACGGTTCTCGGTGTCCGCCTCGGAGTTCACCCCCTCGTTTTTAGTTGGCTCCGGGGTGGACTTCTCAGAGGCGGAGTTCGTCGTGCCGTCCGGCGATTTCGAGGTTCCGGTCTTAGGCTGAGTACTACACTTGTTCTTCTTCCTCTTGTCCTTGTCCTTGTCCTTGTCCTTGTCCTTGGCCTGACTCTGAGAAGGATCTTCGTCCTCGGTTTCCAAAACCTCGATGTTGTGATAATGCAGGATCCTGGACACGACAGAAGGAACGAAACGTGAAAAAAAAAAAAAACAAATACGAGAAACGTAGTAAAGGAGAGAAAGTCGAGGTCGAGTAAGTGGACAAGAGGGGCCATTACCTTTTCCGGTAACTCTTGAAAAACGACTTGTGATTCGTGTTCATATTGTCCACGTCCTTGTATTTCAACTGCAACTGCGTGAAATACCGACACAATTTGCAAACGAATGTACTGGCCGCCAGAATAACGGGGATGCCCTGCTGTCCAAGCAACTGATTCAACTCGTCGGTCTCCACGTTCGACAGTTGATGAGTGTGATTTCTCGCTAGCCTACGTTTGCACAACGCACAGGCCAGGAATCGTTCGATTTTTGAGTAATGACTGACGCAGAACGACATGGACGTGTGTTGACTCGATTCCCAATCAATGTCCACCTACGTAGAGAACCGGATTTGCATTAAAGTTAACGATAATTCATATTAAAATTAATGGCGCAGACTTTACGACGGTACACCAACCTGCTTTTGCAGACCAGCTTTTATTTTGAGCAACCATCGACGTTTCACATGATGTCGTGCAGCGTCTCTACATTCGCGGGCCGAGCACTTGGACACCATGAGTTGTCTGTGCTGTTTCTGCGGCTTCGTTTGCATATTTGTTGGACTCGTATTTGCCTAAACATTACACGATGAAGAATTAAATGAATTTGAAGACCAATAGAGTGCAAAACCTTTATATAAAACCAACCTTTCTGTCCACGTGGCGGTAGCAAGCGTCGCACAAGCAAGAATCCTTGGTCAGATGTCTTTCTATGTTTAAAATCTTTTTGCGCCTCTCGTCGGACTTCATTTGAGCAAGATGCATCGGTGTGTCCAGAGAACCAAATTTCCCAAAACAATAACAACAGACGTCTGCGCACAAACGTCCTGGATGAATAGAGAAAGATGAGGATTTCTCTGGAATAACAAGTGACTGGCGATCCTTTGGTGCTGTGTCTTCGTTATCTTCGTCTATTACAACAAAACAGTAAGTAAGCCACAATTATTACACAGCCCTATAAAAAGAATACATTTAACGTTTTAACTTGATACTCTGATGCAGTGAATTAATTATTAGTTAAAGAATAAATGTTGTTAATAATCCGAAGCGGTAGCGCAAAGTGACATGCTTGTTATGGAGAACTATATAGTTATTACAATTTGCGGTATTTTTTCTCTCTCTTTTTTTTTAAAGTGATTTATGAATTAAAGAATTGCTTGACATTGGGTAGTAGTAAAAGGTCGCAGTTAAAGAAATAATGACACTACAAAACGCAAAATCAATTAACTGTTCAATTAAAAATATCAAGCGATTCTCTTCACAGTGATCGTCGAGAAAGGAAATGGGAACGTGTGTCTCAAAGCAGGACAAGGAACGATTAAGAATGTAGTTATTCCCGCAACCAGGATTACCGCAAGAGTGTCTGTGGTTAGTAGAGAACTTTCGGTTCGCACCAGAGCTGCTATCTCCCCAACCACTGGTTCCAAACTGAAAAACAAAAAAACAAAGAGCCACGTGATGAGTAAGTAATTCAATTTCTATCAATTCGTTCTACGACTGCGTGAATCTCACCTCCTTCTGAATAGTGTAGAAATTCTCAGGTGAATCTCCTTCACCGTCTCCGCGACCCTGTTTCAATACCATTTTCAACGGGGACCTCGATCGCCTCTTGTCCTTCTCCTTCTCCTTGTGAACACGGATTACGGTTCTCAGCGTGCCGGTGGACTGTTCCTTCTTCGCCTTCTGATGGTTCAATCGTTCGGCAGCCTTTTCCAGTGGCTCCAAACCAAGAATTCCCAGGATCGACTCCTTCTTCGCTTTGTCCTCCGGCGTCTCCAGAATCTTTGGAGTGATATTGACGCTGCTGGACGACTCGCCGGACGTGGACGTCTCGTCAGAGTCTTTCTGCGAGGTCTCTGGTGTCTTTATCGGCTTGCAATCGGCATCCAGGATATCTATATTCTCCGTCTGCTTGGTCACGTGGTTCTCGGACAAATTTCGGGACAACCTGTTCTCGCACGTCTTCTTGCTTGGCTCTTTCGCGATGATCAAGTCGTTCTCCGACTTGCTTCTAATGTTATCAGCGGTGTCCTGGCACTTCTCCAAGCTTCCCCTGACACCCTCGGAGAAGCCGCGGAAATTCGCCGTGCACTCGGTGTTGTTTCCATATTTGTTCAAAAACGACCGATTGTTCTCGTTGATCTTTGCCACCTCGTTGTCCAGCAGGGTCTCCTCCTTGTTCTGCTGATCGTACCTTCGGATCTCCCGTTTCGGCCGTTTGTTCTTCAAAGTGTTCAACTGATCGTCCTTGCGTTTCTTCGCCTCTCTGCTGCGTCTAGTGCGGGCCTGACGTTCCAGCTCGTTCGTCGTCTCCGTCTCAGTGCTGTTCTGAGTGTCGTCCGTGTCCTCGGTGATCACCTTCTGAATCTTCTCCTCCAACTCCTGCGTATCCTCCTCGTGCGACTTTTGGCAAGCTTCCTCCTCCAATTTTATCTTCACGGTTCCTTCGTTTCGTTCCTTGTTAGAGGAGGTTTGCCCCCTTTCGTGCTTCTTCGTTTTGTCCCGGGCTCTCAACACCCGTTTCTTATTGTCATCGCTGGCGGCTAATTTCTGTTCCTCCACGACATTGTTCAATCTCTCTGTCTCTTCCCTCAAGGCGGTTGTTGTTGCATCATTGTTCTCTGAATTATTGTACAAAACATCTTTCTCCTCGGCACTGTCTTTATTGGAGTCGTTGTTATCCGCGTCGTTGTTACTTGCCCCGCGTTTGTCGTCCTTTTCACTTTCCTTTGCATCTTTTCTCACGTCCTCGATGAGATTACACGTATCGCTGGAAACAAGGCTCGTGGAATCGGAGTCCTTTGCGAGCTGCGCCGTCGTCTCTTCCTCGGATTTCTCGACTTCTTTGGCATTCTCAGTTACCTCGACCTCGCTCTCTGCACCTGCGTTGTTCTTTTCGTCGACTTTAGCGACGCTTACTACCTCCTGCTTCACGACATCAATTGCGTCCAATTCACTAGGTGACGAGGGAACAACCTCCGTTTTGCTTGTGGATTCCGGCCTGCACTGCGTTTCGTTCGCGCTTGTTTCCAATTGATCCTCCGTTACCAATCTCTCTACCTCCTTGGTGATGCTCTCTAAAGTTTCCTCCTCGTCTTCAGACTCCGCAGCGACTTCGCTCGAAGAATCCTTCGCTTCGACCTTCACTGTCTCGTCCGTTTTCATCGCTTTCTCTTCAACAGCCTCTTCATCCTGCACCTGCTTCGACGTGACTGAAGCGCAAACGACTGAGGACTCTGAAACAACTGCTTTGCTCGTTGATTCATCTTTAAGCGACACGACATTTGAAATAATAATTCCCACAGGTTTATCAGAATCAGCCGAGAGTTCGCCGCGACGGTCAGAGCTAGACTTCTGAGCTACTCTGTTCAATACTTTGCCTAACTTTTTCACAGCGTCGTCGTTCTCGGGGGGAGATCCCTTGTCCGTCGTTCTCGAGGACTTCCTGGCAACACCAGCTTTCTTACCGTCGTCCGTCGCTCTCGCCTGATCGTCCGCAACCTGTTCCTTTTCACGCTCCTCTATCGAGTCGGACACCTCGCTCGACTCCTCCTGTTGATCCTTGGCAGCTCTGCTGGTTGTGTTGTCGCTGACCTCTATGACGTGCACCACCTCGGGGCCATTCGCGTCGGTGTCAGGCGGTGGCTCGCTCTCCTGCACGTTCTGCGAATGCGTTTCGGCGAGCTCGATGTCACCCATGACTAGTTTCTCGATTTCTTTGGCAGTGTCGGCCACCTTCGGCTTCAGCTCGGCCACCGAATTCTCCGTGCTGTCCGACTTGTTGATCTCGTTCCTCGAAATGGCAGACTTCTCCTCGTCGGCGTTCTCCTCCAGCCCGAGTTTCTGCGACTCGGCGCTCAGCGGCGCGATGATCTCCTCGATCTTCGGCACCTCGAAGTTCTTGCTCAAACCGAGCCCCTTCTCCGGCCCGAAGATCTTGCTCTCGATGGACTTGGCGATCGTCAGCTTGATGTTCTCGATCATCTGATCGATCTGCGACTTGGGGTTCCCGTCCGGCTTCTCCGCGCCGTAGAACGAGTTCACCGTCTTCTTCATGTCAATGTTCAAGCTGCTTCGCCGACCCTTGGTCTTGTCCGTGAGTTTCGCCAGGATGTTGTCTTTCCTCGCTTGGTCCGCGTTGCTCTTCTTCAGCTCCTCTTGCCCGCCGATCCGCCCGTACTCGCCCTTGTTCACCGTCTCGCTCTTCACCTCGACCTCGGTGCTCTTCGCCTTCGTCTTCGAGCGGAGCGTCGGCCCGATCTCGCTCGTCGTCCTGTTGTTGTCGCCGCCGTTGTTGTTGTTGTTGTTGTTGTTGTTGTTCTCCGTCTCCGGCAAGCCAGTCTGCGAGCTGTCCTCGAAGCTCTTCAATTCGTCCTTGGCCGGCACGGCGATCGCCTGCTGGGGATCGTTGCAGCTGGACTCGGAGAAACAAGACTCGGTGTCGACGTTGCTGTCCGCCACCTCCTTGTCCGTGGAGACCTCCGAGCTGACTGGATCGTCCGAGTTCAATCGGCGACGCTTCTTCGGGTCAAGGTCGACCGCGGTCACGCCGGAGGTATGGTCCGACTGACGTAACTTGCCATTTCGCAGGCTCCGTTGGCTAATCGACGCGTTCGACCTTTTCCTCAATTGAATTGCACTTTGAACGGACTCCGCCTCCTGGTTCTCGCCGTCGGAGGTGATGATCTTCGCGTCCGTCTCGCTGTCCGGCTCCTTTTTTATCTCAATGTCCGGCACCGTGCACTCCTCGACGAACATCTTCTTACTCCTCGTCACTTTCCCCTCTATTTTCTCGATTCCCTGCTGGCTGTCTATCTCCGAGTCGCTCAACATTGAACAAGCTATCACTTCGTCTATGGTGAGATCTATGGAGCTCTTGGTGTCCAGAAGCGACTTGGCGACCCGTATGTTGCCGCAGTCGATATCTCTGGCGGTGCTCTTCCTACCCTTCGTGTATTTAATATCGACGTCAGGCTTGACGCTGTTCCTCTTGAATCCGGTGAATTTGGTCGACTTGACGCTCCTAGGCAGAGTGTCTAGATTCTCCAGGCTTCTACCCTTTCTGCTAAGCTTCGGGCTGCTCTTCGTACTGGATCCAGCAAGCGAGTCCGTGTCTCTGTCCGGAGTTACCTCACTCTCCACCTCACTAGTTTTTGGTATGAACTTGGTCTTTTTAGTCCTGAGATTATTCTTGGCACTTCTATTACCTCCGTCAATCCCGATGCTTTCACCCTCCGCCTCGTTCACGTGATTTTCTACTGTTCTCGAGCCGATCTCGGTTGCCTTGATGCTGCTGCTCTCCACCGACAATTTGGCTCTCTTGGCCCTCGCTTGGCTCTTCTTGATGTCAGAAGTTATTCTGCATAAATTTCTACTGGTCACCTTCCTTGTAACTTTCGATTTAATTAAACTTGCCTTCGTTACTCTTAGTTTCTGCTTATGTTTGAGATTCCTGAGAACCTTCTTACGTGGCAGGCTTGCCTCCAACTTCGGTGGAAGTTGACTATCCGTTGCCACAGCCTCTATTATGTCCCTCGCTAGCTGCTGTTGCTTTAGATTCGACAAAGACTTGCCCTTTCTACTTTTAATCTCATTGGACTGCAAGCCAGAATCATTATTCGCCTTCTGTTTTGCTTTGGAAGGCGCTAAGGGTTTCTTTTCCCTGGATGCCATCTCACTTCCACCCACATTGGGCTCCTGCAATTTCATTCATAATATGAAATTGCAAAACAGATTACTGACCAAACGATAATTACTACTATCATCCATAGTATTCAAAGCAATTTGTCTTGATTTTCCTATTAATAAAACAATACACGCTTAGAATATAAGAAACAGAAATCTTGAATTTATTTGTGCTTGTCGTTCTTTGAAAGGTTGCAATATATTTTCATCTTTGCAAAAAAATATGCACAATACCAAATTAAAAGCTAACTCTAACTTCCTCTTTTTTTTTCCAAAAAATATTCAGCAAGACTGAAAAGCATTTTCATCTATTGATAGTATTTTCCAATTATTACAGTATCAGAATTTTGGTCAAATCATGTGAAAGTAACTAAATCATGTGAAAGGAACTAAATAACGTAAATCTTGATATATTTGGCCCTATTTAATTAGTACATAAATGCTATGAGAAATACAATTATAATTACAAAAAATATTTCCATGTTTTCCAATTAGGTATTAAATTTTGACAGTCATGTAAAAGTGGAACTAAACAATATGAAACTTGATATACTTGGTCCTAATTAATTAGTACATGAATGATACAATATATAAATACAGTTATATACAAATACTTTTTGTAACAGCTATATATCACATCATATATGTGTGATATGTGTATAAAAGAATAAAATTATAAATGGAGAAAATGTACTATATATATAGAAAATACTCAGTAACAACAAAAAGTATTTCCATGTCTCTCAAATATGAATCAAACTTTAATAGTCAAAGTGGAGCAAAATATACTTGGATCCTAATTAATTAGTACATAAATTCTATAATAAATACAATTACGTACAAATATTTTTTGTAAATGCTACATATATATATCTCATCATATATATACATGTAATGTGTGTGTCACAAAAATAAAATTATAAATGAAGAAAATATATATTCCAAAAATACTCATTAACAACAAAATGTCTTCCAAATAGACATAAAATTTTAATTGTCATATGAAAGTATGAATTAAATAAATATGAATACTCAGGCCCTAGTTAATTAGTACATAAATTCTATGATAAATACAATTGTATACAAATATTTTTTGTAATTTCTACATTTATGTAAAATGTGTGTGTGTGTGTTTGTGTGTATCACATAAAAGAATAAAATTATACATGAAGAAAATATTTATTCCAAAAATACTCATTAACAACAAAATGTTTTCCAAACAGGCAAAATTTTAATAGTCATATAAAAGTATTAATTAAATAAATATGAATACTCAGGCCCTAGTTAATTAGTACATAAATTCTATGATAAATACAATTGTATACAAATATTTTTTGTAATTTCTATATTTATGTAAAATGTGTATATGTGTTGTGTGTGTCACATAAAAGAATAAAATTATAAATAAAGAAAATACATATTCCAAAAATACTCATTAACAACAAAATGTTTTCACAAACAGACATAAAATTTTAATAGTATAATATGAAAGTGGAATTGAATAAATATGAATACTTGGGTTCTAGTTAATTTGTACATAAATGTTATGATAAACACGACCGATATATAAATATTTTTTATAGCTGCTATACATCATATATACATATATATTTCTGTGTGCGTGTGCATGTTCGCATAAAAGAGCAAAATTTTTTCCGAGAAAAAAGAAGAAAAAAAGAAAATTAAGAATGAAGAAAATATACCTTTCCTCTTTTTTTTTAAGCAAGACAGGAATATAAATTGACTGTTCTACACCAAGTGGAAAAAAACTATATAATTCGTCTTGGACGTGAGCAAGGTGATCGGCCGACCGGATTGAGCGGGGTTGATAGATGCGGCCCTGGCGGTCAGAAAAATTACGTGACAAACTTTGCATTTACACGGATACACGGGCGCCTGTTCGCGCGAGCCAAGGGAATATCACCTCGAAATATTTGCCGCGATATCTCGTGAATCAGGGCGGCGATCCCGCGAAATTTCGCACGGGCGGCGAGGGCGGGCCACACGCCAACTGGCCGCGATGGAAATCGGGGGGTTACCCATGCGGGGACCGTCGAAAATCACGCGAGAGACCGTCGCGTAAAAAAAAAATCGCCACGAATAAACAAAAGGTCGGGCCCCGACTCGAGATTTCCGTGGCTTATCCCGCGGTTGTCGCAAGGCTGTCGGGGTAATCGGCAGCGCGTACGCCCGGGCCGTCGGCAGTACTTACCTAGGAGGCGAGAAATCACCGCGGAGCAGCGTGGTTTTTGCGGGAAAAAACGGCGGAAAACAATTCTGTGAAAAGCACAGTCCCGTTGCAGGGTGTCTGTACGATGTCCCACTGTTTTGTGGCTACCGCCACCTGACGGCGGAGCACGCGACCTCTCCCAGGTCCATAGTCCGTTCGCGCTAACTCGACCAGCGATTTTCTGCAAATTCAACCCCGTTCACTTTACCCAGCCCGTTCTTCGCCGCATGTTCGCACAATGAAAATCACGTACTTACTATCGAGCCGGGAAACCGTCCGAGAGCAGGCTGGCGATGGTCGGCAACGCTCCAGCGAAAATTTGGAACAACGCGGCACTTCGAAATCTATACAGTGTTCGCGATAACTGCGCGCCGCCGTTATTTGCTGAATTTTCACGTAATCACGGTGGCCAGGCGAGGCGTTCGTCTATCGGGATCGAGACCGGTCACGACCGCCTCACTGCGGAGAACGGGAAACGGCAGGAGTGCAAGCGCGTCGCCGAGAAATACCCCGATCTGGCACGAGAACGAAAAGGAAGACGCGCCCGTGCGCACCAATGGCGGCCACCGACCCTTATTTACTCAAATCAAAATGGCCGCCCTTCGGCTTTTCGCACGTACGAGACTTTCCACGCTCGTCCCATGCTATCCTGGCCAGGATCGTCTGTCCAGCGGGATTTCGCCGGTCATCGATCAGGTATTCTCTCAGACTTAACGCTCGGCCTCAAGTGACGCGTCCTCGTGATCCAAATCGCGTGACACGTTTTCCGTAATGATCGAGATATACCGACGAAGGGCCATGCCTGGGCGCCGCGAGTCACTGCCAAGTGTCCATCGCCTGGCTTTTATTGAACTTTGTTTTTCGAGAATTTCGGTTTTTTCTCTTTTTCTCTTTTTTCCTTTCGTCGAAGACGGTGCATCTGACGTTTTTACGCTCGCGAAATTTCTTCGTCGAGGCTCCTTGCTATCAACGGAGACACCAGAGATTAGTGGATCGTTGCTTGAACGGAAAGACGAATTGTTAAAAATCGCTGAAGTTGGAAACGTGCAAAACGAAGTGCACGCCATGTTACAACAGCAGAGAGAAGTGGATAGAATGAATCGTACATGTATTTAGTAGAATTTGTAACTCTGTTTCTTTGAAAGAAAAACGACGTATTACTCTGTGCGAAATTTTCTTTTTATTTGGTTCTCCGCGGTAACCTATAAATATTTGTATACCTCTAATCAATCAAAGCAACAATATTTAGGATTATACGATTGTTATGATATACATATATCACAAAAGATAAAATAGAATTTAATTTTAATTAAACACCTCATTTAAGATATTTTCATTCATATTAGATACAGAAGAGATGGGGAACTTACATGAGCTCACCCAAGTATAAAGATTCCTCTGAATACACGGATTATGAGGTGACGAAAGATCCAAAAGAATGGGAATACGTGGAACGGCTACTTAAACCAAAGGTCATACCTGCTCCCTGCCTAGAAAATAAGGAATATCCATCTGGGTGGAAACCACCTGTTGGTAAGTTTTATTTCGTGTACTAAAGCATAATGCCGTAATTTGTAACATTTGTAATCGAGTTTGTTAATTTGTTCAATTACTTGATAGCCAAGCCGCACGATTATCCGTATTATATACCCCGGACGAAAAACTACATGCAACCAGTTTATCTTGAGATATTTCATCGAGGACTGCGAAGAGTAACTACTGTCCGTAAAATTCACGGAGATATTTGGACATTAGAATCTGAATTAAAGGAATATATAGAGAAAAGGGTGAACAAACCAATAGGTATTCGCACCAACGAACTGTTGGGTGAAATTAAATTCAGAGGAGATTATGTAAATCTTGTTAAAGCATGGATGGATGAAAGAGGATTTTAAGTGCTGTAAATTAATAGCGAGATACTTTTTTCTTTGTAAATACAATGTAAAAAAACATTTTGTTTGTCATTATTTTTTGTTGAAACTCGAAAATAAATAATCGAAACACCATCGAAATCTCTGTGCCTTTGGATTTGATATTTAAATATTGATACAAAGTGTGTGAAATATAGAAATTTATTGTAGTATGTCGAAGAATCAACAACTTCATTTTTGTAAAAATATGCATTATATTTAAAACTATAGTTCACACAAACTAGTATATGGAAGATGAATTATAGTACGTATAGCAGCATACTTAAGTGGTATCCGTAATTTTTCCGTTTTCTATATCAAAAATCATGCTATATGCTTTTTTATTAAACAATAACAAATGAATAAAGTAACACCTTAAATCTATTTAAATTATTTTTGACATACATTAGAAACAATTTATAAATTAAATAATTTAATGCAGTCGTATGAAAAAGAAATTTCTACAAATATAGAGATAAAGAAGTGAAATGTTGTGTTGCACATATTTCATTGAAATTTAATGACATTCGTATGAAACTAAAATAAATCCAAACACTGAGAAACGTGCGTTTGAACTAATCTTCGATCGGTATCGTAATATGAACGCAATGTAAGTTTCAAGAGATGAAAGCATCGAGTTGTCAGATCAGAGACTTACAGAAAGGAACATTTTTTTCTTCTGAAAATCACCCTATTTCAATACAGGATTCTAAGGGTTTGCATGTAAACTTTGATAATATCTTATCAGTTTTTTTTACGTTTATTTCATGCGAACAAAGTGTTCTGTTTAATAATAAGCATATGGCAAATTTTTACTTGAAAATTTTTCCCTGATTAAATTTACGTCCCTCCTTATCGGTACCGGTCCAGCTGAAGTATTGTTGAACCAACTGTTTTGTTTCTTCATTAGTTGGGTCTAATTTAGTCCAACTGTATGATTCATAATCTACCTGCCAGTCTGGACTCAACTGTTTGAAAAAAAAAAAAAATGCAATTGTTATTTCGAATTACAGAATTAAAAAGATAGAAAGAGAAGAAAAGAACAGCAAACCGTGAAAGCAAGCTCGTGACCGCGCCAAACCCAAATACCACTGATGCTACTGTCGTTATCCGTACCAAAGAGACAGGCGCTGGCAAATGCGGCTTTTCGCATTTTATCTAATCGTTGATACATTCCACTTATGAGATTGCAAGACATGAAAACCTGTGCAAAGTAAGTAAAAGATACGGTAGAATGCAGAAACATAATGAAAACGACGCTGTCGTTGATCAATTATATTTTTAATGTTACCTTCGTTAGTTCATTGTTATATTTGTATTCGCCAAGCCAAATACTGTAATGGTCCGGATCGAACTTTTGCCAGAAGTAAGGTATAGACTTCGACTCGTCTTCGTTAGAATAAAATCTCTTAAAATCATCAAGATCGAAAGTGCCTTTAGGTAATGTATCAAAAGGATTTGTATTTTTAGGTTCGGCGGCCAAAATAGCATCCGTTGGATCTAGATCTTCGACAGCCTCCTTCTTAGATTCTTTTGGTTCCTTTGATTCTTTCTTGGATTCCTTCTCCTTTTTCTCTTTCTTTGAAGACTACAAAATATTTTTAATTATAATCTGTTATTAAAATGTTATTAAACGTGGCTATTTTAACCATATAATTAAGGAAAAAGAAAATACCTTTCCTTGAGTTTCTGCAAATTTCTTTGGATCATATTCAAGAGTTTTCTCAGCCAATTTAAAGGCACCAATTACAGCCATTGACTCAGGCTGATAAATGACAGTTTGGAACCATCGATTTACATTCTGGTATGGTTTACGTAAATTTGGTTCGAGGATATATTGATATAAATGAAGTAATGTCATAGCTACACTAATATCTGCTAATGTCAATCGTTCTCCAACTAGATAAGTACGTGTAAGTAAATGAAAATTAAGGGCAGTTAGCGCTTTCTTTACATCATCCTTAGCGTGTTCTACGTTCTGCAATTTTAAATCACAAAATCCCTCAATTTCGATCGTAAAAATGTGAAAACTTTAAATTTGTGCGCATATTGTTTAACACATATGTAGGAATCATACGCATTTGACAATATGCTAATACTTAATATATCTCCTCGAGTTACAAAAATAATCAATTATTCAATTATTTTTGCCTTTAAAGGAGAATTTGTGGAAGTAAATCTATCCGTACCTGTTTATTGTAAGGCATTATTCCAAGCAATGGAAATACCCAGGCGCAACTAGCTGGGAGAATCTCAGAATCAGCAAAGCCGAACCACTGGATGATTTCTGCACGTTCAAGATCAGTTTTGCCTCTCAACTGGTCATTGGCCACTAAGAAGTAAAAGTTTTCCATTACATACCAAGTAATACCACTCGTACAACTGTGATATCGTGTGACCCTACCATAATAAGCAATTGCATTGCTTTCTGTGATACACTTTCCGTCGCATGTTTCAAACGCTGGAACCTAACACAAAAGATTATTATGCATTGGTAAATAGTTGGAAATTGGAATCAACAACAAACAACAAAATTATTCTAGCAATATTGAGAGAAAACAATTGACAGAGAATTTGAAAATATTCTAATATTCTACACGATCGCAGTTTCATTCACAAAACCATTCCATCTGTAAATATTCACGTAAGAAAAAAAAGGAAGAAAACATACCAGCTGGTATTTGCCTAGAAAAACGTAACATAAATAAAAGATGAAAATATCCGTAATTACAGATAGCCTTACCTTGCCTAGTGGGAACTTCTTCAAGAATGCTTCGGTTTTATTCGTCTCGCCGAAAACGAAATCATCGGCGATCTTGATCTGGGCACCGGAATACTGAGCTGCAATGAGCACCTTGTAAGCTCTGAAGTTTTCCGGGTACGTGTAAAGTGTCTGAAATAAATCGGGCCTCCATTAGTTAATATCCACGTTGATATCCGTTTCTATCGGGATCTGTGTTTCCGTCTGTTCACCACGATCACGATGCTTAGTAATTCGAATTGCACGAGAGAGACTTACTCCAGACGCCATTATATCCAGTTACGGGAAGAGGAAGTTGAAGGCCGGTAAAGATCGTTTTTCTCAAGTGCATCAAGTCCCTTCGCACTAATAGATACGGCCTTAAGACGTAGCCGCAATGCGCGCATTCTCTCCACTCTCATGCGTGTGAAACGCATACGAAAATTTCGAATTTCAAAATATTTCTCTTTCGATTCGTGACACTTGATGAGAAATATTTTTCACCTCTAATGTAATTGAAGGCAAATTACAAGATAACGTGCAAGTAACGATTAATGGAGTGCATTATTTCGATTGGTTGATCGGTGGAAATTTATGTTTTGCCAGGCATACATGAAATAGCCGAAATTTTTTTCGAAAATAATTTTTTTTATCGAGTATTCTTCTAAATGTTTCGTCAATTTCATATGTAACACTGATCTAATAAATATAAAATAACGATAAATTATATATGCACGAAAGTATACATGTATTTTTTGCTATACCTGTATTTTAAGTCTGCTGTTTCGTTGCTGTACATTTTTAATTTGAACTAATTCCCATGCAATTTGCACTTTCTCTTTTCTTCTTTCTACATCTATAAAAATGCATATTTATGAAATCTGCGCTACACGATAACAGTGTGCCCGAAAATGGCAGCGTTGAAGGATGTTGTGCCTGTGTACAAAAATTTGAAAGATGAATGGGCGGCGACTCCGTGTAATTTGAAGAAATGCGGCGAACTACTCAATCAATTAAAGGTGATCTATATACAAAGCGTATAAAATATTTTCAGCATTTTTTCGATGAATGAACGACGCAACATAACCTCTCGTCCATTGTGTCAAAAGCGTATTGTCATCGTATTTTCACGATATTACATATCGATTAATTATTGAACAATTGATTTCCATTTCAGGTTGGTCTTACGCATTTAATGTTTCTGCCAACATCGAATAGCACAGCTAGTCAAAATGAATTACTCATAGCACGTAAGTACAAATGCACATATAAATTTTAGCATTATTAATATTTTTGCAAACTTGGGTTCGCAGGTGATATTTTAGAGATTGGTGCACAATGGAGCATTGTGACCGAAGATATACCTTCTTTTGAACGCTACATGGCGCAATTGAAGTGTTATTATTTCGATTATAAATCGGGATTGATGGAGTCTGCATACAAGTACCACCTTCTTGGCTTGAATCTGTTGTTCCTGCTGTCTCAGAATCGCGTGGCCGAGTTTCACACAGAATTGGAATTACTGCCTTCGGATCAAATACAATCCAACGTTTATATCAGACATCCTCTGAGCTTGGAACAGTATTTAATGGAAGGTTCATACAACAAGATATTCTTGGCAAAGGGCAACGTGCCGGCAGCGTCTTACAATTTCTTTATAGATATTTTGTTGAACACCGTCCGGGATGAGATAGGAGCGTGTATGGAAAGTGCGTACGACAAGATCTCCATTCAGGACGCTTCGAGGATGTTGAATCTGAGCTCGGAGGATGACATGAAAGCGTTTGCAGCGAAAAAGAACTGGACTGTAGCGAAGGACAGTTATTTCTACTTCAGTACAACCAGCGAGAAGAAAACTGAAGAGCCAATTCCCAGCGCTGATCTGGCCACACTAGCAATCGACTATGCAAGGGAACTTGAAATGATTGTTTAAATATATGCATTTTCCTCTATTAGGTATAAATAAAGTTTGTCATATAATTATTACAAACTCGTAGTTTCATTATACCTTTCTTGAACACTATATATATCTCTAGATATATTCTTGAATACTGTGTGAAAATCTTACGTTGCAACGCAAAAATAGATATAAAATATATGAAAATACGAGAATGGAGAACTTGGAGAAAAACTCAGGCGTTTCGAACTAAATGATTCATATGTCCTGCTTGCGTCTCAAATGTAAAGGGAAGTTTACAATCACTTGTAACTTTTGTGTTTTGTGTTTCCCTCCGGCATCGAGTCCAGGTGAAGATAAAAACATTAGTAATAATCACACTAATCGAAGTGTCTATCAATCTCAAAACTCGAAGATCAATCTATAATCAATTTGTACTTTGCGGATTTATTATTTTAGGTTACATACAGCAAGACTCCGCGGCACAACAAAAAGATCTGTCAAAATGCTTCGTACTTACGAAGGCATCCGATTTTTTTCGGACAAACAAATGGTGATATTGGATATTGGCAGCGCATATACAAAGTACGTGCATTTATCTTTATGGAAAAAAAAGAAAATTTTAACATGCTAACATATATTGACGTGATTTGAAAATAGATTTGGTTACGCTGGCGAACCTACTCCGCGCGGTATAATAAGGACGGAGATCAAGTGTCCAGACACCAAAAAGCTTCGAAGAATTTATGATTACAAAGACACGGAGGATTTGTATCAACTGCTGGTCGAATTTCTTCACGCTTTGTTCTTCAAGTATAAATTTTATACGTTGTTTTTTGATTTTGTTATGTGTATTAATTCTGTATTCTTTGACACAGGCATGTCGTGATAAGTCCAAAGGATGCTAGAATTGTCATTTTAGAATCCTTATTGGTTCCGACACAATTTAGGGACACGTTGGCCAAAGTATTATTCAGGCACTTTGAAATCGGGTCATTGATGCTATTATCCACTCATTTAGCAACTATCAGCACCTTGGGCGTCAATTCAGCTCTAGTTTTGGACATTGGATACAAGGAAGCCACATTAATTCCTATTTACGAGGGTGAACCTATCTTAAAGGCTTGGCAGGCTCTTCCATTGGGCGGTCAAGTTGTACACGAGTTAGTTAAATGCTTTATATTCAACTGGTGTTTTATCAATGTAATTTATTTGATAACAGTCGTATTTTTTCAACAGGTATCTGATGAAATCTTTACGGGAGATATATCCTAACGTGGACATCACGGAGAAGCTTGTAGAAGATATAAAAGTAAGGACGTGTTTTGTTACTACATTAGAAAGGTCAGCTAAATTGGGAACAGCGGATGCTCCCAAGCCTCCTCCAGCGATTAAATATCCCGGAGTTAAAAGTATTAATATACCAGGCGAAATTAGAGAGGAAGCGTTTGAAGTATTATGGGAAAGGGATAATGATAATCTCAGTATACCAACAATGATCCTGAATGCTATTATTCAGGTATAAGTCCAACATGAACATTCTTAAATTCTTCTGGTTTTTTCAATCCGGATTTAAAGACATATACTTTTGTTACAGTGTCCAATAGATACTAGACGAACTTTAGCAGAAAATATACTCTTAATTGGTGGCACGGCGATGGCAAAAGGCTTCGCAAGTCGTCTCAAATCCGAGCTTTTAACTCTCGTGAAAAGTAGTCATTATTCCGAGAAGTTGAAAATTCAGACGTTCATGTTTCACACTGCGCCCAGTAAACCAAACTACACAGCGTGGTTAGGTGGTGCTATCTTTGGAAGTGTAGATTTGCCACTAAGATGTCTGACAAAGGAGAATTATTTGAAATCTGACCGAGTTCCAGACTGGGTTAGCTTAATAGATAATCAGAGAGACGAATCAACCGTCTGTGAAACCTAATATACTGCCTAATTTAACAAAGTGATATTTTTTTTATAATAAAAAGAAGATATTTTAACGATTATATTTATATGTGTATATAAAATATGAACAACTTTATTGATTTCTTCTTATTTTTCATGTTAACATCTCGCAGGCTTATGAATATCATTGTAACTACCGTCGCATAAATACGATAAAGATTTGAAAATTGAAAATGTGTTTTATTCATATGAATTGCGTTACAGGACTCTGCAATTATATTACAGACTTTACAGTGTTGTGAGTAACGTAAGTTTCTCGTTAAGTTGAAGTTGTGTTTTTATCAATTGCGAAAGCGCGACAACCATTAATAGATCTTTTACATTGCTGTTGAACATTTCGTCAAACTGATCGCTCGACATTTTTGGTACCGAATGCACCATATCTAGGAGAGCGCGACCAACCTGAAAGAAATAAAATCGTTTAAGAAGAATTTAGAAAGAATTCTTCCACAATCTATATCCAATTACCTGATTATCCGGTGGTTGCTTTCCAGTTAATACATCGTCAACATACACGAGTACTTGCTCCAACATGGATGAAAGTTTCGCGCTAGCTTCTGCTATTTGAGAAAGGTCCATCATTGGTTCTATGCCACCTCCTGTTTTAACACCGGTTATTTGTGCATGCGCTGGTAACTGAGTTTTTGAACAAAGCTGTAGCCCAACAATTTCCGGCTCATAACATGTGATCTATAAAAAAAAAAAAGAAACAGAGTCGATAGTTAAAAAAAAAAATCATGTTACGTTTGTTGTGAGAATTGCACTTTTACAAAATACGTACTTGTACTTTAACTGGTGTAAACATGGAACCTTGTTTCCCATTAGGTACTCCTAAAGGAACACAGACATAGGCTTTAATTCCCATTCTAGTAGTGTTCGCCAGTGTTGTGTCGACAGTTAAATGAACAGGATTGTTGCATTCACGGACATAATATTCGTGAATGACGGAAGAGTGAGTGGTAACCTGCAAAAATTATACCAACAAAATTTTCATTCATGCTAAAGTGAACATGTAATTGTTTTAATGTAATTACGTGCAACTTTTCATGTAATTTTTAATGTAGATTACCTCGTTTCCAGTGGCCCACCACCCGACAATGTTTTCCTGGGCATTGACCCTATGATTCAATTCGTACAAATCGATCCCGTACGTTAAATCAGCTTCGACTTGGCTTTCAGACTCTTTGTGCGGCACGCAGAAACAGTTTGTAACTTCAACCATTCCTTTCTCCGCAGTACCTGTGCATATTAATTTGTAAAAAGAAAAAAGAAAACACGTTCTGCAAAGCTGAAATGTCAAGTCTTACAACTCGATAATTTCACGTCGTTTCCAAGGGTTTTGTATTTGTTTAAATGAAGAACTACCTAGTAACGTGCCAATTACACGGTGAGACTCCGCTTTCCGACGCTCGTACGCGTCGACAATTTGAAATAACACGACAGGATGAACTTTCACGGTCAGGTTAAGCGCCATTTTTCACACCTTTGGATATTACACATGAACGAAAATACGCGTGGCCACTTTTTCCGCTAGTAACATTTTGATCGTAACGTGGTCACATTTTGGTCACTTTTTCTAATAACATTGACACGGAAAAAGAAATATTAATTCCCTATTGAATCGCTTGGTCATTGGATTGCTATAAAAAAAAAAGGAGAAAATGAAATTTTTATTTGAAAGGAGAAAATGTTTTCTATTTTAATACTGTATAAATATTATATTTTAACGTTTATGTATATTGAGCGATCTAAAAAGTAACTATATCAACATGCGATACTTTCATGATCGTTCTTCCTTTTCTTGTAATATACGTGTCTCTTTTATTTATTTATTTTTTTGTTTTTCCTATTTTTCCTTCTCTCTCTCTCTCTCCCTCTCTTTCTCTTTCTACTCGTGATTCTTTTCAGCACTTCTGTACTATCTTTCGCACTATCCTCCTGCTAATTGTATAATCTTGTGTTAACCAATCTTAAAATATTCGGAACGAGAAAATGTATGTTAGAACCTGGAAATGTATAATTATAGATGTGTCAAAAATTTGCATAGTGAAATATATACGCGATGATCTGAAATTGAGAAGTAAAATGCAACGAAAGAGAAACGTGTACATGAGCCTGTTTAAAATGAGAAAAAAATAGCGCCAGCATTGGGACATAGGGGAAAACTTTTCCCCCAAAATGCCACCCGTCGAAAAACACTATACACACTTTTCGCAGGAAAACAACAAACTTGGAAACTCGTATGTTTAATCTGGTAGGCGTGATTTCAATGTAAGATGTTCTTACTAGTCGAAGATAATAGGTGATACAGTACTTGGTACGTTTAGAATTCATTGGTGAAAAGAAAAGAAAAAAAAACTGTAAACTGTATTTCGGTGAGCCAGTGCGTAGTGCGATCACGAATCGCGTAATGCGATCGAAATTTACGTGAATGGAATGCATTGCTGTCATGTAGTACGTACAATGACGTATAGACGTCAAGAGAATACAAAGTACTTATTTTTTTTTCACTGTTATCATGGGTTCCAGATTGAGGTAAATAGATCCTTTATTCTTAACAGTTTTCGAAAGACACTGTTTCGTACGAATGTTCTCAACGTTCTGTTTTTCTTCATTGTTTTATTGTATCACTGAACTACTCCCTTAATGGTGACATATACAATAAGTGAAAGTATCTCTAGTCTGAGACACGTTCGAATGTGTTTCTCAATCGTTGTTCTAACTAATAGATCAAATTTATTCGCATGAAATTGTAATCACGCGTCGGTATATTGATATTTACAGGGACAATGTGCAACATCTTTTTGAGTGCTTCTGTGAGGTGGCTGCACCACTGGCAGAGAAACCACCTTGGATATTGCAGAAGTACCCAACTTCTTTTTCAGATGAGGAAATACTTAAATCTGTCCCTAAATTTGCCTATCCATGCGAAATTGAGAAGTAAGTTTCAAGAGCTCTTTAATATCAACCAAGTAAAATGCAACTTCCAACATAATGTGATCGTACCTGCACATTTGATTTCCAGTTTGATGGTGCAGCACTTTTCGTTTGTACTCACTAGCATAGATTCGAAATGGACGTTTGGATTTTGTAGACATGATCCCAAGACAGACACAGCTTTAGTAATATTGAGTGCGCTACCATGGCACGAAATATTTTACAAGTTAGTTTTTATTCTAGCGTATGAGTTAGTCATAAGTAATGTAACAAACCACCCCCCCAAGACTTGAGTATTTATACACTTGTACTTGTTGTTTGCGAGCAGGCTTCTAAATAACATTGCGACTTTAATGAGCAATGGCACTGGAGAAGACCTTTGGAAATTTCTTGAGACTGTATATAAGAGCCCGGTTCCCATTCCTGGTAGTTCTATTTCTATTCCTGTACCAAATTCTAAAGTGGTAAATCATTCAATAGGTTCATTCCATATACGCCGTATTTCTTATGTATTTGTACTATTCGTTTTTTTTTTATTAACAACTTCCAGAATTTCGTTTGCCAAAGTCCAAAACAATTTCAATTGCCAAGTATACCTGAAAATGTAAGTAAAAAGAAAAAAAGCTAATTTCAATGTTCAAGAGAATTAATTACAACTTTACTCATCATACTTTCATTTTAGAGAAACTTGACCGAATATTACAGTGCCGTCGATGCTCACAATATGATGATCATATTCGCTTCTATGCTGTACGAACGTCGAATTATCTTCACTTCGAAACGCCTCTCGAGATTAAGTGCTTGTGTTCAAGCATGTAACGCTTTAATTTATCCTATGATTTGGCAACATATATACATCCCAGTTCTACCACTGTCTTTAATTGATTATTTGTTGGCCCCGATGCCATTTTTAATTGGTGTACCTACGCCAACCCTTCAGGTATTTGCACAGATCATTAATTATAGACATAAATGATTTGTATCCTTACTCTTTGATGTGTTTCATGTGGTTCCTTAGAGAGTACGTAAAAGCGATTTAGGAGAAGTAGTTATATTGGATGCCGACGTAAACACCATAGAGTCTCCGTTCCAAGACTTGGAGTCTTTACCTCAGGATGTAGTTCGTATAAAATTGTGATTTCAATCGTGGAATAAGAACGACATTATTAAGAATCGAGACGTCTTAAATAATAAAATAAAAAGTTTCTTTGTCCCAGGTGACAAACTTGAAAAAGGCATTGCGCAACAGATCCGCCCTACTCGGAGACGGTGTGTCAAGGGCATTTTTGCGAGCGTTGGTGCAATTAACAGCTGGCTACAGGGACGCATTAACGCTAGAGCAAGGACAGAGTATTACGTTTAATCAGAATGCATTTGTGGAAAGCAGACCATCGTCAATGCAACCCTTTTTGCGAAAAATGTTGGAATTACAGATATTTCAACAAGTACAAATAAACATATATATATATATATTTTTTTTCATAATTTGATTTATAATTTTTCATAATTTTTCATAATTGTTAGAAAAATTTTGAGCAAGACGTTGAATTTAACAACGGTAATAATTTCAGTTCATAGAAGAAAGACTGAATATGCTTAATTCAGGGCTTGGGTTTTCTGACGAATTTGAAATGGAGGCCTGCAGCTATTCTGCTAAATCTGGTAGCAAATTTATGCAACAGTATCGCGAATGGACGTACGCCATGCGAAAAGAAAGTTCTGCGTTTTTCCGCAGTGTGAAAGACAAGGTGCGTTAATTCAATTAATTTCTCCTCTAAAATATTCTGGAAATTAGCTGTCAAATTGAAATATCGTAAAATCAAATTTTTTGTGTTCTTGATTGCACTCAATTCCAGGCCAATCCAGCTGTAAAATATGCAGTTAAATCAGTAAGTTTAGTGTACAGATCAAATTACAGTTTCTTTGATTATATGTTCTGTCGTTAATTATACTAATTATAACTTATTTATACTAATCATAAGTTTCGCTAATACATATGTGTGTGTATATATATATATATATACAACACACATGCTATAACAATAAAAGCAGCATAACAAGAATAATTCTAATATTAAGATTATTTACCAACTAAATCAGTCTCTATAAAATTCTCTTTACTTTTAACACAGTTACTATTAACAAAAATTTTATTTGCAGGTAAAAGATAAAGGAAAGGATATGAAAACGGCATACAAAGGATTGAAATGGAAAGGTATGACAAAATTTTAAGGGATCCTTTTATAAAGTACATTAGATAACATATCAACCAAGTCTTTTTTTTCAATTCTCAGGCCGATCAAATAGAAACGATACAAGCATGAGGTTTCATCAACCAAGATCAGCGCCTAGTTCACCAACATCGGATAGGAGGCCTATCGATTTTACATCTCCACCAAAATCGCCAAATGGTTTCACAGCCACCACTAGTTATAGAAAAGATCTTCGATTACGTAACAGTAATTTCACTGATCCGAGGTGCGTTTTTATAGTTTCTTCTTCGAAGTATCAATTTCTATTACAAAGTCAAATATGCATCGTTCAAATTACAGTAGGAAACAATATTCGCCATTAAGTCCTAGTTCCCCGGAAGAATCTGATTCCCCACCAGAAAGAGTGAATATCGATCTAATGCAAGAACTCCGTCATGTGATATTTCCAAATAGCCCGCCTGTTGATAGAACAGTACGTATATTTTTAATTTACATTTGCTACGTATGGAGAAATTTATAATAAGCATAAGTTTGAAAACATTTCAATTATGAGTATTTTACATGTAGTCCTTATGTAATTTTAATTTAATGTATTGCAAGGCGTTGCTTATTGTGTTGCGTATATGTGTATGCAATCAACATCAGTAGCATGATCATTTAAAAAGATAGAATTAGCTAGGGTAACAATGATTTACATGTAAATACACGTTGAAACACGTGTAAATCATATGCGCATATCATGCATGTACAATCTCCAGATATCTTAATACGAATCAGATAAAGTAATACAGTACGTAGATTTTTATAATAATCGCAAAAATTACGGTTTGGTGCAGTTAAAAAAAAAAGTTTTAAAATATGCATGTGAAATAAAGTATGATATGAAGTAACGTATATATTATAGAGAATCGTATTAAGCACTTCTTTTTTATTCAACAGATATGTAAGAATGTTTCATGCATCACTTTCAGTTGAAACCAGTGCGCAGTTTAGACAGCTTGAGACCTGCATGGAGTGGGCATATACGGCACGGCCCTCCACCTAGTACAATTGTCACAAACCAAACTGTCACTCCTTCCGTAGAAACTACATCCTGCACTCCGCATTCCACCACGTTGATCAATTCGGTCACTCAGTCGAGCATCACGCCAAATACAAATGACACGTCAAGCTCTCAAATTAGCGCAAATAATAGAACGTTTCCGTTTGACGCTTTGGACTCGAAACAGCCAAATAAAACAGGAGAGGATAGATCGTCGCTTCTGCCCATTTCACAGAGAAGCAACGATAACGTTCAGTCGAGCAATTTCTTACACGAGATTCAGACAGCTGAATTTACAAAATACAATGCTTCGTCGTACTCCCAGAAAGCTGGCGTGAAACAATGTACAAGCGATATTGAAAATTCTGCGAGAAGCACGACGTTTTACAGCGACGATACTTTCCCAAGTCACGATTCTGATCTTTATCCGAAAGAGAACGACCCCTTCGACACTAGCAAAGTATTTATGCCTCCCTATTTGCAACCACCGATCTTTCAACCTACAAATGCATCGTTGTCTGTTAATTGTCACGTTCCATCCCATGTATACAATAGTACATCTTGTCCTGCGTACTCGAAGGTAAACATCGTCATTCATTATTTGTTCTGTGACTCTATATTCACTTTTTCTCACAAAGTCATTATGTAATCGTTCTAATACGTTATTGTACATTTGTCATTCCCTGTATCAAAGAAATCCTCTGTCTCACTGAAAAGTTCAACCTTCTTTTTTTCTACTTCTCCGATTCACGCTACAATTTATTTCTAAAACGTTGATCGATATATTTTCATTTTTTAACGAAACGTTTCTGTTATTGCTTGTAGGAGTCTCCCGAAGTGCCAGATTTAATTAGATTAGATTCGACAACGAGCAGCGACGACTTCGACCCGCTACTTTCTAAATCGTCCGAATGTTCTAAACAAATGACTCAATCGTTGAATATACCTGAAATGAGCGAAGGTCTTAGTAATCCTTTGTACCCCTACTTTCAACCATTGCACAAAAGTAACGATAAGCAACAGAGATCTTCCGACAGTGCCGGCGATTTGGATTTGCTGCAGGCCTACGGTTTGGATTTCAATAAGTTCAACATAAGCAACGGCGGCTCGCCATCGAAAAATTCCACGGTGTGCAACACATCCGAAAGCAGTATTAATATCGGTAGTACGTTCAGCTTAGGGTTAAACACGCCTGCCATTAAATCGCAAAACAATTGGACAAAATTCGAATAGGAAGTAAACTCAATTATTAATCACATATCACAATTGTATATACGATGTTAATACTGTTTTCTTGTTTTGTTATTCATGTCAATATAAATATCATGAAACATGCCTACAAAAATCATAGCTACGAATAGGGATTTTGACAGTAAAATGATCGTAGATTTCGATGATTTGTAATACTAACCATTAGTAAATACGGAATACAATGAATTTGGTTTTGTAGCACAAACGTAGTGATAAATATGCTCTTATACATTTTTTATATTGAGAAGTGACAAAATAAGATTTACAATATTCACGAATTTGATTTTGTGCAATTTCTAAGTCATTAGCTCTTCAGATTTATTTGTAAATTCATGTACGAAAGTTTGTTTCAATCGATATATATATATATATATTTAATTGAAATTTAAGCTACATTTTAGAATATTTCATATTATTGAGATGAATTTACGACATTTATATACACTAATGTAATAATAATCATTACAAAATTGTAGTAAAATGATATTTACAAAATAGTGGATACAATTCGTATTAGTTCATCAAACTTTCTTTCAAACATGATCGTCAAAATAAGTAAATTAATAGTATTTTTTCATAATTGATTTATAATAGGAATCGATCGGAACAAATTAAGTACTTTTATTGAAATTAGTAGTTGGTTCTTGTTAGATTTTAAATATATTAAATTTAATAGTTGTTGCATTTATTGGCAATGCTTTATAATAAATTAATACGAAAAGTAACTTTTCTCACAACACTATGATTATTTACGCTCCCTACATCGCTTATTCTATTTCATGAAGTGCTAATTTAAAAGGACGCAGGTTGATCTTACGAAAAGTATTCGTCGAATAGAGGCAACAAACGTTTAATAAAATATAATTTAATAAATAAGAGGGTGATGCGGAAATGAAATTCTGGAGCCTAAAGGATTCAAGTATTACATTGCACGTAGCACTGACAATGCATCAATAACTCGTTGCAATTCTCCTTCATTATTTCTCAGCTTCTCTTTGTTACTATTTTGTATATCCAACGGTACTTTAACGTTATACTCAGGAACTTCCATAGCCTGCTTAGTTTTATGGATAATGTCTATCAACTGCTCCTCCTTTTTGCTAAGTTTTTCTAACTCCTTCTTTGGATCAATCAAACCCTTGGACACGTTTAAACAAATTTAATTAGATTAAAGAGCACTAGTATATCAATATTAAATTTTTATCTATCTTAGTAGTAATTATTACCTTCAATAATAGATGTACTTGAACTTTGTCTGTAACAGTAACGATAGCACATCCTGTTGGTGGTTTTTCTATACTGATTATAGAATAAGCGAGAGTTTCTATCAACAATCGATACTCCATAAGTTTTTCTTTCAGGCTATCGCTACTGCATACGAGAAATGCTTCTGTCTTTATTTTGTTTGTCAAGTTATACGTTGCACGCGCTGATCGAATACTTTTTATTACTTTGTTCGCAAAATCAACGTCCTTCTCGATCTCTTCGTTCCTCCAATTACACTATAAACCGATCGTATGATTATACGATTCTTTTTTACGGATAAAAACATCCAAGGAATAATCAAACTGAAATATTTGCTAATACCTCTGATACTTCTGGATATGGGCTAACGCAAATACTGGGATAAAGCTCTTTCTTGCGAGGTAAGCGTTGATAAAGTTCTTCTGTTATAAATGGCATGAAAGGGCTTAACAATCTTAATCCTACGTCTAGTGTCCTAAATAAGGTTCTTCTAGCTGTGTACTTTCTATTGCTATCGTTACTTTGAAATACTGGTTTCAAATACTCCTAAAACAGTAATCCATATTAATTAGTAATTTACTTTATAAAGTAAGTTAAAATTAAAATTTTACATGTAATATATACAAACCAAATAAACATCACATAAATCGTATAGCCAAAGATTATAGCAAGCAGTGGTGGCAGTCGGAAAATCGTACTGTGCCATTGCTTCATCACAGACTTTTACTGCATAACTTACACGAGAGAGCATCCAAGAGTCTATATTCGTTTCAGAATATAACTAACACAAAAATCGATATTTTTTTATCTCAATATACTGAAAATTTTAACACAGATTTTTTAAAACTGTTTACCTGTTTCCTACTATTATTGTGATCGTGTACTTTACAACCACACTGTGATAATATTTTGCCTTCTTCTGCCCGGAATATGGACTGTTCTTGTTCAGTGTAAGACGCCATGTGTTTGTACCAACGATGCAAATGAGGATAGTTTGTTAAATTAATACCTAATACGGTAAAGTTTTGGTAAACCTTCGTGTCAATTTGTGAAGGGCTGTATCCATCTAAATAAGGATAGTCTGCTAAATAATTATTTAATGCATCTTGCACGCAATCTTCCATTAGGGTACTTTGATACCAATCATTATCACCTATCGTATTTTCGCTATGGTCGTTGTTAACTGCCTACGACAAAAAATAATGCGTATAAAAAATTCTGCAAGCCCTATAAGGTTATTAATATTAAAATTAAGCTTTACCAATTGAACACGTTCACCGTAATCGAAATTAGAATCTAGATACGTGAGAGAGAATTTCGTCGCATTCCATATTTTATTACAGAAAAATCGATATCCTTGTACACGAAGAATATCAAGATTAATATCACGACCTTGCATTGTGTAAGCGCAAAGTGCAAACCTTAAAGCATCAGTTCCACATTCGGGAATTCCTTGTGGATAGTCACGTTTTTGCCCCTCTATAGCAAATTTAAGCTCTTTTGGATCCAAATTTGAATCCGTCAGTTGTTTATGAAGATTCTACATGAAGATAATATTTAAATAATAAATATTTCGCTAAAGTGGAAAAAAATAACAGACAACACGCATACCTCTAACGATATTCCATTAATTACATCCATAGGATCTATAACATTTCCCAGTGATTTGCTCATTTTCCTTCCATGAGCATCTCGTACCATCGCATGTAAATATACCTCTCTGCAAAATCATTTTTGATACACGTTTAATTGTGAGAAAATAAAATATGAAAGTAAAATGATATTTACGCACTTAAAAGGTAATTTTCCTAATAACTTTTGTCCCAAGAAGACCATCCTTGCTACCCAGAAAAATAAAATATCATGTCCAGTCTCTAATAATGTACCAGGATAAAATGCTTCAAGTTCTTTTGTCTAAAATACAAATTATTTTATTTGAATATTAAATAACGAAACTAATCGGTATAAGCAAATTGTATGAAAGAAATGATTTCTATATGTACCTTATCTGGCCATCCGAATATCGAGAATGGGAACAGACCCGAAGAGAACCACGTATCCAGTACGTCAGGATCTTGCTCAACTGTAATATTACCTACATTTGTACCCAACTGCTTTGCAGCTTTCTTCTTAGCCTCTTTTTCTGAATGGGCGCTCACCCAATAATCACCATCTAACTAAGTAATATGAATTGTACAATAAAATGAAAAAAGAAAAAAAAAATTCCAACTCGACATTCTCTGTTTATTACCTTGACATTTCTGACTGGATTAATTACTTTAACACAATAAGCAGGAATACGATGACCCCACCATAATTGGCGAGATATACACCAATCTCTGATATTCTCCATCCAATGGTACCAAATTTTCTTATATTGATCAGGAATAATTTTCAGTTCACCAGATTTCACAGCGTCCATTGCCTTTGCGGCCATCTCACCACACTTTACATACCTAATAACAAAAATAACAAATGTAATGTACTCTATTGTGCGTTTTAATGATTACAAGTATGTAACTACCATTGAGGTTTCATCAATGGTTCAACGACATCCTTAGATCTACTACATATTGGCACTACCATAGGATTGTCCTTGATTTCAACGAATAAATTTCTTGCAGCTAATTCTTTTATTATTGCTGCTCTAGCGTGGAATCGTTTCATTCCCTGCGTAAAGAGGATATTTTTGAAAATGTCAATTAATTTTCAAGTGACAAAATAAAATTTGATATATAATTTTTCCTAATAGTATACATACTGTGAATTGTCCATAATCTCCAATAATATTCCCATTATCGTCGAAAATAGTGATAAATGGTAAATTATGCCTTTTCCCGACTTCATAATCGTTAGGATCGTGAGCCGGTGTAATTTTTACAGCACCTTTTTGATAGAATCATTTTAAATTACCAGTGCTTTGATTAAATCAGAATTTCTCATTAGATCTAACTACTGATCTAAGTACTGACCTGTTCCAAATTCCATATCAACAAATTCATCAGCTACAATTGGCAATTTTCTGTCGCAAAACGGATGCTGTACATATTTTCCGATTAAATGAGCGTATCTAGTATCTTTCGGATGAACCGCGACAGCTGTATCACCAAGCATCGTTTCGATACGGGTGGTAGCTACAATTATTTTCTCTTTTGAATTTGCAACTTCGTAGATGAACAATACTAGAACTCCAAATTCTATCTTCTCTTGATATCCAGGAATTGAAAGTAACGTCCGACCGGTTAATTCAAGTTTATCAACCTTAAAACATAAAACGGACGTTAGATTCGAGGGGACGAACAATCGAAAAGTTGCTATTCAGTCAAAGACATTTACTTCTATATCGGAAATAGCGCTCTTTAACGTGCAGGACCAATTGACTAATCTATTACTTCTGTAAATTACACCCTCGTCGTGCAGCCTTATAAACGCTTCCGTAACAGCGCGACACAATTTTGGATCCATGGTGAAACAAACTCTGTCCCAGTCAAACGATCCTCCCAACTTCTTCAACTGTAAGTAAATTCTGTTCCCTTTTCTGCAACGTATTTAATTATATACAATTGTATTGCATGTTTGTATTATACACAATCTATTCAAACATACTCCTCCTTCCACTTCCAAACTTTTTCTATAAATTTTTCTCTTCCTATGTCGTGACGCGTTTTCTTCTCCTCTTTCCAAAGTTTCTTTTCAACAACCACCTGGGTAGCAATACCTGCATGATCACAGCCAGGGTTCCACAGCGTAGTACGCCCTTTCATGCGGTTCCTAGTCAATTATAAATGTTCTTTACGCAAAATTATTATTTACAAATAGTTGAATCACAATACTTAAGCAAAACAAATTACATTGTGCTTCTATAGAATAAGTATTTGTGTTTCTACAGAATAAACTACATATTTCTATGCAATGTATATTATAGTTCAGGCATTGTTTTACCATCTTGTGATAGCATCTTCTACAGCATTGGTTAAAGCATGCCCAAGATGAAGAAATCCGGTTACGTTGGGAGGAGGTATCACCATAACAAACTTCCCTTTGGGATTTGGTTTTAATATGTCCCTCCTCTGCAAAATGTGTAAAAAATCACAGAATGAAACGGCGAAACGAAGCTTCGAGATTAACCTTTCATCAAAATATATTTTTATTACGTACACCGTATTCAGGCTTGAAGAAACCTTGTTTTTCCCACCATGCATACCATGCAGCCTCAACATATTTCGGGCTGTAAGCATCAGGCATTGGACAAGTAACGTCTTTCTTATCCCCGACAGGTGTATTTACCGCATATGCAGCTGATTCTTTGCACTCCTTTTTCCTTTCGACTTTCTGAAACGTAAGAACATTTATAATCGAAAGAAGCCTCTCTGTTACGAGTTGCGTAACTTAAGAAAAGAAGGCCATATGGATAATGTAAGACTTGGCGACTGAAGACGAAAAGAGGTCCGAGGTTTCAATGGTCTTACTTCAGGTTTGTCTTTCACTTTCGGAGCTTTGTCACTCTCTTTCTTTTCCTGTTTCTGCTTGAACTTGTCCAACTTCGCCTGCTTCTTCGCCTCTTTCTGTAGTTGTTTGGCGCTCTTCTGCGGGGCTTCGATCTCTCCGTTCATTTCCGCGCTTCTCATATCGACCATCTCACGAATTTTATTTTACGTTTCCTCCCGAACGTCCAATTTCTGTAATACGAATCGGCTGACGACACACTTTCAAAAATTATACAGTCGGCCATGCGCTTTCTCCACGCCACCCACCGTTGCAAGATCAGACTTCGATCAGTATTCATTGTTGCGATGAACAAAACATTCCGCTGCATTTCTTTTGCTAAACGCAAGATGGCACGGAGATAAAAATTAAGTTGCAGTTCTAAGTTTGATTTTTATCCAGAGGACTAGAAAACGAACAAATTGTAGAATCCCTATGTCTAGTTACATACATGAAAAATAATGTGAGATAAAAGTTAAATTACTGTTCTAGGTTATATTTTTCCAAAGGAATAGTAAATGAGTAAACTATAGAATTTCTATTTCTAGTTACATATGTGGAGTACAATATGAAGTAAAAATTAAATTGTGATTTTAAATTTTATTTATGTCCAAGAGACTAGCGTACGAACAAACTATAGAGTCCCTATCCCTAGTTATATATAAGGAGAATGTGAGGTTATGTTTGTCCCTATCGAAAATATTAATTGAACCATTGCTTGAAAAGCAAAAATAAAACAATATTGCATTACACGCAGGTGTAAGCAATTGGAACAATGAAAATGGAACGCGAATAAATGTATCTGTTAATAAAAAAATAAAGTTGAACGTTGATTGAATCAGTCTTTCTATTTCATGGACTTTGGTCACGTGGTTTTATTTATTTCCCCTAACGAAACGTAAAGTCGTGTATGTAACAAAAAAAAAAAAAAGTGCAACGTTAAATACAGAAGCGAGTAAAGTGTTCATTTACGAAAACAATAACACATTTCGTTTGTATAATTGTTGCATATTTATTGTAAATTTTACTTAACACTGAAAGTATTTGTTGAACTTTGTTAGTATCCGTACTTATTTAACTCTATCTTTTATCACTCGTTCCAGGCACGTGTGATCGGTTTACCGGTATTTATGCGTGCGACAGAATAACCTGTGCGACAACGTACACGCGCGAAAAGCGAAAACTTGTTATGCAATTTAAAGTATTGTGAGCCAGTTTCATAGTTTTCCACTTTTGTGGTTTCAAACAAAAAGGTGGCTACGATGGATCGCACGGGTATAGGAAATTCGCTGGGAAGAAACTTGATGTCTCCGCGGAAACGCATGTCAATCGTCCAGTCGTTGAAGAAGAGTAATTCGTAAGTCCCTTGCACATGCAGATCCAGATTAGTGAACTACGAATTTATATTTTTCTTTTTCACTCTTCTGTTTTTCTTTTCAGAGCGATAAGCGTGTCTGGACGATCGAACCAGTCGGTACAGATAATATGTAAAACGGCGAGTCACGTTGTAGAGAGCTTTGGATCCTCTTTACCTGTGCTTGTCACAGAAGCATTGACATTCGTTGACAAAAATACAGCTGTCAGTGTCAATATCTCAATAGATGGTTGGGCGTGGCTCGTGTGTGGCCGTAGGCTGCTCGTGTGGCAGTGTAAAACAACCATTCATGATTCAAAACAAAGGAGAACATTTAAAAGCCAGTGTCGCGAGTTGTTGTTACCTCAGAGTGATCTGGCTCATAAGGCAGAATGCATAGCAGTGTGGTTGCCTCAGGGACATCAGGTATAATACCTTGCTGACTGAATGAAAAAAATCTCTCATTCTTGAAATTAAGTCTGCTGCGTGATTGACTGAAGAGATTGCCACTTCTTTCTTACCCACACGTTTCATTTCAACTATTTACTTTTGTTATTTTGTCAGCTTTAGACTGACAACTCAATTGCAATTCACCGAACAGCTTTCTTGCCTTTGTAAAACAATTTTTGATAAAACTAGGCGTTAACTAAATGTTACTACCAATAATATTTAATTTTCTCTATCGCCAGGTGCCCAGCTGTATGGCTGTCTCTCCTGAGGGTATTGTACGTTTCTGGGTTAGCGTTGCACACGAGGGATCTTCCGTAGAAACGAGCGCAGAGCTTGCTGGACAAGAAGTTGACTGTCTCACTTACATCCCTGGTCACGGGTGTATTTTGGCCACTACCACGTGCACAGTGGCATTGTTACAGCCACAGTTTGTTGGTGGTAAGAACAGCGTTAACTGTCAGGTTCTTAGAACGAGCCAAGGATGGTTGGGCGGCATAGGAAGAAGAATGACTTCCCTCATCTTCGGAGCCATACCTCAGTCGCCAGTTACAGAAACTGTAAATTTCTCTATAACTGTATATCATTGAATTTTTAGTAACAGATATAATGCAAGAAATATAGAATACAACAGGTTTGGTTTTGTTTCATAGAAATTAGTAAAAGTTACTTGTACAACCTTGGGAGATAGAGGATCAAGAGTTCTTATTTTAGCTGGCTCGTCTTTGCAATATTGGTCTTTCCTTCATAATGAACAAGAAAAGATGGAGTTTGACGAAGATATTGGGTATATTATTTCGCAAGCTTTCCAACGAAAAATCTGGGTATGTGGAATATTATGTATATACAAGGAAGAGTTTGTTTATTTATTTACTTTATTTTAGAAATCAAGCGTATGCAATCCGCAAAACATGGAAACTTGGTTGATTGACATGCAACCCTGTAACGAAGGGATAGTTTTCTTAATGGCAGCTCATTGTGCTGACGCATCGCCTCTTATTGAATTTGCACTTGGTAATAATTGAAAAAATTGAGATATACTTCATCATGGAGTTTTATGTTATATGGAATAATTAATGTGTATCAATAGGTTTGATACAACTATCTGGGACAACGTTAGCAAATACGTTTAAGTGGTTTATACCAGTCAAGATTGATTCTATCTCGTATCACAATGACGCTGAATCAACATTGGTTTCTTACCGTTTCATATTATGTGGTTGGGAAGCTATTATATATAATCAGTACGAAGTGCTTGTTGTGAATTGTAAGTCAAAGTTCATTGCAAAATTTTATATAGGCCTTCTTTATACACTTTCGAACAAAACGATTTTAGGTATATCCGAGCACGAGCAAGATAAAATAGATTTAGTGCGGGGCGGAGAAGATAGTATTCTTGGCGGTGCACTGTGTTCAGGAACTCCAGTTTTATTTACCAAAAATTTCGGTTTAGTGTCCGTCATGCCATCAGATTTTATGTTACAAGATTTCAATATGTTTGTGTTTATTTTATATACATGGTCTTTTAATTACATATAATTTCGTTGGAAATAAAATTCATAAATATTTTAGGAGTTACACGGACAATGTTACTGCAAACGTGGATTATACTTATAGACCAAGTTCAGCCGCGCAAAATTTTACCAGTCTTATCAGTAATGAAGAAATTCAAAACATGTATTACAGTTCTGATAGTGTCACGCAACTGCGTGCTGCATTTCTCTTTAGTTTACGACAAAATGAGGTAAGTTTATTTTACATCATTCTAAGATTAATAATCTCGTTAACCAAATTATTCTCATCATAGGCTCAGTGCGACGAAATTTTATTGCATCTTTTTCCTTTGCAAGACGAACCAATAATGGATATAGATGCCACTCTTGACACGTTAATTTTAAAAGTCGCGAAAGATTTAATAGACGATTATCCGGCAAATGATCCACGTTGGTCAAATCACAGAGATTTGTGTAATTAAGTTTTTTACATTCCATATATAAATGCAGAATCAGTTTGTACAAATTTCACATACTATGCGTATTTTATAATAATAATCATATATTCATTTACAGCTATGACAATAAATGCTGTCACGTCTATGCAAATACCCAATCAATTGGAAGGGAAGCAGAAAGCCATAGATTTATTTATAACATTTCTAAAAGAGCATGATCTGTGGAACAGAGTAAGTTAATTTGTAATGTTGTTTTAGGTTCGACATAATATTACTACACTACATTTTTCGATTTAGTTCTGCGCTGTTACATATAGAGGAATAATTATGTCTACACCACACGTTCTTGGAGAATACGCAGAAAAAATAGTTGCCGCGCTGACTATATATAATCTTCAAAACAAGTAAATCTTTTTTTTTTCTTGTAATGAAAAGTATTTCTTGGCACATAAATTATTATTCTGTGCATATACATTATCATTCTACTTTGTTTTAAATTATTATTCTGTTCTTATCTTTGTTGTTTATTATTTCAAGGTATCCAGATATCGTAGATACAACAATAGAACAAACTTTAAATCCCGAATCATACGTATCCGATGAATTAACCGCGCGTGACATATTTTATCGTGAAGTCAGTGCTGTTCATCAGTTTCTTCCCACGTTAGTAAATAATGCATCAGAAGTGACTCAGTCTGAGAGACCCATCCAACAAGTAGCAAATTATATTATGCAAGTAAACGCCGTGTTATTGGTAGGTACAAGTCCAACGTGATTTTAGTAATAAAATTGAAAAAAGAATAATGTCAAGATACATTACTGACAATAGGGTATATTACACGAAGTGGTAAAATACCGGCAACACAATGCTGAACGATTCGTTCCGACAAGATGTTCGAACGGTATCACCGAGTATCTCCCATGGACAGCTGCAATTGGAAAACATGGGCTAAAAAATTGTCTGACCACAATGGTCAGTATTTATGTATTATAATTTTCTCGCAGTGAAGGTAAAATAGTCGCTGAGAAATTTTCATCGGTAATTTGTTTATTTCAGTATAACTTAACTCTTAAACACGGCATAACCGGAACCAACGATTCAACAGTGAGAAACGAATTGTACGAGCAGTTAGTAAGTTATATAGATTTAATATTGGACGGTCGGAAATGTCATTTAGAAAGCGTCAAAGGCACAGAGAAGTTCGAGGTACTTTTGAAGCAGTACGAAACAGACCGGATGAATCTGATTCAACCATTGAGTATGCGTTTTCTAGTTAAGTTGTGTAATCAATTAGATAGAAGCGGATATTTATATCAAATAATTTGTAGTAAAGGAAGAACAGTACGACAGCGCTGCGATGTTAGCCGAGAAGTATTGTGATTTTGCGTCCCTTATACAGATATGCGAATTGACTAACAATAAGAACCAGCTGGACGGTTATATGAAAAAATTTGCAGCTCAAGATTTCGTAGGATTTTTATTTTCATGGTGAATTTCTTTAGATAGACAGATAACTATAAAAAGTATTTTGTATTATTTTATATAATAGAACGTTTCTTTATTCGCAGGTACGTGAAAGATGGTCGACAGGGCCAATTAGTAGAGAAATGTAGACGCGGCGGTACTGTCGAATTATCAGAAAAATTGGCGGAACATCCAACCCTGTCGTGGGTGCAATCTGCTCTTACAGACGATTTATGCTTTGCTGCTAGTACGCTTTACTCGCTAGCAATCCAGGAAAGTGAATTGGTGACACGTAAAAAAGTACAACACTTGCTACAATACTGTCTTTTTAAGCTGTTCAAGTATTTTTTTACTTATGAATTACTCGTACTTTCACAGTCGATGCTTTCTTTGGCAAAATTGGCGTTCCTCGCTTCAGATGAACTGAAGGAAAAAGATAGACATCATGTAAAAAATATCGATAACGAATTGGCATTGGTTGCTTATCAGGAAGAATTGCCAACTCAAGTACTTACGACGTATGGTTACGATGTAGAGAAATTACGTGTATTTACACCGACAGAATTAATTACGGTATTGCTTTCTGTTACACGCACTGTATTTGATTTGATATAAATATGTAATATGTTTGATATAAATGTTGAACGTTTTGTAATTGGTGTAGTTGTACACATCTGAAGATAACATTGATGCAAACGAGTACGACTTCAAGAAAGCTCTCGACTTGCTCGAGTACGTAGAACAAGAAGATGAAAAAGTTTCTTTAAAATTGCAAACTTGGGCACGAGCTGCTAAACGGGATCAGTGGGATACTCTGGGAAAGAATCCTGAACAACAAGTACAGGAAACGATATTTTTCAAACTAATGGATCTTGCACACTTTACAGGTATATCATTAATTGTTAAAATTAAAGAAATAATTGCTCAATCATTCGATTTATAATAATACATACGCGAATATCATTATACTAATAAAATGTATTTCGTTCTATCTTCATACATAGGTGGTCAAGTAAACGAATTTCTTCCACCAGTTGATATGCTTTTGATAGAACCCGAATTAGGAAATCTTGCCGCATCGAGTAACTTTCAATTCCTGATTAAATTTGTGTACGAGTATGCATATAGCAATTATTGATCTACCTGAACAATTGTAAGTAAAAACAAAATTTGTATTTTTTTAAGTAATAAATAAATTTCTACACGATACAGTCATACAAATGATATGTTAAAAAAATTGTGTAAGTATTCATAAAAAGTATAAATATAACATAGTGCAGTTCACGTAAATATTCGAAATGCAAATAAGGCTAAAATATTCAACGAGATCAATGCTATATTTTTATTCGCAGGATTATGAACATTTTGTTGATTTGTTCTTATTATGTATCTCACTTGATCCGGTGTTTTACAGTCTATTTCTGAAATTTTGATTACATTAAAATGTTAAATGCAGATACATTAAAAGTTACATTAAAGCTATGTTAAGTATAGATATATCTAAAAGCTAGATGTACTATTTTTAATAGCCAATGTTTACCTGCACATTTATACAAAGAAGTTACGTTTTGTATGCGAAGATAAAAGTTAGGACAAGCTGAAGTGCTGGTACACTTAAAGTGATCAGTTAATGTAATTTCCTTATAACCAGATAATTCTGCGCACTGTAAATTTTGTCTATCATTAGATTGAAATCCTAACCATGAACAGGCTTTCATTGTACCATAGCCAAAAGTATGAATCTGCAAAGTTAATGTTACAATAAAACTGAAAGAAATAAAGACAGTCGTGAAACAATTTTTCCTCTGAATACAAACCGTAACTATTATTATTTTCATATTTCGCTTCCAATGTGAATGTATCCTGTAGGTGATAGATTTCGAAGGGCTTACATAATCTTCCCACTGGGAAATAATGTTTTTAGTTACATTTACGTCTGCAGTTGTCATGGGTCTTAATATTCGTGGAACTAAAAATATATACAGAATTAATATTTTATATATTAAATACAAATCTTAATTACTCAAGCAATAAAACATACTTTTCGATACATATTGAGTAATTGCGTCGATGTTAGAATTATTTATTATATAGTCTTCTTCCCATAAAATAAACGATTTGAATAAATTTTCATTATACCGTGATACGTAATATACAAAATGAACTTCTAAAAAATTAAGGGAAAAAAAGAAAAGATCATTGAAATTCATCGGTTTTAGTTCATATTTAAAATTATCATATTTGTATTTTTACCTGGATAAATATATTTTAATTGACGTAACAACGTTGTTGCCAATTCTTTTTCATCATTGGATATGTGCGCTGACGGAATTAAGAGCACAACTACCTGACCAAAATTTGCAATTATTTTGTTTTTATCATTGTACTCCCACGTTTTTTTCAAATAAGCGAATACGGTTTCCAAAACTCGAGCATAATTAAATCCTGTCGGCCCTAGAAAGTACGTCATTTATGATCATATAAAGAAAAATTTTTACAAAGTAGCAAATGCTTACACATAGCATTAGTAAAATTGTTTAACGCCTGAAACGCGGTTGATGGACTGTTTGTTACATTTAGCAGCCATTCTCCTGAAGTGCCATGTATTACACCCATTTTTGATCCGTACATTGATACATCCAAATCTTGCATAAGAGTCCTAAAATACACACGTACAGAGTTTAGAAATGAAAATATGAAATGCAACATCATGTTGATATGTACACTGTAGCTTACGCAAGAAAATCTTTTGTATATTCTATTGTCCATGCTCCATCGAATACAATCAGTGCTTCTATTTGGGGTTGGTTTACTTGATAGCAAGGTAGTTCAGGGAACAAGTAATTGTTCGCATACGTGTAAAACTTTTCAACTGCAATGTTAACCATTTGTTGCAATGCTTCAGGGGAAATATACGCAATGCTTTTACGATAAGCTAACATCTGAGCTATAGCGTAGGTCTGTTGTAAACGATATTTGCCAATATAAAATATAAAATACACATAGTATTTATAACGTTAGCATTAATAATTATAGGCAACCTGTTCATTCAGAATGGTCTTTGGTACTGCATATAGAAATGTTTGTGCTCGGTCGCAAGCTTTCACGTTTGTATTGAAGGTGACACCTTCATGTGAATAATACATTTGTAAAATTTGACTGAGTCGAAGACTGTAGAAATCTTGGATCCAAGTCTGTAAATAACTTGCAATAATCATTCCTGAAATGATTGAGCAGTTATTAAAATGGTTACAAACAAATGGTTAACAGATATTTAAAAATACTGAAGACGTTGCTAATTTACCGTCAATGCCTCCAATTAGTTCAGCTCGAGTTGCATCAAAATTGTCATGTAAACTTGTGAGATAATAAATTGTTGGACGCATCATATTCTGCCAAAATCCTGTTGCACCAAGAGCCATGTTATTTCCTAGTAAAGGACCTTGGTACACGACCATTTCCGCTAATTCACCTAATTGAACAGAATTTTCTGTACGTTGCACGTTTGTATTTATAATAATTAAAATAATACATTTAAAAATTTTATTTTTTGATGACCGAATTCATAATTGATTCTAATTAATGATAATAAACCTAAAATATTGAAAATATGAAAAATAATCAACATCTATATCTATACATAATTATAAATAAAATGAATTTTCATTCTATTTAAAAATCTCAAGCAATAATAACTTTTAACAAATAAAATCAAAATAATTATTAATAAAGTAATTAATAACATATGTAAGTTGTATAAAATTATTATATACACGTATCATTAATACAACGTGTTTTTTTACCTGCAATTGTTGTTAACCATATATTATCAATTTTCACAGATGAAGCCATTAAAGCATCATACCACATGAGTGGTTTGTGAATCATTTGATTTCTTGGTAAAACAAAATCGACTTCCTCTTCGTTGTACGTGTTTGTAGAATTCATTTCTAATGGAAAAGGAGAATTATTAAACAAGACTTTATGACAAGGTCAAATTAACAACAATGTTATACCTAAAGGAGGTGTTTCCGAACTTGCAATTAATTGATTTGCAGCAACATTCTGATGTTGGAGACATGCAGCAATTGCTGCTATAATTGTTCCAGGAGTAATGGTACCGTACGGAGTTAGAATCACTCCTTGTTGTCTTGGACAGTTCCACATGTCAGTAAACGCAGTATTTCCTAAATAATAATTTTTTTATTCTTATTGACTTAAATATTTTCTTCTCTCTCTCTCTCTCTCTCTCTCTCTCTCTCTCTCTCTCTCTCTCTCTCTCTCTCTCTCTCTCTCTCTAAATTACCCATTAATTTTTCTATAGTATGACCACATGATTTGTTTTCATTGTTAGGTTTCAAAACTGTGTTTGAAATAGCCTGATGAAGCATACATTGCTCTTCCTGTGAAAGTATATGAACCGGTAATGCGTTTGCATTGCCTGGAACTAATTCCTCTATCAATTTGTATTTAATATATTGCGATCCTGTACCACTGAATGGAAGCACATCTTCTGTGACTTGAATATTCTGTTGGTATTCAATACCATCAAATTTGAATCTACAATTTGTAAAATATATTTGTTATTTTGCAGTAGAATAGACAGATATTAATAATTGGACATATTACAACCTGTGTAATATTGATGAAGCCATTAGTCTCATGTCTATTGTTGAATAGGACTCCTTTTCCATCTTCTGTATAATGTCCACTAATACACGCAAGTTCAGCGGATGTTGAGCATTGAATGTTGCATTGTTTCTATAACATTCTCTAAGTGATTTGGGTACACTTGTTTGCGACCATATCAACTGCAATTCTATCATACAGAAAAATACTTAAATATAATATTATAGTTCATGATTTATTTTCCTAATGTCGTTCGTTAATATATTTTATTAAAATTTGTGGCAACTTACCGCAGGATATGATCAATAGAATAATTTTAACAAACGCCATGTTTAAATTATATAGAAATCTGTGTTATTAAAAATTTAACGTTTACTCTTTGATGTCCATATCTACTCGAATCTTTAGAATGATTCACTGTCATGTACAAATCAAAAAAAATCTTCCTCTATTTAATATTTGATAAGATAGTAGTAAGTAGAAATATCTAGTTTTTTTTTAAATGAAATTTTAACGTTTATAAAAAGAATTTTTTTATTATTGACAATTTTAATTTAGACATTATGTTACAAGCGTTAACTCAAGTTTAATTTAAAAAAAGACTGTTATACTGCTTTGACAAAGATTTAGTTGTTTGTGCAATAAAATAAATTGGTATTTCATGTTTGAAAAATATAGTAACGTACAGCAAAAATAATAAACAAATTATTTATTTTTATCAACTGATTCTATTTAATATTTCTAGAATTCTGAGATTACTTATTTTAGTAGAACCTGCAATACCTGTGATAAGGTGTGGATTGTTACTCATGTATTGCATTATCTTATCTGATAGGTATCATTATATCTTTGGATAGGTGTGGTGTATTACTTTACTAAACAGAGTTGAAGGAGTATCATATATATTCTGTACTGAGAGTGACTAAAAATTACTTATGGTACGTATTTTATAATTTTCTCATATAAATGTTATTCATTTCCCGCTTGTTCCTTCAAGTATAAAATATATCTAGCAATCGATCGAACAATATATTTTATATATTTTTATGTTATCCTTGTGTTATTCTGCATTGATCGACACAAAAAATCTTTATTCTAATTTACAAACCATCAAGTTACAGGAATCGAAGTATTAATTCCTAACACTCTCCACACATCCACCTGCAGCAAGATGGCAAAATTTTTGTACTTTTTCATTTTCATCACGTTGAGTAAGTAAAATATTCTTATATAAGTAAGCCGCCGCAAGATCAAACGTAATGTAGCTTGTGATTTTCAGCTGTGCGGGCGCAGGAGAACGCGGCTCGAAATCTCTCGCCGTCACTGCGAGAGTGTTACGACAACAAATATCTTTTGGAAAGAGATAATAGACTACCGCATACTTTGAATACGTTCATCGCGATACTTCGTAAGATTGAAAATACAGAGGGCCTCAACATGGATTTGAGAAGTCTGTCCGTTGCACTTTTGCATCGGTAAGTTCAGGTCACACATTACAGAGCAATAATATTGAGTGAGAAGAACAATTTCATTGGCTCTGATTCACAGTTTCCGACAAGACGGTATAACCCAGAATCCTGCGATCCCCGATCAAGATGGAATATCACCTTATTCACCGAGTGGTCATCAATTCGCCCGTTTCGCCGAAACGTTGCGGCTCATACCAGGAAACGCTTTAATGTTCCCCAATAACAGTATCACCGACGTTGAAAGAGTACGTAGTACGTGTGATACAGACTATCGCGTCGTATTTACGAATCGACTTCTCTAATGCTGTTAATCGTCACGTTGCAGTGTACGTTGCACTTCATGTTATCAAGCAGCGTTGAAATTTTTCAAAGAGGAGACGAAGCAAAAGTCTGCAGATTTTCAGATAAGTATAGATATCCAAGAGATATTAAGAGCAGGGATAAAGCAGCGACCGAGACCCCTGTTAACGACGTGGAGACGTTGTCGTCCGACGAGATGTAAGTAGAAGAGACAACGTGAACCAGTGTTGCTGTACGCACAACAGTTTTGCAATCGATATCAGAAGTAAAATGTAATTTTTTTTTTCGTAGAAAGAGTATGACTCACCATAAAACCGAAGGTAAACACATTACGATCGATCCGAATTCGCGATATCCGGAAGTACCGCCTAATCATCCAGATAGTGCGCGAATGATGGACTCGCCTCGTAGCAAATGCCCTATAGAGAACGGCGTTGTGAAAACTTTGTGAGTTCGTGAGATTTGACTCGAGCTATTTTATCGAGAAAAAAAAAAATAATAATAATAATAACTTACGTTTTTAGATGGGGTACAACTTCTCTCGGCCTGGTGCTGGCTGGTATAGCTGCAGCTACGCAACCAGAAACAGCCAGACTTCCCGACTTACTGTCAGCGGACGTTTTAAGAAGGAATGACACAGATTTAGTGGGACGAACTTTGGAAAATAAGTGGCTCGCGACTCTGGCAGGTAATATGAATCTCCTTTATAGATAGAAATAAAGTTGATAAAGCAAGTGTGTGACGTTGAACAATTGCTGAAATTACAGGAGATCTGGCGGAAGTGGCTTTGAGACAAGGCCCCAAAAACAAAGATACCAAGTTCAGCGTTGGATTGGACGGCTTTTGGAACTCCACCGCGTTGCCACGCTGGTATTTCCTGAATTCGAACAACAATTATGATATGACAACGGCGGAGATCAGAGGGGACTTGGATGGCTTGATTTTGGCCGACGAGACTTACAAGTGGTATTCTGCCATACCTAACTTGAGACTGTCGCAAATTTTCGACATGTACTACAGCTCGTTAGGATTCTTCGACTCGTCCATCAGAGCGTGCAATCGGAGAACAATGTTCACAGCTGTTGCGCCAAACGACACGTTGGTCGCTCAGGTGAATTGGTTTAATATATATATATATATATATATATATCAATTGTGAAACATTCGAGAGACAAAAACCTTTTATTATTGATATTTGCTCGTAGACGTACAGTGCTTCTATAGTGTTGGCGGATTTAGCACACGCAACGCTCGAATATCCGGTAATTGAAAAGTTCTCGGTACAAGCAGTAAACGAATTAGTGAAATATGTGCGTAAGTACGAACAATTCACATTAGATTTGCGTCACGTTAAACACAGAAAGGAACATATTTTGTTTAATGTTTTTATAGCCACGTCTATGAACAGGGATCTTTCCTGTGCTGACACGGATAAATCGTATGATTTCAATCAAATATCTGTCGACTTGACAATTATCTTGGACACGAACTGGAAGTACTCTGTGATAAAGCCCACTCTTGCGTATTTACTGGAAAGCATAGACATAAATCAATTTAACTCCAACTTCACGTTGATAAATGGTCAAGATGGAACACTGATGATCAACAGCACTTCTAGCATTTTGGATTTCTACGCTTACAATTCATCTCATTATGAAAATGGTACGTACCAAGTTGAGTGTGTTGATGATAAGTTAGATTTGTAATGAAATAATTCTTTTCAGTTACTCACGGTTTCGATTTACCGAAGTCGCTTAAAGAATTGAAAGCACATCTGACAAATAAATTAAATATGGAACGTGTTCATGGTGTGGCTGGTGCACGTTCTGACGTTGTTTTAATTGTTCCACAGATTTCTGATATATCTAAAACCGATAAAGATTATTGTTTGCAAACTATACAGCAAATACGAGAAAACTTTCCAGGTAAAGCTTTGTATCACTGTGGATTGTGTGACGAGCTTTTGTATTAAATGGGTATATTGCATAGTTTTGTTACCGATTATTCTTTCAGATACGACTATACTTTTCATGGCAGTGTCCAAAGATTCGTGGTCCGATCTAGTACAGAATCGCACGACAGATTTATTTTCTATTGGCACCGAAGATACAGAAGAGGGTTTACGACCTATAAATAACGTAGTTTCAAGAATTAAGTTAGGTAAAGAAAATAAGTATCTTAATGTTGATTCCTTCTCCATACACATAAATGAAAGAATAATCATTGTGAATGATTTGTTGTAGTTCCCAAGCGATTATTCAATAGCCAGTGTGGATCAGATTATGTTCCATATGGACTTGTAAATTCGTATGATGATTACATTTTACCAAATGGTACTAACTTTTACAAGTTACATCCCAATTACTTTTTTAATCAGCAAAATACGACAATAGTGAAGGTAGGTTTCCTTTTAAATATTATTATTCCATGTGTACTTGCACATGCACAATTTTTTTCTAAATAAGGCAATCTCGTTATTTTTGATTTTTACCTTATTTTGAATCATAGAATATTACAAGTATATACTATTTTCAGATTCAAAGCTTAGACTCAGACAGTTTGGTTATATGTTCGTCGCGAGACGCTAATGCAATTAGGCAAACATCTCACGCTATAGAAACATCTGATGCGAATGTCGTATGTGCACGAATATCCAATAATATACACATCATTGAAGTTTCTTGTTATCATGTCACTTTTATTCGTGATTGCCCGCCACTTTATATATCTGTGACTTCAAACTCCACAAATAATCCTTACCGTTGTACCGGTAAGTATATTAAATAAATATGGTACAGAAATTACTGAATAATTGATGTTAATAATATTAAATATCGTTTTTAGATCAACGAGTTTGCAGAATTCCTAATATGATAAGATATACTATATCCTATGAAAACATGGTGTGTACTAATGGAGCAACTAGACTTGCATTTAACTTTTCTGTTTTAATGATAATTTTAATTTTATTAAATATGCAATAATTGCCAAACTTTACACATAAATTTAACAAAATATTTAATTATATAGCGATTTAATGAATAAGCCAACAAAAATTGTCCGTTTTTGAATAACGTAATTCTACGTAAAAATGTTCAGTATTCATCAATTAAATTTTATATATGATATAATATAAAAATCAATTAACTAAATATGTAATATTTTTATACAACAAATTGTAATAACAATTTATACACAAGTTTTATAATAATAAGTAATATATACCTCTTGTAATGTGAAACTATGCTTCAAATAAAAGGTTTACAAAGAGCAACTGTATGATCTATTCCGCAGGCTACCTTTTTTACTTGTGCCCCTACAGTGACCTGTAGTGAAAATTGTTGTCCTTTGTAATAATACTATCTTTCAATAACAAATATAATCTTTTACCTTTAATGGAAAATATTGGTCCTTCAAATCCCCTAATCCTAAAGATCCGAATTTGTTACAACCCCACATGTACAAGTCACCCATATTAGTCAAAGCTGCAAGGTGACTCATACCGCAAAATATCTTTACCACCTACAAAAAGAATTACATTATTTTTGTCTTCTTCCCACGCAGCGCGATCGAAAAGTCCAATTACGTTTGATCGCGATGTGCAACAAACATCGATATGTTTGGATTCTGCCAGAGTTAACGTGTTCAACTTTATTGACACTCGTTCGTCATCGCATTCGTTTGAAGATTTATCAAGTGCACATGTGCCGTGACAATTTTATAATACTTGTGAGGGACGCGCCCTCTGGTCTTGGTTTTACTATCAGGGGCAATAAACGTATAAACGTAATGTAAAGGACGCATACCTGGGCAGTACCGTTAGACCAATAAAGCGAAAATTACTTGAGAATTACATTTGCAAACGATTTACCTTTGAACATTTGGAAAACGATTTACCTTTGAACATTTGGAAAACGATTTACCTTTGAACATTTGGAAAACGATTTACCTTTGAACATTTGGAAAACGATTTACCTTTGAACATTTGGAAAACGATTTACCTTTGAACATTTGGAAAACGATTTACCTTTGAACATTTGGAAAACGATTTACCTTTTAAAGAATCGACCTTAGATAAGGTCGACAATGCATAGAATATTTTCGCTATTTTACTTTACTACTTAATTACCGTTTAGACAAGGTTTCTCCAATAACTTCTTTGACTTAAACAGTCAATTTTGTAGCAAACTTACTTTTGTATTTTTCTGGTATGCATTATTTCCAAAAAGTACAGATGGAATTTTCGTTGGTTGTGAAACTTTCTTAACTTCAGGACCAAGACCAAGAATACCATAACCCCACACATAAACATCACCTACATCTATCAAATTCAAACTGTTACAGTACACAATTGTAAAAAGTAATTAAGTACTTGAATAAATACTTACTGTTTAATACCATACAAAAGCAGCCACCACTGGCAATATCTACAATATGACCTAACTGTTTCAATGCGCTTAATTCCGTGGCTATGTTTACCTGTTGATTCTCACCCTCTATAAATAACTGCGCATATTCAGAATTGCCCCAACCAAATACGATTCCTTTGTCTGCAATCACGTAACGTCCAAATCGCGTTAACATTTTCTTAATATCTACTTCCATGCGAAATAAAATGTTACAATTTATTACGGTATTAATGAATATTGCAGATACCGCTGAGTGCTAGTACACAGTCTGCGACACACGCAATTTTTATAATATGCTGCCCAGCCAAGTCTCCTTTCACCAAACTTGGCCTGTATTCATTTCGGTAATGTGCCAATCCAGTTTGTCCATCCGCGCCCCAACCAAAGGTATACACTTCACCACATTCTGTCAACAGTACGCTATCACATAGCAGGAAGGTAAAGGAAAAATTCTCAAATATTGTAACCAATTGAATGTGAAATGTTACAAACTTTCATACCTGTGATCTTGGCCAGCCGTTACGGCTTTGACCTTTTTCTCTTTTATGTTAGGTATATGATGAATAATCCTGCTCTTTTCATAATTCTCCTCCGGAATTATAGGACGACCGCATTGTCCGTACGCATTGTTTCCTAGTGTAAACAAACCTTCATCCGTCAATACCAACAAATGCGCTCTTCCAGCTGCCATGTCTAAGACTTTAGTGGAAGAATCTTTGACTGGAAGATTAATGAGTCTAGGTTCGGTTATTAAGCCATTGGGAAACTTTCTGTCCATTTCGTTGAAACCTGGCGGTGCATGAGAAATTAGAATTTGACCTTTGAGACGTCGAGTAGTTCAACAGAAATTTCAATATACCAAAGGGATAGAAATGTTGACAGATTTGTTAATAAAGATAAATTTAAAAATGGTTCAGAGATATCCATTCTCTTACCAAGCTGAGAATCTGTGTTTATCCCGCTCCCGTACAAAATATTCTTATCCTTGGATCTCACAGCAAAAGCAGTGAAACCATAGCCACATGTTATATTCGTTACGTCGTGTTTCTCTCCAAAAACCAATCTTTTTGGCTTTGGAATGTAAGAGATGCTCTTGTCGAACTTTGTTGTTTTTAATGTACCGAGAGCACCATGATCCGCCAAACCCCAGACGTACACTCTGTGATCTCTTTCGTCACTTATTGAGTATCGAAAAACTAACATGAAATATTATAGATTAATAATGTTAGAAATGTTATTGATTAACGTTATAAGTTAATACAAAGAAGAGCCTCCAAAAACTTGTGCGCATTCACAAATATTATATGATGTTATTACCAACGAATATAATATAATATAATATTAATATTGAAATATCATCAATGAAATTTGTCTTGCATCCATTTCCCTCACCTGGCAAAGGTTTCGAGACTGTTTTATTCTCAATTTTGTTAAGCTGTACAATTCTACTCGGTTGTTGCACGCTCCTTCTCAAGCTCGTTTTTATCGTGTTTAGCATGCTTGTCGCGGTTCTTTCATTTAAAAAACTTCATGCGCTTCGAGCAATTTCATTTGTCGATTGAACCTCGTCGGTCGACCTTCGATCAATCTAGTAAATCACAAAGCTCGCTTAATTTCGATCGTTCGAACGAGGAAGCCAAAGTTTGATTTTTCTCGTTAATCTTCAACTGCCTTCCCCCTCCCCCAGAGTTGGAATCGAAGCTAAAGGCGTCGTTTCATGTGCGGCGACCAGCGATCAGTTAAGCGCGGATAATTCAAATGACCGCACGATATTTCACAAAAAAAAAAAGATTGCAATGCGTAAACCGTTGCACGACAAAAACTAAACAAATCAAAACTTATTTCAGCAAATATCGTTAAATTGCTTTAGATTACGTTAGATTAAATTTGGTTTCTTTTTTTTTTCTTAATTAAAATTTACAGATAAGAACGTAAGGCATTTCAGAATTTGCGATGGAACAGAAGAATCGCTTCAAAAAATGTAACACGATAATTGCAAGGTCGAATTTTCATTTAAAAATGAAACGAAACGGCACCAGAAATGGGAAAAATAAAATTGCCCGGGAGAATTTCTGTCACAGATGAGAAACATAATGGTACGTGATTTCTGTCGAGGTGCATTCCCGTCGGTAAAGACGGGACGGCGTATCGATCGAGGTCGCGCTGTACGCTCGTATGAAAATAGATTGGCAGGGACGAGCTTTTGCACAGAGAGGTGCGTTGCTCTAGATGTAATTCATGGCAGTTCTGGCGAGTGAATTGGCAGCCATTTTTAAACTGCTGAGTATAAAAGAGAGCAGGAAGGACGTGAATAATGAGGGTTCAGACTGCGAGATAGTGAATATGTGAGCGTGCGACGGACGGACAGAACGACGAGACTCGTTGATCGGACGCGACGAACGCAAGGGAAAAAGGATTATTAAGGGGAATCCAGTGGTGTTCATTCCCCGAAGTGCGAACGTACGTCCTCCGAGCGGTGGAGGGACGGTGCTCGAGCAAATACACTTCGTCCCCGTGACGATTGATGAAATGGTGAACTGTCAACACCTCCGCAGTGGGAATATGAACGTGACCCGTGGCAGTCCGTAAACCGTGCAAAGTAAGATCGGTCCGTCTGTAACGGAGACTCGGTGGTGTTAGTTTCCCGTTTCGATTTCAGTTAAGGTTAATCTATCCTCGATGCCGCGGGGCCCCGGCTAGGAAAGCGCGAGAGTGAGAGTGATGTCGGTACTACCATGCGAGAGATCGACGAACGAAAAGATCGTGTCTCCCGGATGCTAAGTTCCTATAATAATGGCAGATAATGTGCACAGAAAATCGCACAAGCTGTCCGACGGTAGTAGAAAGATATCGAACCCAGTGCACCGTACCACCACCGAGACGATCCGACTAGGCGAACCGGAGAGACTGTACCAGCCGGTTAGTCTGATCAGCCCGGGCAACGTGGTGACCGCAAGTGGCAACCAGTGCCGGAAGAAGACGTCCTCTTTTCAGATAACCAGCGTCACCGTTGGCTCCCGTATGAGCAATGACGCCGGCGAGGACTCGAACGACGACCTCGACGAGTCGCACACGGAGGACAACTCGGTGGAACACTCGCGCATCACCGACATCGAGACGCCCAGCTACTCGGAGGACACGTTCTCCAAGGAGGATGTGTTCTTCAACGCGGGCAACGCCGCGCTCAGCACCGCCCCGGTGATCCCGACCAGCTCGCAATACGGCCTGGCGATCGTCCCCTCCGAGGGGAACAACGTCAGCAACTCGGTGAACGACAGCAATATCAACACCCTTGACATCACGTCCGTCACGGACAACAACATCATCAATTTACTCTCGAGCAATGCCAAGCAGGATGCGGATCTCCGCGAGGTACACTCGCACGGCAGGAACGAGAGGTTCAAGGTGGTGAAGATCGAGAGCACCGAGCCGTTCAAGAGGGGCAGGTGGACCTGCATGGACTATCTGGACCACACGTCGGTGAACCAACCGACGGCGATCAGCACGCCCAAGGTGTCCGATCCGAACGAGGTATGCATATCCTACGGGGTGACGGACAGCGGGATCGTCGTGCCGGACGCGTCCAAGCAGCAGCAGCAGCCTACGGTTGTGCCTGAGGAGAAAGGCATGGGGATCGACGCTAACGGACAGGCACAAACCGGCCACGCAGATGTGCACACGTCGATCGGCGTGCCAAGCAATCCGACGCCTGTCTCCAGTGCTAGCTACGCGGTGAGCAACTCGATTGGACCCAATGCGCAGCATAATCCAACGCAGGTTCAAACGCAGCAGGCCAAGGTTCAACCGCCCTCGCAGATACCCCAGTACTTTCAGTCGTCGGCCCAACAATTGGCTTCTCAGCAACAGAGCGGCCAGGGTTCCACGTTACCTTCCAACCTGCAGCCGACCCATCCCAGTAACTTGACCCAACCTCAGAGTATGCCCCAAGGTTCTATCCCTATAATAACACAGACTGGTAGCAGCAATGTGACCCCCCAACAAAGTATACCTCATTCGAAAGAAGATACCTATGTGACAGTGAACGCGCAGAGTCAGTCATTGCCGGTTCAAAACGTTTGCCAGCCTCCCGTACAGCAGACACCTGTACCAACGTCCCAGGCACCTAATATTCTTGTCACGCAGCAACAGCAGCAACATGCCCCTCAACAACAGCAACAGCAACATCCGCCGACTCAGCAGCAGCAGCAGCCACAGCCTCAACAGCAACAGCCTCAACCACAACCACAGCAGCAGCAACAGCCTCAAACTCAGCCTCAGCCGCAGAGTCAGCCACAGCCTCAGCCCCAGCAACCGCTGCAAACACAGAAATCAATGGCTCAAATGTCTGAGCCATTGACCGCAATACAAGGAATACAGGGCATCCAAAATATTCATAAAGTTCCTCAGACAGGCGTGCAGCAAACCTCGTCGACCATTCACGCTCCTGGAGCACCGGTGCAATCGCAAGTGATACCGCAACCTTCACAAATGCAACCTCCAACATCCGGTAGCAATGCTCAAGTACAAATGGCACAGGTATCCGCTAGTTGCCAGAACGTCGTGGGAGGTATGCAACAGGGAAACATGGCGTTTCATCAGCCAGATCCGGAACAGGACTCTATTTCAGGCATCGTAGCTGGATCCGCTCAGTCGACTGACACGACCCTTTTAGAGTCGTTGACCGAAGTCACTCAGGGCAGCGACGAACACCATACCCTCGAAGATAATGAAAGGTACGTTTTGTCAAATTGAGATCATGCGGTCGTTGAAATTTTTGTAAAAGAGAATATTTAACAGATATTTCTTCTTTTAGCAATAGTAAAGTAGTTTTTAATAAGATTGTGAATTTATTTGTCACGGTGTCTATGTATACTTTATAAATGATATAATTTTCGCATGGAATTTTCATTGCAGTATGTCGGGGACAAGCGCTGTAGCGATTGATAATAAGATTGAGCAAGCTATGGTAAGTGTTCCCCCCTCGCCGTGGGGGACAATTATCCGTTTAGCGAATGAAAAACAATATCGGAAGAATTAACAAACGATCTTTTTGTAGGATCTTGTTAAGAGCCACTTGATGTTTGCTGTACGGGAAGAAGTCGAAGTACTCAAGGAAAAGATAGCTGAGCTTATGGATCGTATAAATCAATTGGAAGCTGAAAATTCAATCCTGAAAGCACACGCGACACCAGAAACGTTGGCTCAATTGAGTCAATCAACAACAAAATTACCCCAAAACAATTCAGGAAGTGGTCAATAGGTAATCATTGTACATAAGTTTCTATTAATACTTTGTCAAGTACATAACGGATAATATAATTATTGTATATAACTTTACGATTTTTAGAAATTTATAAACAATGAGATTTATTATATTATACATATTAACATTAGTAATCTTTTTTTTAAGTAAATTAAAGATAATAGATTATTTTTTACTATTTCGGTTTACTGTTTAGTAAATATATATATATATAAATAATAATTTAAATCTGTAAATTCAATTTTCTTTCTTTTCAAAGTGATAATCATTTTGAAAATATATATTGTTACAATCCTAGACAGAAACGAGAACATATATTGAGTGCATGCCAAGATTAAGCAGCATAAATAATGGAGTTGATATTGTTTTACGATAGATTCAAGATTTTGAACATGTTAAAAAAAAAAAAAAAGAAAGTATATAACAATACGAAATAGGCAGCTAGACATTCCTAGATTATTTTTCCTATTACCTTCGCATTTGGCCAATCTCATCTACCGTAAATTCAATTGAAGTGAAACAATTGATTATTTAACATAAGAGTCTAATGTTCAAGGAACATTTGTATAATTTTAAATTACATGTGATTTTATGTTGATATTTTATTATCATTTTCATTCGTAAAAACAGCTTTTTTATGTGAAACTGTGTAATTTTCAATATCATTAAAAATATCAAGCCTCATATTTTGTAATCTCTACTCTCATTTTTAAAACGATATGTATTATAATCAACAACATGCTGAAATCCAGGAAAACGATTATTTACTGGTGTGCATTGAAAGAAAAAAAAAAAAATCTACAATTTCCTGTCAACATTTTATGTTACATCTTAAACATGCCTAATAAAAAAATTTTTAATTGTATAATTTATTAAAAATTCCTAACAAAATGAGAAAGATTATTACGTATTACAATACACGTAAAATAAACCAGCAGAAGAAATATAAAAATAATCATTTCTGATGATACGGGGTTGCCATTGATCGATTTTCTTTTTTCCTTTTTTTTTTTGTTCATGACTTTTAAAATGTTTTTATTCATTAAAATGATTACTATAACGACTAAAGATGACATTTTAATATAAAATCTTATGATGGAAACCACGTCCTTTAGTTCAATAAAACAAATCAGAATTCATAATTACAAGTTATAAATTTATAAATGTTTTATAAATTTTTGTTTTTAGGAAGGAAAAAAATAACAACATACAACTTCTTTTTCGTTTCTTATATCATTATCAATAATGTGACTTCTTTTTAGAGCTATTGCGCACAAACATGGTCACATAGTATATATAATATACATAATGCATATATAATATCTCTATTATATATATTTTATGTATATATATAATTATATATAACATATATAATATATATATTATGTATATTATATATATATATTATATATTATATATAGAATCTATATATTCATACAAATCCGAAATTCTTTGTCTGAATAGCAAGTAGTAGTTTATGTCTTAATATGTGACGAGAGCTGTACAATGGAAGATATAGTCGGGAAATACATGTATTTGCAGTTGGTAGATGATCATCTGCTGGTCGTAATGTCACACTCGGCATTGGTTGAAAACCATCTTCGCTTGCCGGTAGTGCTGGAGATCCTGTCCAAAAGTATACCTATAAAACAAAGAAATGAGGTTTATAAAAAAATAAAAAAAAAGAAAAGAAAGGGTAAATATTTATTTAAAAAAAAAAGAAAAAACTGCTGGAATATAATTCCTTACCAAGTCTTGTCGTTCTGAATGCGACATTTTCTCGACGATAGACCACAACCATCGTTTGAACTTGGCTAATCTATCGGCAGGTTCTCCCGATTCGTCGTTGAAAGAAGTGTACGATATCAAAACGGAAACGTTGATATCACCGACTCCGTTCAACAAGAGTCTCAAGTCTTCAGATGTTAAACCGTCGAGCGCTCCCTCGGGTAGTACGTCGAACACTCCGTCTCTCATAGCAAGCAAAGATTTCTCCTGTACCTTGATCATGCGGACCTCCGCATATTTTCGCACATAGTCGTAAACATTACTTGCTGTTACTTCTATGTCACGTCCGCTGGGAATAAGTTCAATCGATCCGCCTCCTTCTTCGGGACATAAATCAATACTAAAAACAATCGAAGAAAAAATAAACGATTGGAGACGATTCTTCGAGGATAAGAGTTACAACAATTTGAAATATACTTCAGACAGTCGCTCACCTGAATGTAAGATCAAGAGCAGAGAATAGACTGTTGCTGTCCTTGGTCTCGGAATCGATCACAAGTTGTCTTAGGCTTTCGTAAATTACAGAGTCAAAAAATGCAAGATCATGGAAACGGATCGGCCTTCCCAAAATATACTTTATCACATGGCGGTTCAAAAATATCGGGCACAATTCATTTTGTAAAAGACACAATCCTATAAGCCTGGGCAATAAATGTTTCTTTTAATTTCACCGGCTGATACAGCTCGTCGTTGCTCGATTCTTATCTAATACTAATTGTTTGACATCTAATACCAACCTGCCTACGTTTCTGAATGCGTTCAGCCGCTCGTAACTGGCTCTCCCCTGTCGCGGCGTGTAAAAACCTCTTTTGCCCGGCGAGTAGAAAAGAGGGGCATTGTCCTCGGTGTCGTCCAAAATACTGTTCTCAATCTTTTTCTTGGTAGCACCGCAACGCGCGATTAAACTGAACACGTCGAGATCCAACAACGCTTCCCTTGCCGAGTCCTGGCTGTGACTACGAATTAATTCAAATGCCTCCTCTACTTTTTGCCGCAGAGCGTCTTCCGAAGCTAGTAACATCAATAGCTGCGCAGGGGACAGCTCTAACAGCATGCCAGTTATTTTAGCAGCTAATGCGGGTTGCAATGCGTAGACCTGTAACAAGATAAACGATTAGCGTGTCATTGTGAAAAATCAAGTATTGTCATTATCTTTTTTCATTATTATTAATTATTAATAACCTTTGGATATAGCCTGTCCCCGAGTTGTTGTTGATGCATGGTCAAGTGATCGTTATTTGGGTGACTAACAGGTAACGGATGGGAATTGGAGGATGAACTACCAGCCCCAGAATTATTGCTCCCTTCGACAGAACTGGATGGATGAAAAACTCGAGCTTCGAATGACAATGCTCTACGCGTCTCTCGACATTTTCCAGAAGATCGAGGATTCTGGAATAAAGATATATACCTCTTGCAATCGTGGAAGAACAGAGAGAAAAATTGTCCATTTTTTTCTTCTTCTTTGTAACTAATTATACTCACTTGTCGTCTCAAATCATGATCACGATCTCTGCTTTTTAGTTTTCGAAGTACGTTATACTGCGTGTATTTTGATCCCACTTGCGCCGCTTCTAAATTAGGCAGTTTCTCGTTTGCAAGCAACGCCTTTAAGAAGGAAATGTACGCAATTGTTATTATTATTTTGTTTCTGTTCAAGAGAAGACGTGTTACAAACGTAATCTCTGTTGTGATGTTACAAACCTCCGCGATCGCGGTGTAGAAACTTCTAGTTACTCCAGTGCCTTCGCCAGGTTCATCCTTGAAGGTCACTTTAACGCGATGCACGGCCAACGGCGGTGCGTTCGTCGCGCGTCTATTGTACAAGTTGTAATGCGTATTTAATTCCTTCATTGTCTGCACTAACAGCTGTGTTCTGTCTCGTTCGACCTTTAAAAAGAGAAAGAAAGAAAGAAAAGATTTAATTTATAACTATACTGTACTACGTTCCCTTAAGTAATTAGAAACATTGCGATCAATTACTTTCAACAGATTGATGTCTCTTTGCTGAGCGTTCCGAAGTTTCTCCATGTCTCTGCGAAACTTCGCTTCCTTCACTTGGAAACCACCCAGCTCGGACACAACCGAACCAGCCTCTAATCCCACATCCTCCATAAAAACTCGTCCGAACAGATCCAGAGACAAGCTCCAACGACCCAGCAGAATGTTATGCGATATATTGGATCCGATGGACGAGACTGGATTCGTCTCGACCGTTTCGTGGGTCATTGACGCGTCGTGATTCGAACCGGACGTGTCCATCTCCTCTGTTATATTCTGCGTCGCTTCGTTCGACACGGGCATTTCTGACGCTCCAGCTTTACTCAAACTCGGCTCCTTTAAAATTGAAACAACTGTGCTGTACACCCTCGGTTCACCGTCAACCTTTACATGTTACTTTAACCTCTTAAATGCGTTCTTATGAATTATTATCTCTACAATGTTCTAACTTTCTTTTTTTTTTTTTTTTTTTCTAATCCTAAGCTTTAACTAAAAGCAAATTCTATATATTTACCGAAACAGTTCCAGCTCTAACAATAACGCTTCTATTCATTTTACACGTATCTCTATTGCTTTTGGTACTTCCTGCTGCTTGATCGTTTTGATTATTAGTAGAAACAATGATCGGAGCTCGATCGACTTGCTCCGCGACAAACGTATGACCGAACGATTTTGTCTTTTCCTACAATGTGGAAAGTAAATCTACATATTTCATTTTTCGACGTAGGGAACCGCGCGACAAAAAATGAATGAAAGAAAAAAAGAAAGAAAAGAATTCAGTGAAAATGTAAAAATATAAATATAGATATCCTATTGTCGTTGCACAACAATAGAATAACATTCAGGCTGAAGAATAAACGCTGTTTTTCATGCTCAGAGAGAGAGAGAGAGAGAGAGAGAGAGAGAAAGAGAAAGAGTGAGAAAAAAAGACACACGAAATGCCACGAATTGGCTGAATTAACTTAATCGGCTTTTCTACGTAAGGGAAACATTACCGTGTGCTTCGCAGACGTCGGATCTCCAGCTGTAACAGAGCTACGTCTAGCATCTGACGATGCAAAGGCAGATCTTTGAATAATTTGACTAAATGTCGGCGTGGGGATATTCTGATTATCAGCACCACGGGCGGACAGACTAAGTCTCGTTGGTAATCCCTCTAACGGATTCTGATTAGGACCTGCGCTTGTTGCCGGTTGCCTCGGTATACCGAACAGATCCTCCCGCTTTGAGTGGGGTTGCAGTAAGTGCGGCTGGTCGGCTAACGGCAACGCCTCGCTCATGACAGTGTCAAACGGATCGAGAGGCGGACAACCGAGGCACAACGTCGAGTCTGATCTTTGCAAAAACGGATGCTTCCTTCCTTTTGGTACATTGTTACTGTTATTGCCTGGCCCGCAGTTGGGAACCTGAAGTAAATCAGGGTAATCGACAGAGTCTGTCTCCAGTGCTGTGGGCACTGGTGAACTGTACTCCTCTCCCTCGTCATTGTCGTTCTCGTCCTGCAAATGTCGTCGTGAAACATGGTCGTAACTTCTGAGAAATACGGGCTAACAAGGGGAATTCAACTCGATACGAACCTGATCATTCCAACCTGTGTAATTCGACGACTCCTTTTGGCTATCTCCACGCGAGGACACTGGCTCCGACAACGGCGAACGCATGTAATACACTAGCGCGTCGAAAACGTACGCCACGTGTCTCAGCGCGGAAACATCCAACACCGGCAAGCTGTCCCTGTGTTCGGCATTGTGAGCACGCATTAAGGATAGGCAATAGGACAAGAATTCACGTCTCGCCAAGTAAACATCTCCACCTGGAAGCAACGCTCGCTAGTAGGTTACTCGTTACTTCAATTTCATTTCTCTAACAGTAACACAATATAATATAATACAGCGATGATGTTTATAGCATGTTCTTCGAGTAACTTTCTCGAAGGGAAAAAAATGTATACCTTCGCGTTCTCTACTGTTTCTCGAAGGTTCGCCAACGCCTGCAAAACCAACGGTGAGTCTTGTAGAAGCTTGTGGAGTGGAGATATTGGAGCTCGTAGCGATACCACTGCGTTGATTCCGACCTGTATTAGATTGCAATGTCAACGACAGCGCCGCTGTATTCAACAGACCAGAGAAATTGCCTCCGGACAACGACGAGGCATTGTTCAACGGATGCTCCGGATGCGTAGGATCCGCGCTACGTGTCAATGATACACCGAATCTCAGTTGTGCCTCTGTGGCATCCATGACTGTGAGCAACCAATCCCACGTCGGTTTCAAATGCCCCTCGAGATACATCTGCAACCATACATACAATTGATATATAGCGTTATGTTCTTTCAAACTATACTGTGATAAAAAAAAAAAAATCGTACCTGCAGGTTCAGCGCGTCTTGATAAGTAATCTCCATAAGTCGCGGCAGAGAGGGCGCTAGCGTTTTGTAATCTTGCATCATAACTAAAAGATCGGCTATCTGTCTAATAACAATTCCAAATGCACGTGCCAAACAAGTGGTGCTAGTACCCATGATTATGGGTTCTTGCGCAGCTGCAACAGCGGACGTTGCAGTGGTGCGTCTTAATGACGTAGAGTCAATAAAAACCAGATTACTGCCACCTGTTACTCGTAATCCAGTCGTACGCATATTTGAGTCGCGATTACGTATCGCCCATTGCATAGAAACAGGCGCGAGATTATTACGGTGTAAATGGCCAGACGAACCACTGTAATAAGGTTTCAGTAACAAAAACATGACCTTTTCGAATAAGCTGGGAAGAATGATTATTTGAATTGTTTTAAATTAGAAGGGCACTGCTGCAAAATGTACCTATTCTACACGCATAGTTAATACAGTACTCTGTATAAAGTACGATGCAATAACAATACAATGTGTGTATAGTTGATTCAGTACACAGTACTCGTTAATTCTCTGAACTTAATTGAACTTTCAACTTTACTTAGTTTGCTTCGAATCGACTATACACGAGGTACAAGAGAGTGTCGCACTCAAAGTGGAAATGATAGTTTTACCTTCGTCGCTCCAATTGATCATCACCGATCTGAAAGTCTTCGTTATCCTGCTCGTCGGTTTCTCCTGCCTCGCTTTCATCGTCCTCCTGCTGGCTCGACTCGCCAGACTCATCCTCGGGGAACAGTAAGATAGATCCCATTCCACCATCAGATCCTGCTGTAGCACCGGTTTGCACACTACGTTGAGCAGACGCTGCGTCTTGATTGCTGTGATTGTCGTCGGAATCTGACTCCGTTTCCGCCTCTGCCAGGAGATCCAACTCTGTGTCGGATTCGCCGTCTCCCGCCTGTTCCTCACCCACGCCTCCGCCATTGCTATCAATCTCACCTAGTGGTTGACCAGCAACTGTCCCAGAGACTCCAGATTCTTCGTGCTCGCTGATGTCTCCATCAACGTCCATAGGAACTTCTGATCACATATCATTATTATATATAAATTTTCATATCTAATATTATATAAATCTATGTGGCCCGTCTTAGGAAATTAGCGTGAAATCTACAGATCCGTTAAGCGTTAATATATAATATTATTATAAAATTATTACTATTATTGTACAAGTAAAATTAGAAAAAATTAAAAATATTTTTATATATTATACATTATGTTTTAAAACACAATTATAATATAGATATTTTATATATTATATTATATTTTCTATCATTCTTATCAGTTCTTCAGATGTCAAAAAACTTTAAATTACATTATTTCTGCGTTATTCTCATTTATTAATCTGTAAAACATACCTTCGCCAGCCTCTGTCTCGTCCATAGCAGAAACATCTCTGGCAATGGTAATATTATTATTTCCCTGTTGCGTTTGTAATGTGGCATCTAAAGTCTGAGAACTAACACCGCTATGAGGTATTAGCGGTTCTATGGAAAACAATTCCTCAGAGCCGTTGATCACTTCCATTGCTGAGTTGGTCAAGGTAAACGGTGCCGTAGGACGAGCAACACCTAATCTCACGGGTGCTATCAACGAGTCGGCAGTCTCACACAATTCCTCGACGGCTAATTTAATCAATGCTTGGAATACTTTACGACACTTCATTAATGGTTGTAATGCTTGGCTGGTACTGAAATATGTTTCAAAATACATGAACATGATGATGGGAAACATTGAAAACATTGAAAAAAAAAAAATCACTCTATCGAAATAAATAAGTTCTTTCATACCTTCTTCGTTTTGTTGTATTGGGCGCCATTTCTATTGTAAAGATTACAAATATCCGAGCTACAGATCGAACAAATCGGCGAGCAACGTTATTCGCTTCTTCTTGTCTGCCGGGTATAGTATCATTTTGTAACTCTCGTATCAGAGTCGTTAAGAGAGTATCAAGCATCTGGAAGAAAAATTTTACAACATTACGAATTTCGTTTTTTACCATATTAGAGATGAAAAATAAAACTGATATCCCTTTACCTCTGCGCTGCATTTAAATAACAACGAGTGAGTGAATTTGTCAAGCAGGGCAGTACCACTCTGACGACACAATTGGCCCTGATCCCCAAACAACTGCTCGTTTCCGTTCACAGAAACTCCTGACATGATCATGCACTGAACTGCTGGCCAATCATCTAATAATCTTTCTAAAGCTTTTCGATTAAAGCGAGGAGGCTCCAGATCGTGATCTGGCATATCTGGTACGTAAGTATCTAATCCTGTTTATAATTAACTTTTAGCTTTTTACATCCAATTTTAGTAATTTTTATATCTAAGAGTGAAAACAAAAATTACCATCAGACGAAGGTCCTTTACGACTTGCAGATGCTGAACGTTGTCGCAGCGCAGAACGATATTGTCGTTGTTCAATCAATTGCCTTCCAACAGTTTGAACCAAGAAGAGTAAAATACTTTCTCCTCTGCAAAATAAAAGGAAGAAAAAAAAAAAAAAACAATTTAACTTTAATGTTTTACGATAGTTTCTATTAATTTATATCGCACGTTCGTTTACCGTGAGTTGATCTTCGTCACAAGATCGGTATTTACTACGAGACGACAGAGAAGTTCATAACGAGCACCTTGATGGCCCGCGATCAGCGCACGGCATTTGCACTTTTCCCAACAGTCGCAGTAAGCCGTGGGAGAAGTGATTTTTATTCTACAGTCGTGTCCCCTGTGGCAAACGCGGGCACACTCTGTACAGCAACACAAAGACCCGATCAACCCGCAAGTTTTGCACTCGAAGATATCTTGATCAATATGTTGAGTTCCGGTCCACGTGAAACTACATGTGTCGTTGCAACATGTGACGAACAGTGGCGATAAATCTGGATTAGCATCCGCAGGAAGTATCATAGCTGAACACTCCTTTTGATCTTTTCCAACTCTTTGAATAACATCCAGTAGAATGAGAGCCGCGTGATACGCTCGGACAGATACAGCAAGCATTAACGGTGTCTGGCCCTGGATATCCCTGTTGATTAAATATATGAACATTTAAGTATTTCCCTGTAATTGCAAAAGTGCTTCATTCATTCATAATCAATATAATTACTTTGCTGTGAGTAATTCTTTTAAGTGGGGTGCTAGCACGCTACTTTCACACATGTATTTTAATATGAGTAACGCGTTGTTTCTTCTTTCAACGGAATCTATGATGTAGGTATTGTTTGACGTTGCTCCAACACCTGAAATTTACGGAAATACCTATTTAGCAACGTGTAACAGAAGTTATAAATCAGAAAGGTAAAAAAGGAAAAAGCGTTCGATACACTTTTACCTGATTTGTTCATCATTGATATGCTAGCAGTACCAATGCTGAGCAAACTGTCTTCTTCTCCTGATGTATTATCAAACGCTTCCGGTGGCCAGCTTAAAGTTGGAATTGGTTCCTCGATAGGTGCTGACGGACCGTCAACAGTATTCGAAACCAGCTCACGTTCAATACCTTCCGAACGAAATAAGAAATTGAAATAAATGATCCGCAACTTTTGAAAAAACAGAATTATTCATATAAAAAAAAAAAAAAAAAATAAAAAAAAAAAAAAAGAAAAGAAAAGAAATAGATTCGATACCTTGATCATTTTCTTTATTCGAAGTTGGCGAGCACATACTGATGCAAGCGTGCAAAATATTGCGATTACCATCACACCGTTCCATTAATACTGATTGAATCTGTGCTGCATTGTTCTTTTGATCTTGTTCCAAATTGCAAAATACCTGCTTAATGCTCTCATAATCGCACCTCAATATACGCGGCATTAATAAGAGATTGTCAAATGCTAATGCAATAACTGCGACTTGGTTTTTCATGTTGTTTGAATTTGAACAGGTCGGTATGGGAATGGTCGAAGCACCAATACATAAAACTGGAACCAAATCCAACCAATTTGGATCACGGATAGCATCGGCACAATCCTTTGCTAATGGATAGATCGTGTTGTTTCCATCTCTGAGTATCATGGAACATTCGATATTTTCTCCAGAGTTGGTCAAACTAATATTTTGAGGCTGCAAACCCAGAAACGACGATACGTCCGATGGGATGTAACAATCTTGAACGTATCTTCCAGTACTTAAATTGTACACAACGTAGCTTAATTTGTTTGCACTTTTTACTATCGCGTGGATTCCCTGGCCATCAGTAGCGATGCTCAAAATACTATCGTTCGATCCTTCAACGATATTCACTCTTCGGGGTGTCCGTTGGAAACAGTCTGGAGCTCTGGGATTCATCGACGATTTTATCACTTGTATCTCGTCTTTTCTCAACAATCTGCAATCAGCTAGCAGTTTAATTAATTCCTCGGTTGTTAAATCCTTGAAATCTGAGGTGCTGAAATCTTTCTCTTTGATCTCTTTCTCCTTCGAGTCCTTCGAGAAGAATTTCACGGCGACGTAACAACCGTCGACCTTTATGACTTTACCGATCGGCACTGTCTTTACATCCTCCACGAAAACAACATCCTTCAATTGCCATTCCTCCTCATCTTTTCGCTCCGACTCTCCCTCACTTCGAGGTGCAACTCGCTTCTGTCTTTTGTGACTTGTCGTAATGCTGCCGGTGTCGCTGCACGTGCTCGAAGCCGGCGACGGCGGCGGAGGCATGTCGAGGCGATCGGTAGTTTCTTTGTTATTTGTTTTGTTGATACTGCCTGCTCCGCTATTCCCATTCGTTTCTCGTTTCTCTGCGCTAACGTTGGGCAAATGAGTTCCAGCTGGCAATATCTTAAATCTGTACGTGCTATCTAAATTCCACGCTGCCCCTAATAATTGCCCTACTTTTGGAACTCCATTGGCAATGGTAAAGCCTTAAAAAATATGTCAACTTAGAATACCACGACAGATTATTTTCAAGCAGGTTACACACATGATATTTATCATTTGACAAATTACCTATTGCACCAGGATGATATATAGGACTATTTTTCATACAAACATGTGCGCCGTAACTAATATCGTTTGACGATACCGTGGATGATCTATGTTTGCGCGATTTAGCCTTGTATTTCTCCCACAATTTTTTACGTTGTGCAAAAGGTAATACACCCCTGTAAAAGCAAGAATGCAGCTTTTACTTAATAATCATAGTTAAAATAATGTATGTTTCAACGTACCACCAATACAATGCACCACTTTCAAGTTTAGCAACCGTATATAAAGCACAGGTGTGAAGGGATACTATTTTGTCCAGCGTGAACTCTGTGAAAGTTTGTGCTGGATGTTCAAGACGAGAAGCAACATGTCCTACGAGTTCATCAAGCCAGGTAGCTACTTTGCCAGATTCAGTGCTAATGGAACATCGAATAGCTGTTGCAGATATATTAACTATCTTTTCTGTAGTTACTGCCAACCACGGAGCTTTCGGATGATGTATATTTAGATTCTACAACAAGTTTCTTTTTAATTTATCAGACTGCTCGTATAAAATATTCGAAACGAAATTGATTGATTCAAGTACCTCTGGGTGTTTGTATGGTTCAGACTCCGACCATTTCCACTGATATAATTGTCCACCGGCAGAAACGGCAATTAATTCACTATAAAGCGATGCGATTTGTACAAAACGAGGAGCAAGATCACTGCTGCGTTCGTGCCACCACTCTAATTCGTCCGATATCCATAATGGACTTTGAGCAGCCAACTCTTTCTTTTTATTATCTATGGAATTTTTTAAATGTGTAACGAAAATTATCACATCGTTGCATAAAATTCGAAGATATTGGAAATCGATGTTCGAAAGTTTTACTCTTACCAGAATCTTTGTCCCATGAGTCTTTAAGTGCTGATTCCAACCAACGTCTCGGGCCACAATATTGACGATCTCTCCATTTACTGAAATTATCTCGATCTCGATCTCGCTCAGAAGTACGTTCACCTTCTCTGTCATTTCCTATTCTACGTGAAGAGCTACCTCGGCTGAAAAATGTAAACGTTAAAAATGTACATTGAGTCATAGATAGTTAGAAAGCAATTAAAGGATAATTACTTTCTCATTCCAGTATATCCAAACATGTCTTCAGGAAACATAGAATCTGCGTCAATTATAACAGAGTGTTCATTACTAAATCCACCATCTAACAACGAAATGAGATCTTCCGGAACATAGGTATCTGCTGTATCTTCAGCATCATCACCTTCTTCGTCATCTCGTGACAGCAAGTTATTTACTGCTAAGTTTACATCTAAATTTGTACGCTAAGAAATATATTTCAGTATTAAACCAAAAACGATCTCAACGATACGATGATCGATATACTGATCTTTTCAACTGAACAAACCTGTAATTCTCTAATAATAAGGTTACGACTTTTTCCCTGCAATACTACTTGAGCCTGTGTAATAAGATCTTCCGGTACAAACGGAGCAGGCACAGATGCAATTGGACGCGAACTGCTACCACTTCCTCCACCCATGATTACACCTGGAGGGCCTATTCTGCCTCCACTGCTGCTCCCTCCGCTACTCCCACCACCACGTATGGCAGAACTGCCACGCATGATTCTTGCACGTGATCTAGACATTCCGGCTCTGCTTCCGCTTCCACTGCTAGTACCACCGTTCGGTGCTGAATTCGAGTTATCAACATGGTTTTTATTTGTGCTAGAATGGTAGAAAAGTACATTTGTTATTTCAAGATGACAAAGATGTAACAAATACGTCTTATGCTAAATTTCACTTTATTTTGTGGCTTACTTTCTATTTGGTTCATTTTTGCTTAAATCCAATCTATCTGACAGCACTGTAAATGCAACTCTACAAATTTTATGATCTTCTGTAAGAAGGGCAATATGTGTCGGACCAACTACGATGTGTTTCACTGCAACTTTCAAGCTACTAAATGCTGGCAATGTTACGAATCCATATCTGTTGATCTTTTCTGCCACTTCTTTCAACCTAAACAAATACACAAAAAAGAATTGATTATCTCACGTGATAGCTTGAACTTTAAACGAACCACACTAATTCCACTTCTTTTTCTTATCTACTTTATTTGTTATATGTAAATAAATAAATTATGTTGGTGATAAGTATTTACTTCGTATCATGTAGCAGCAAGAGCTATAAAAATTCTTTTACACAGGATATATTATTATTACTATATAGTTCAAAAACTCGCTAAAATAACAAATAGACAAGATGCAAAATAACAAAAAAGGAAAACAACGTTAATGCAATGGTGCAGAGGTATTTATTAAATGGAAAGGTTGTTATCCATGGCATGTATTTGATCATAAGTAATTATATTACATTTGTTGCTTATAATCTAGAAGTGTATTTAACAAAATGTTCTTTAATAACAAATAAACGAATTCAACAAAATATTTTTATCATCTCTATTCCACATATATATAATATATTATACATGTATATATGTATGCATGTATGTATATATTATATGCATGTACATATTGCACATATACATATGTACAGTTATACACATATACTATATATATGTATATATGTATGTATATATGTATGTATATATGTATGTGTGCGTGTGCGTGTGTGTGTGTGTATGTTCGTACAGTAAAGAGGACAATTCCCAAACTAAATGTATTCAAAATATATTCACTCTTCCAATTACGTAGATGGACACTGTTTAATATGAGCAAAAACGAGACAACACAACGAACATTTAACTCCCGAACGATACAAAAATCGACCATGCCGTGCAATTGTGCGAGAACCTTTTCCAAAATTGTTAGGAGGAGACGAACGGGTGTTCCGCTGACGATGATACGAGCAACGCAGACTTTTACAAAATGGATAACGAACGGCGTGCACGACTGCAATACGGAGCGGAGACAGACATGGCAAAGGAGCAAACATACATCGCAATGGGGAAAAACCGACGAACGGATACACCGCTCTCTTACCTGTCGTTCAGCTGGTCGTCCGTTCCGGGCAACGGATGCACGACGAAGTGTATGGACGTCATTTTCACAACGCTCGAGAACTGCTAGCTCCAACAGCCGAGATGGGGGAACGTCGTTTCAACAGAACCGTACACACAATTTCACCGCACCGTCGAAACGATGTTCAGCCATGTTCCTCAAGAAACAACGAGCTACGTGTTCTCGAAGGCAGATGTGACGAGCGTGCGACTCACGTATTCGCAAACGCATTAAGAAAACGCACACTCGCACGAAGAGGTTCGACGGGTCCACCGGGTTTCGAAATTAATCACACGTGCAAACACGAGATTGTCCAAGAAACGAGGAATCGTGATTTTCGTAGAACCGTGGCTACCGATCGTCCAGATGCTTCTACGGCTGTTGCTGTATTGGTGTTACTCGGGAGCGAGAGCGCACATCATGGCGACCGGTCGGATATAATGGCGGACACGAATATCCAGCGATCGTTGTTCTTCGAGTTCTAACGCCACCTAAACGCGGCGAGAAATTTCTTCACGTACTTCCCGTTACATCGTCCTTCGTTACTCGACTCTTGATGTAACTTTTGGCGGAAATACTTCTTTTTTTTTTCTTTTTGTGCTTTCGATTACTCTGTCACTCAGCACAACGATTTCCAACAATTTCGTTACGCCACTCGAACTATGTGTGTCTCTTTGTCTCGTTGACGTTCGGTCGCGTGCAATTGGCCGACGCGAGTTACGTAATGCGTACAAATACACACCGCGAGATGTATATTTCACAGCGGAATCGCGCACATGACAATTCGCAGTCAACTCGAGGGGAGGAAAAAAATTCACTCGCGTTACTACGAACAGAGCAGGAACGAAACTGACGTTCGTAATCAAATTTCAACCTGCTGCGGGCACGGACGCGAGACTGGCCAATCAGGAAGGGAGTTTCGTTGCACGCTAGAGGAACTGACGTTTCCATACGAGTCGCGCGAGGACACAATCTACAATGCTTTCAAACGGTTCGACTAATTGCGAATTTGAGACTGGATTTAGCAGAGAATCTTCAATTTAGAGGAAATTCGAATCGCCCGCGTTAAGGGTCAATTATGGGTGAAAATTAGATCGTTGCACTTTTAACCTCTTAGAGGTTAGCCAATGGCAGCTTTCACATACGCCTTGTTCAATTGCATTGTCAGTTCTCAGTGTGCAAGAGAATTGTATACAATGTTACGATCTTTCAAATTCCTTATAAAAAACGAATTTTAATTTATTTTTTCAAATTTCGAAATTCTAATTTATTTAAACTCGATCGTTTCAGTTCTAGAACACAATTGTAGTGGCTCGTTTGTTTCTCAATTTGAAAAAAATTGTGTGCAGTATTATGATTTTTCAAATTCTTTACATAAAACTTTAATTTATTCATTTCTTTCAATTTATTCAAAGTTTATTCGAACGTAATTACGTAGTGTATTCATTGTTGCACTGTTTTTACACAGTTTTGGGTCAGGCCTTACCTGTAAAGTATAAGCTATATATATGAAAAATCTCATTGTAACCAAAAGGTTAATTGGGTGAAATTTTTCAAAATGCGAAACGACACAGAGGGGGGAAATGATGGCCCGTATTTCCTTTCCTCAAAACATATTTCTTTTTTTTTTCTCTCCCTTATTTTTACATCAAACTCATTTGTACGTGTCATCATTTATAGTTGGAAACTTACTCGTTGGATTTATAAACGAGCATTCCGAATTTATATATTACAGATTCAAGAAAATAACTATTAAACTATGCATTACAGCACGATATTACAAACACGAAAATATATACAATCTTTATTTAATCACATAAAACGTTTACACTTTCTTTCTTTCATGTCGTAATTAATGCAAAACAAATATTTGGCTTTTGAGATATATATATATATATATATATATAGTTTTGCTAGGCTCCGTTCATCGATACTTTAGTACCAATGTTTAAATATGTACAAAACGAGTCGTTTGAAATTATTTTGTATACTTAGTTGCATTAACCCAGACACGAGTTACACTCGAGCAATAATTACCCATCCTGATACACGGAAACAATTGTAACCTTAGCACAAATAATTATAGCAAACAATCGAATCTTTAATCTATACGCTTTAATAATATAAATAACGTTCAAGTATACTATTCAAATATATTAAAAAGGCATGGTAACAGTAAAACTATTTTAATACGTACATCTCTAAAATAATTTATACTTTTCCACTTTCATACGTAAATCTTTGATTTATATATGGAAGATGGCGTAGGATCTGTACTGAGTGTAATTTGAATCACGAAAAATTAATATCCATCATCAATTAGACTAATATACAGATCACGGATCTTGATAAGAATCTCCCCGTTCGATTCTCCCCGAGAATCTTAAAACTTGTTCCTTACTTGCTCGTTCTTCGGTCACGTGCTCTGATTTATTTCTTTTTTTTTCTTTTTCTTAAAACTTTAACTAGATTTATACCTAAACTGTACACTATACAAATTGCTCGGTACTGGTAGCGCTAATGTCGAGCAAACGCCATGCAGCTTTTGGATTAAGTTCGGTAGGATCGCGGCACAATACCCAGATGTAATTAACACGCATCACTTTCTCAGGATCTCCTTCAATGACATTACTCTTTGCATCTCTCACGCACATGATTTGCTGGGATTGAAAGCTGATTATCAGAACAGGTCCTTGTTCCATTACTTTGCCCAACATTAAATCTACATTGTTGATATCTAAAATTGAAATGTCTTATTTTATCTAGAACGATTATGCAAGATATATATATATACGCAAAATATGAAATATACCTAAGATTTTATTGTCTAAATGATATCCCAATTTCTCTACTTGTAATAATGGTTGCGCTAGTAATTTGTACGGAGCTTCGTGACACCAGTCTTTTAAAATACCGAGATCCCCCCTTACCATAGCTTCCAAAATATTTGGAATAATGTCTGTTTCGCAGTATTTTAAAAATTGTACTCTATCGAAGCTAGGATCTAATTTACAAATTTCTGTCAGCGTTTCTGACAAATCTGTCTTTTGAAATAGTCCACCAACTATGTCTGTGACTTTGTCTGTCAGTAGTCTAGAGGCACGAATTACAGGATTGTCAGACTCCTCGTATTTGATCTTCCATTCCAATACTTTATTCACATATGGATTTTTATCCTTCGAAAAAGATACAATTATTACACAATTCTGCAAATATATAGCACAATCTGATTACTTTAAATTACATACCTTGAAGTTCTGCCACGATTGATAAAATTTAGAATCTTTATGCAATTCAACACCAGTGACGTCTTCATTCGGTTGAACAACTTTGCTATCTGTTGATTCTACTACGTCTTTCCTTTTCCTTAACACTTTGGGCGGTACATATACTTTTCCTACAATTTCAATTAAAAAAAATTCTTACAAAGCTTTATATCAAGTTGTAAAAAATTGCTCACCATGCATTCCTTGATGATCCAGTTCCTCGCGTACAGCTTCCGCAGTTTGCGATATCGTTTGAAATGCACTTGTTTTACCTAAAGCCTGACTTTTTTCAGATATTGTCTCTGCTGCTCCTTTCGCAGACTTTGTTATTTCCTCACTCAGCTGACCAGCTTTTTTCCCTAATTCCGTTTTACTTGCTTCTTCAAGAACTTCTTGTACCTATGTGATGACATCATTCAATTAATATCTACCGTACTTATAAGTTTTATCAAGACGTTATTCTTCACTTGCACCTTTTCCTTTAAGGATTCTAACTTTTCCTTGAGAGCTTCAGATCCTTTAGTAGCTTCGGATTCAACTGCTTGAAATTTCTGTCTAGCAGAGCGCAATGCTTCCGACTGTTCCAGTTTCTCTGCTTCTTCCCTGAACTTTTTCAAAGATTCTTTCATCTCTTTATTCTTTTGAATTTCTTGCTTGATATTCTCGATGAACTGAGAAATGAAACTAGGTCTTCTCGCCGGATTTGAATAAAATCTGACCTGAAGCAACACACTGTAGTAATTGAATGAATCTGCGCATCATTCTAATGACATTTTAGAAATGAAACTCACTGATAAACCTTGTACATCTGTGATTTGAGGTAACTGTGATCGTAGCACGACATTGTAAATACATACTGTTGAGCCATCCCTGGGAAGTTTTTTTTTAGATCGAGCAGATCTTGTGATACCAATGAGGCTAGTTCTATACACAGAAAAATTCTGAAACTATATAAAAAAAAAAGAAATGTATACACAATATAAATATATATACATATATACATATGTCTCAAATCTGTAGACAATGAACCTTCTTAACAGAGACGGTGATTTATAAGGTACAATTGAAAATGTTTCAACTGTTTCTATATGAAAATCTTCATTTATTGCCTTCCTCAGGTATATAATGGGATTCGTGAAAGGATTGATAATTTTTTTTATTGCAATATTACAATACTATATTATGCAAATTTATTTCTTCCGCGTGTTATTATTTATCTCGTTGTTTTTTCTTTGAAAAATTTCCACGGAGACAAAATGCATCAACTTCAACAGACTGAAATTTCTGATGCAACGAGATGGAAAGCATGAAAGTTATTTGAAAGAACATAACCTAAACGTGAAGGAAAAATGTGACCGGCTTGTGAGTGAAACATTTACAAACTCGCGTTAATACGGAAGAAAAGAAACAAGTACAATTGTTTCGTATCTTCGCGTAATCGAAAGATGACGGTTCAGTTAGCAATCAGAATTATTTACCATTTTACGAACGATTTATCTGCGACATCGGAAAATCTTCATAAAATATATTATGGTCGGTGGAGAGGACATCTATCGACAAAAATTGGGACAAATCGCGAACTTACAACACACACATGCGATAACACGATAATCTTATTCGAAATCGAGTGTCCAATTAGTAAAAGTTTTCGTGTAAAATATATGTATATATATTTATACAATTATAATATCTTTATTCGATTATTTTTACGAATGTATACAATTCTTAAATATCTCTATTTATCAATGGAATTTACAATAAATGCTAGGTGCAATGTGAAACTATAAATATACAGAATTATTACACAATCTTCTGATGTTCATTCTGCAGGTTCGTTTTAAGTTTTCAGTCCTGGTACTCTGTACAGGAATTCTCCGTCATAGTCGTAATAACAATCTCTTACCCTGTATGTCATGCCCTTTTTATACACGTTTTTAGGAATTTTTATATGCTTTGTGTAATTGAAATCTGCATCCATGTATGAATTTCGTTCTTTTACATGAGTATCCAAGCTTACATTCTCATTTTCTGGTCTGGTTATTACTGATTCACTTTCGTCTGCTGTAACATTTACTATACTATCATCACGTGGATTTTTTGTACTGCTAACACTCTTTTGTTCATTGTCAGTATCTTTCACAGTATTGTGCGATACATTACGCAGATTCTCCAAATTCTTAGTTTCTATATATTTTTTATAGGTATTCACCAAAGTTACTTTCTCTTCATAAGGTATCTCCTCTGAATTATTCAATTTCTTCTTCAAGAATTCTTCAAAAATTAATGTATCCCCTTCCATGCTATACCTTTTTGTTTCATGCACTTCTCTATTTACAAAGTCATTGTCTGATTCAAATACTAATCTTTCTTTCTTCTCCGACGTGTTGGACTTTCTATTGGTTCTGCTCTTATCATTCTGTAAAGTAATTAGCTTGTCTTTCGTATTTTGTACTTTGTATCTTTCACTGTGTTTGTCTCCATTTGCTGTATCATTGCTCGTTTTGTTAACTAATCTCATGTTTTTCTTTCCTGTTGCTTCTGATTTCTTTTCACCCGTGCTAGTATTATCCTGTGAGGAAATTGATATCTTATTTTCCATAGATTTCTTACCAACAGAATCTGCTATAATACTACGAAAGAATGAACTTTTAGGCTTTGGAAATTCTATCTTTGGTAACATATATTTTTCAGCCAAAGTCTTCCTATTGGATAAAATAATTTTCCTGTCTTTGAACTTCATTAAGTGCTCCTCTAAGATTGGGTTCACTGGTAACTGACCAGTTTTAAGTTGTTTCCAATTTTTAACTACTTTATTGTCGTATGCAAGTATCCTCTCCACTGATTTTGGTTCCCATTCAGCTTTCAAAATCTTTCTTATGGTGTGAGGTAAAGCTGGAAAACTTTCACTGAGTCTTTCGGGTGTCCACTCATTGGGATCTTCTCTATGTAGTTTTTTTATCTGATTCTTTTCGACGTACGTAAGAAAATTTGGTTCCACCTCTTTGAAGTATTTACTTCTAACAATGCGACGCTTCAACAGTTCACGATCCTTCTCAGTCTGTCTGAAAATCATATTGGAAATATTAAAAAACTTAAGCTACATAAAATATAATTTAATGTTTATCTTGTATATACCTATTGTGATCTGCATAAGAATCCATAATGTCTCCCAGATCAGTGTCATACACCCCTACATCATCTTGATCAAACTCTTCAACATCATCTTCAAATCCTTTATCATTTTCTGTCTTCGTTAGATGTATTTTTCCTCGCACTCCAGCCACTGCATGTCTGGATTTAGTTACATATGTCCTCAACAGCTTGAACGTTATTACTCTAATGTTGTTCATCTTCGATTATTCAGTTTTCTTTATGTCATTATTAATTTTTTATTGATTCATTCATATAATACCTATATTTATATAATTTATTCGTATAATACCTATATAATTTCCTTAGATTGATCGTAAATAGTATCAATGTTATTTAAAAATCATACATTCGTGTATGTAAATATTAGGATGAAATAACGCATATGAATTGTATCAACTACAATTCTCACCATCAAGCATATTTGCATTGCGAAAAAAGAGAGTATCTTTTATTACCTTGTTTCTATTTTCGAATCTTAAGGATAGTTCGCAAAGAAACATCTCCAGTTACTTTTTTGTTAAGCGTATTGAAATTGGATTTAAAGGATCGTATCTCTAGCTATTTATTTATTAATTATATTTATTGCATGATTCTTAAAATATGTTTTATAAACAATATTTTACAAATAATGATTCTTAAAATATAAATTACAAATAGTATAGGACAATTTTAATTCTGTTAAAAGACGCTAGGTGACATTGCGAGTCTGTGATTCGCGTTAGTTTCCGATCTACCTTTATTATATAACGTGGTAGAAATAAATTGTGTGAAGTGGAATAAAATCGCTTGATACTTATGGTTGTTCATTTGAGAAGAGCAGAATTATCTAACAGCATCGTATCTAAAGTTGAGGAATATTTCCAGTCGCAAGGTGAAATAATATTATTTACGTTACTCTGTACTTAAGAATTGTAATATTTTTTTTTTATTCTACATTTAATTTCGCGTTCGAAAGTTCGTTTTACATACATGTTGCAAAGCTTCTTTATTTCCATTGCTTAAATTTTAATTTCGCACGTGTTGCGAATTTATCATTTTTATAAATAGTTTTTTAATTTCTTTTGTTGTAGTTGCTAAATTTGTATTTATTCGAAAAGAATCCAAAAGTTTGGTAGTCGGTAAGATTGAGGTTCGCGTTGTTTCACACTTTCGTTTCCTTTTTGCTATCTCCTTTTTTTTAATGTGAAATTATTACAGTAATCTTGTATTGTTAAATGTATTGGATTTTATTTTTTTGTTTTTTACAAAAAAAGTATCAATTTATTAAATTTTTATCTTATTTGTACGTATTTCAGAATGGATATAGATTCTTTGTTTTAATGAAAAACAACACATTTTTCTCCTACTAATGGTTAATTGAAAAATACAAGAAAAAGAGAAGGAACTGCAAAAATGTATCTATACAATTTGACTCTTCAACGTGCCACGGGTATCACCCATGCGGTGCATGGCAATTTCTCTGGTAGTAAAATGCAAGAGATTTTGGTGTCACGTGGCAAGTCGTTGGAGTTATTAAGACCTGATCCAAACACTGGGAAGGTTCATACTTTGTTAACTGTAGAAGTGTTTGGAATTATAAGGTCTTTAATGGCCTTTAGATTGACTGGTGGTACGAAAGACTATATTGTTGTTGGGTCTGATTCTGGGCGCATTGTAATTCTGGAGTACATCCCTGCCAAAAATGTGTTCGAGAAGGTACATCAAGAGACGTTCGGCAAGAGTGGATGTAGACGCATTGTACCTGGACAATACTTAGCCATAGATCCAAAAGGGAGAGCTGTAATGATAGGTAATGCGCAAGTTAATAATTATGGAAATTTTACAGATACAATTGTATATCCTGTACCAAGTGATTATTTCTTTTATCCGTGTTTCAACTGATTAACATTGATTACAATCAATCTTAATGATGGCACATCTAAGTTGCGACTATGTTGCGATATTGTCCAAATGCGATTCACAAAGGAAATATGTTCATTTCAGGTGCAATCGAGAAGCAGAAACTTGTTTACATTTTAAATAGAGATCCAGAAGCTCGTCTTACAATTTCCTCCCCTTTGGAAGCACACAAGAGCAATACATTGGTTTATCATACTGTAGGGGTAGACGTGGGTTTTGAAAATCCTATGTTTGCCTGTCTAGAAATCGATTACGAGGTAATATTTTAATATTTTCGAAAAGGAAAAAGAAACACATACAGAGTGCGCCGTAATAGTAATAAATATGGTTTGCATATTTTAGGAAGCTGACAGCGACCCTACGGGAGATGCAGCGATAAAGACACAACAAACGTTAACTTTGTACGAGCTTGATTTGGGTTTGAATCATGTTGTACGCAAGTATAGCGAACCTCTGGAAGAGCACGCAAATTTTCTCGTCTCTGTTCCGGGAGGGAACGATGGACCGAGTGGCGTTCTTATTTGTTCTGAAAATTATCTGACGTACAAAAATTTAGGAGACCAGCACGACATTCGTTGCCCTATTCCGCGAAGACGTAATGACTTGGACGATCCGGAGAGAGGCATGATATTCGTGTGTTCTGCTACTCATAAGACTAAGAGCATGTTTTTTTTCTTGGCTCAAACGGAACAAGGCGATATTTTTAAGATTACACTCGAGACAGACGAAGACATGGTGACTGAAATTAAATTGAAATACTTTGATACTGTACCTGTTGCGGCAAGCATGTGCGTTTTGAAAACCGGTTTCTTATTTGTAGCTTCGGAATTTGGCAACCAGTAAGTACAATATTTGAAGATATGAATTACATTTCATTGTATTACGATTAATCTTGTTTCTTTTTTTGAAGTTACCTTTACCAAATTGCACATTTAGGAGATGATGACGACGAACCGGAATTCAGCTCTGCCATGCCATTGGAAGAAGGTGACACGTTCTTTTTTGCACCGAGGCCGCTTAGGAATTTAGTATTGGTCGATGAAATGGACAGCTTATCGCCGATAATGGCGTGTCAGGTAGCTTTGTGTTATATTAACAGAAAGTTAACTAATTGAACTTGCATTAGAAACCAAAATGTCGATGCACCTTTAAGTAGAAAATTAATTCCTCACATGTGTTCTTTTTCTGTGGATGGGTGCAATAGCAAAATATTTTTAGTCGCCTTCAATTTGTCTTTGCAAATTGAAGTTGAACCTAAAAGTGACAAGTGCAAACGATATAATTATGATGATCTTGAAATGAGTGTTTCCAATAAACTTGTGTAATATAATTTGTTATTTTATGTAGGTAGCAGATTTAGCAAATGAGGATACTCCAGAATTATATATAACGTGTGGTAGAGGGCCTCGGTCTACATTACGAGTGTTACGGCATGGTTTGGAAGTATCTGAAATGGCGGTCAGCGAACTGCCTGGTAATCCAAACGCTGTGTGGACTGTTAAAAGAAGAGTCGATGGTTAGTTTAAAAACATAGTTTGGCAATAGTTGTTTGCATGTCCCTTTCTCTTTTTCTTCTTTCCCCCGACTTCTTCATTATACGCTTAAGTAATAGGGCAGATAAGTATCACCAGCTTCGTTTTATCTTCTGCATCCACAACGCACACGTTTTTTTCTTTCTTTTTATAAAATTTTTATCCTGCAATTACAGTATTTACAGATTATTTAACTTATCATCCACTACAGTATAAAAAACAGTTCCTTGTAATCCGTTGTTATTTAAATTCAGTTACATTAAGCTGGAATTATTTAAGTAAGAAAAGAATATCTTTGACTGTATAAAAAGAAATTAACTTTTTAGATATTGCTAGTAATTACAAAAATGAATAAGGTTAAAAAATTGTGGAGATATTTAGAATAAGAGTTTGTTTTGTAATTATATTCGTTCAAGAATTCTGAAAGACAATAAAAAATCAATAGTTATTTGTATGAATTTTATTAAATTAACTCTCCCAAAGAGGAGGGATTATACTCTGTCTGATTATTCTTTTAACTCTGCAATTTTTCAATGCAAAAACAAAATGCAAAAGAGAACAAGAAAGTTGATTTTGTAAATGATACTAATGAATCTGGTGGCTTGATACACTCTTATCAAACACCAGTTCTCTCTTTCAGGCTACTGGCATGCTATTGGTTGAACTACAGAACACAGAAAGTGACAGAAAGGTAAGGACTGTCAAAATTGCCGGAGATTAAAGAAATTGAATTTACATCCAAAAAAAAACAAAAAAAACCGTCTGCTATTTGCGCGTAGGATGAAAAAGAAAGAACAGCCTGTTCGACCATCCACGAAGGAACGATCTCTCTGTTGTCTTATCAAATTTCGTTTTTTTTATATCATCACTTTTCTTCCTTAGATATTCAGAGTGAGCTTTGTAATTTTGCTTACAGAGGAGTATGATGCTTACATCATAGTGTCCTTCGTCAATGCTACTCTTGTACTTAGTATCGGAGAAACAGTAGAGGAAGTGACTGATTCTGGATTTCTTGGTACTACACCAACGCTCAGTTGTTCCGCTTTGGGAGAAGATGCCCTAGTTCAAGTACGTTGTTTCATCACGCAGTTTTGTTTTCAATGCACTACCGTATCTCCGGCTCCTGGTTGACCACGAGTCGGTCGCAGTAAATAGTGCTAAATTATACAGAGTTTCTCGCATCGTTGAGTGTTTACATAATTGTTCTAAACATGTCTGGTAAATGAAACTCGACATAACCGCCAATACTGAAGCTACTCTGCTGTTCTCATAATTACTATTTTCAACTCCCATCTTGGTAATTTCGTTGTACTCTGTTTAGGTATATCCTGATGGGATACGTCACATTCGAGCAGACAAACGTGTAAACGAATGGAAAGCTCCTGGTAAAAAGACCATAGTGAAGTGTGCAGTGAATCAACGACAGGTTGTGATTGCACTCACTGGAGGAGAGTTGGTATACTTCGAGATGGATACCGTATGTTCTACTAGATTTTGTACTCTTTACATTTCAATCGCATTATTTGTTCTCTCTGTGATGCTAATTGCTCTCAGAGATGTAAAAGATGCGTAAAACATTTCACTTTCTTCATCTCGATTAATTGAAATACCAATTATTTACTTAAACCGGATGAAAAGTGGACAACTCTTGTCCTTTTTGGTTTTTACAAGCCTAACTTTTTACCACTTTGCACTTCCCAGACGGGTCAGCTGAATGAATATACGGAACGAAAGAAAATGCCGTCGGAAGTGATGTGCATGGCTCTGGGCAACGTGGCAATCGGTGAACAGAGATCGTGGTTTTTGGCTGTCGGCCTTCAAGACAATACAGTGAGGATTATTTCCCTGGATCCTTCGGATTGTCTGGCACCCAGGAGCATGCAAGCTCTACCGGCAGCCGCGGAAAGTTTGTGCATCGTCGAGATGGGTGCCAAAGATGCGAACAATTCCGAGGAGCTGTCGCCGCAACAGTCCAGTCTTTACTTAAACATAGGTAAATAAGCGTAACGTTACAATTGCCGATTACTTTTATTATCCCTTGTATTGTATTTAAATGTATTTTCGTAGGTTTGCAAAATGGCGTTTTGCTGAGAACGGTATTGGATCCGATTTCGGGTGATCTCGCTGACACGCGAACGCGATACCTTGGCTCCCGAGCCGTCAAATTGTTCAGGATAAAAATGCAGGGCAATCAAGCGGTGCTGGCGATGAGCAGCCGATCGTGGCTGAGTTACTACTATCAAAATCGTTTCCACTTAACGCCGCTGTCCTACGAGAGTCTGGAATTCGCCTCGGGCTTCAGCTCCGAACAGTGTCCGGAGGGAATCGTGGCCATTTCGACCAACACGCTTCGGATTCTCGCCCTTGAGAAACTCGGCGCTGTGTTCAATCAGATCAGCTTCCCGCTGGAGTACACGCCGAGGAAATTTGCGATTCACTCGGATTCCGCGCACCTGATAATCATCGAGACGGAGCACAACGCTTACACAGAGGAGACGAAGCAGCAGAGAAGGTTACAAATGGCAGAGGAGATGCAAGAAGCCGCAGGAGCCGAAGAGGCTATCGTAGCGAGAGAACTGGCGGAGGCTTTCTTGTCCGAAGAGCCGAATGAAGCTGTGTTTGGCGCGCCAAGAGCCGGGCCAGGTTTATGGGCGTCGTTAATCAGGATAATAGCCCCTACAACAGGGCAAACGTTCGAAGTGCATCGACTCGAACAGAATCTAGCTGCTCTATGGTGAGAACACAAAGAATATTCAAGAGACAAACGTTCAGAAATACGGAAAGTTATTCCTTTTTTTTTTACATGGATGCATGTTACAGTTTGAGCCTCGTGAAGTTTGCCAATCAGGGAGATCAGTTGTTTCTCATTGTTGGTATCGCGAAGGAATTCCAGCTGAATCCAAGAGTTAGCAGCGGAGGTTTTCTATACACGTACAAGTGAGTATCTTTATTACTTTAACACATGTAAAGAGATAAGAGACACAGCGAACGATTTTTATGATGAAAGATAGACACATCCCTGTAACGCAATTGTGATGAAAGTCCTGCAGTTCTGAAATCTATGTTCAACGTAAAGTTAACATAATTACGAAAAAAGAAGACAAATACGGAAGCAAATCTTCTTTTCTTTTTTTTAGAGTAAACGGTGACTGTACCAATCTCGAATTGGTGCACAAAACTACTTTGGATGAAGTACCCCTGGCCATATGTCCGTACCAAGGAAGGGTGTTGGTCGGTGTCGGTAGAATGTTACGTTTGTACGACATGGGGAAAAAGAAGTTGTTGAGAAAATGCGAGAACAAACATATTCCCAACGCTGTTGTTTCCATCAACGCGATTGGACAAAGAATCTACGTGAGCGATGTACAAGAGTCCGTGTACGCTGTCAGATATAAACGTCAAGAGAATCAACTCATCGTGTTCGCCGACGATACGCACCCGAGGTGGATAACGACAACGTGCGTGCTGGATTATGACACTGTTGCTACCGCTGATAAATTTGGGAACATTGCTGTTGTAAGTAACATTAGAATTGTATGTCTCTTAGTAATGAAATAAGCGTGCAATAAAACGTGTGAATTTTTTATATTGTTTCTCAATAGATACGTTTGGCAAGTGGAATTAACGACGATGTGGACGAAGATCCAACTGGGAATAAGGCTTTATGGGACAGGGGTTTGTTAAACGGGGCCAGTCAAAAGGCGGACACAGTTGCTTGCTTTCACGTTGGCGAAACTGTTATGTCGTTGCAAAAGGCGACTCTTATTCCCGGCGGTTCCGAGAGTTTGGTGTACACCACACTAAGCGGGACTGTTGGCGTTCTCGTTCCGTTCACGAGCCACGAGGATCACGATTTTTTCCAACATTTGGAGATGCACATGCGCTCAGAGCATCCGCCACTCTGCGGGAGAGATCATTTGTCGTTCAGGTCGTACTATTATCCGGTGAAGAACGTTATAGACGGTGATCTTTGCGAGCAATTCAATTCCATCGAACCGGCGAAACAGAAAAGTATATCTGGTGATCTCGAACGAACATCTTCCGAAGTGTCGAAGAAACTCGAGGATATTCGTACGCGATATGCTTTCTAATGCTTTTTTTTTTTCTTTTTTTTTGGAATATAATTTATTGTCGAATTATTACGAATTTGCATTCCGTTTTTATAAATTTAACATACTTTTCGTAATGACGAATGATCAAATCATTTGTAAAAAAAAAAAAAAGAGGATAACACTATGTGGATATTGTTTTTAGTAAGCTGATTACGTGATAAAAGTAACGACGTTGAATATGACGGTAGAAGATCATAAACGAGAATTATTTAAGTTAAAAGAAAAAGTAGTTTATTTTTGATTGAATAATATTTAAAGTACCAAATTACTTTGGCCATGTAAATTTCTATTTTACGTGTTTGTCGTTTGTTTAAAAAAACTGTAACACGAAAATTGTAATTTTTTTCATTAATTTAAAGTTACTGTATGTCCGATTGATTTTCTAAGACTAAATGTATATATACGTCGAATCTGTATGCTGCAAGTTCGGAAACGAAACTACGTTAAGAAATATAATTTTGTCAACAATATTTTACAATAATATTGAAAACATTCTAAGAATTTTTTTTATACTTTCAATTAGCTTGTTAGTGCGACGAGGTGTCGTGCAATAATTTATTTAGTTCATGTTTGCCACAGTTTAGCGCGGGAGAAAAAGAGCTAAAATTGAACTTCTGATATCCAGCGAAGTAAAAAATAGAAAAACACCTCGGCGACCTATTTTAGCATCATAAATACGGTATGTGCACAGGACTGCACACACTGTCTCAACTAATTCTTCGGCTAAAAATAGATAGTGGTCAATTTTTTACGCTTGAATCACGCGGAGACTGGTCTTTGAATAATTAATTAATTATTAATTCTACGAAGAATGAAAGAATCACACGCGCGACACTTGGTTTTTAGATTTTTAAAGTGCGTGACATTTTATGTGCAAAAAAAAGAAAAAAAAATAGTCGGCTCTTTTCGTTATGTTTAAAAATATTTTCATTGTATGTACAATGCGGACAAGAAGCAACATTGTATTAAATAAATTCACCGAAAGAAATAGAACAAACGTCGAATGTTACGTAGAGCAACATATATAGGTTTACAAACGCATTATCGTACCCCCTTTCTGCGAGCATTTCGTGAGCTCATTTCTTTCCTCCACTATTGCTTCTCCTGCCTGTGTGTTGCATCCCTTTCGACCTACAATTCGTCGTCAATAGCGCTCAGGGTTGTAGCTCGCATTTTCCTCGTCGATCTTCGAAGCTCGAGGTTAATCCGCATGCTGAGGCGTATTGAGGGTACGGCGCAACGTTATTACCCTCGTTTAACCTTCAAGCAACTACAACTAGGTTACAAAGTTTACGTCCCTTTCGAACAAAAAGAAAAAAAGAATAAAGAAACACATGCAAAACACGTTATCGGGATTTTTAGTCGCGTTGCATCGAATATCGAATCAATGATCATTGTTGATACTCGTCGCTCTCGAAGGTTTTCAAAAAAAAAAAATTCTTTAAGTTCTAATAAAAGAGAAGTTCGACTTGTCAATTTATTAATATTGCGTTGTTAATTCCGTTGTTCTCCCTTCGCGTTTGCATTTTCGAATTTCAAACTGTCAAGAAGCAGCTAGACTGGCGAAAGTAATTCCAAAATACTCGAATCGAGTAGTGGAACTTAGTTTATACCTTGATATTTACTGAAAGTGTAATTTTCATTTTGAGTTTGCACACAGATGCAAAGAGCTATATCAAACACTATGCTATATCGGCCCAACATCGGCTTGATCACTGGTCAACCGGTGTTGCCCCCCTCCCCATCCCGGTGAATTTTAAACAACGCGAGTAGTTAAACGATACGGTAAAACAGGGCGACGTTTCATTGCAACGTTATTATCAACGTGTCCCATGAGAATAATTTTACAACGTGGATTAAAACGAAAAGAAACGTGGCCGGTGGCGTGTTAGCGTCGTGGGTATTGGGATCGGTAGTTACGTCAGTGCTGCGGTACGTAGCGGTGGTTTAGGGAGCGTCGAAACGGAGAGAAAAGGACCGAACGGGGCGATCGATGCATTGAGGCGCCAGGCCCCTGAGCTCAGCCCCGTTTCGTTTCCATCACCCTTACCCCGGTATGCCCTGCAGCAAAGCTGCCCTCCGGGCTTTTCTCTTTACTGTGCAGTTGCGCGTCAACCTTTTCACGGTGTAGTGCTGCATTCGGTCACTGGACTTCTCTCCGCCTCTCGGTATAAACGTTACCCACTCGTACGAGGCTCTCTCTCTCTCATTCTCTGTTGTGACACACGACACGATCGTCGTCGATCATCTCTCTCGCCGCGAAGTGCGCGATACGCTCTGGGGGGCGAGAAAGAAACGGAAAAGGAATCGCTCGCGTGACCGAATTCTCATTTCTTATGCGTTCAGGTACAAGTCGACTTCGGTGGCGATGTTGATTAATTAACAGTGTCGTGCTCGTTGTTGGAATTATGTCGGCTGTCGTCGTCGTCGTCGTCGTCGTCCGGGATCACGGTTTGGGTTTCGACGTGCTTGAACCAGTTTCCGGGCACATGATCCCCCGAGTGTAGAACTTTGATTCGGTGTCATCGATTCCAGGCTTGCTGTTGTGATGTTCGTTTCACTGACAGACGATTATGGTAAATGGATTCGCATGTTATTATTAAGCCGGGGGACGTTTCCCTCGAACGCACCCGTTTCAGCACGCTCGTTGCAGATCCTTGCAAAAAAAAAAAGTTGACATTATTAGTTTTCATTCTTTTTTTTTTCTTTTTTTTTTTCTTCATAAAAATTATTATATCGTAAAAAAAATTAATAGACTTTCATTCGTTTCCGTGAATAGTGACAGACTGTTGGATATTTATGTAATTTTCGTACTCTAATGAGTGCAAAATTACGAAATAAATTTCCATCGAACATCGTGATAGTTATCTTGAGTATTTTCTACATTTCTGTTTATTAAATACTGTATGTATTCTATATATTTCTACGTTCCATATTGTTATTATTGTTCTATATTCAATATTACGTTATTGTTCTACGTTCTATTTGTATATTGTTTTTAATCACGCGTAAATGTATAAACATCTGCTTTCCAAATATTAATTCATGATATTTGAGATTAACCATAGGCATCATCGAGCCTTGTAGTTGTCAGTGTTGAACGAAAAATGTGTCTTAATTCGCGCGTGTTTTAATAACGAGAAAAAGATTTAACATCGACAAAAAGATGTAAATTACACATCTTGACAGATAGATTCCGAAGTTTACGAAAGCGAAGAGCACATCGAAAACACAGATTTTTATCTCTTAAAAGGACAGATTACGATACCAACTGCACGATTCGTTTCAATGTAGTTGCTCGTCTGATGCAGGGAACTGTGTCTGCTTTTCATTAGTGTCGTACGTTATACGTTTGAAACAGAAAAAGAAAAGGGGAGAAAAAAAAACCAGTAATCGTGAAGATAAATCGATCCGGATGAAAAGATTTCACGTGTGAAACATGTCCTTGTGATATCTGTGCAAATATATGAAGGATAAAAGAGGCAATCGTGTACTATCTCGAGGATTGAAATGGTTTGTTTACCGGTATACTTTCAGCCTTTGTGCACAGTGCAGTCCAAAGTGTTTGAGTTAACCTGTTCACCTATTTTAGTAAATGGCTTTTCTCTCTCTCTCTCTCCCTCCCCGTTTTACGCGACACCGTCCTACAAATGTGATTGAGAATTGATTGTTAATATCTCGAAGTGGAGGTTCAACGATTCTTCAAATCAAATTTAGTTCCGTAAAGAGTGGAGAACCGTGCAATTCGTCGGATCGTGTCACGATGCTGTAGAAAAAAAAGCATATTGGAACATTATTTTTCTCGTTTCGTACGTTGACACTTTAAAATTAACAATGCACACTTTTAATGCTACTTAAAACTACCGACGACTAAAACGTGAAATTTCCATCAGGGACGTTAAAGACTAATAGAAGAAACAGGAAATTTTTATAATACAATAGGGCACACTAGCTTTTATTATAAATCAATTTCTCCATCAATTGAAATTAATATAATATGACCTCCTAAAATAATTAAAGTATTTAATTATATAGAAATTCCTTTATTAAATACATTTACTTTGATTACTTCAGGATTTTATATTACATTGTCATTTTTTAAATAATTTTTTTTTTTTTAAGTATAAAGGCAATAATTTAATTATTGTCTACAATTTTAATAGGTTTGTATTTTTCTATTATGAAATATTTGAACATAAAAATGCTTATTTTTGTATAAATGATAAAACTTATGGATCAATTTATGGATCACACTAGCTTTTTAGTATTTTATTAAGAATCGTTTAAAAATATCCAAAAATACACTAAATATATAAAATATGTAGCAAAAATATTCAAATGGTCATTTTGATCATTTTGGTAGTTTTAGTGTTAAAAACCACAGCTAAGAGGTTAAAAATTTTTTTACACTAGAATTACCAAGGACTAAAGCATAGAATTTTCATCATAGATGTTAAAGTGAAAAAAAAAAAAAAATAGAAAAACTGTAAAATACAACACACAAGCTTTTATTTATGTATTTTATAAAAAATCACTTAAATCTCTGAAAATGTAGTTTTACATCTATAAAATATTCAAATGGTTATTTTGACAATTTTAGTATAGTTCTAGCGTTAAAAGCAGCACCACAGCTAAGTAGTAAAGAGTTTCTTAACGCTAGAAATACCAAGGACTAAAACACAGATTTTCATCACAGATATTAAAGTGAAAAAAAAGAAAAAAATAAAAAAACTGTAAAATACAACACACAAGCTTTTATTTATATATATTGTTTTTACATCTATAATACATCCAACGAAAATGACGAATGATTAGTCACTTTGACTTAGTTCCAGTGTTAATTCTGACACAGTTGTAATTCGAAACACCACCGTACACACAAGTGAAAAACAGATTCTGAACAGAGTGCCCTTTCCTTTTGTGTTCCTGCAGGAGATAGCTGATGCTGGAGGTGGTCAGAAGCGACTTCGTGTAACTGCTCTAGTTCCATTCATACTTCTGTTCGGTTGGACGGACCGCGTGTCAGCTGGCGATTGCGGTCTGGCCGAGTTAACTTGCCGGGATGGGCATTGTGTGCCGATTGACGCGTACTGCAACGGACGAGATGATTGCGGGGATAACAGTGACGAGCCGACGATGTGCACACCCTGTAATCGGACGTATCACGGACGGGAAGGACGCACGTACAAATTGGATCTTCCGAGACCGAGCGAGGAACGGCTGCCATTTCTTTGTCATTTAACGTTCACCGCTGCTGGCCACGGTTACGGCGAGCTGGTGCAACTGTTGTGGGACGCGTTCAGCGTCGGCAGAGTGGATCCGAATACCGACAGCTTCGTCACTAGCTGCCCGGAGGGATCGTTGCAGCTGGCGGAGCTCGGCAGACACTTCACCGGTGGCTCGTGGTGCGGCGTCGGCGAGGGGAAGGCGTCTTACTACAGCGAGACGAGCACCGTCACCGCGTCCATACGGCTGTTTCACGCGCCGTCCAGCGTCCCGTTCGAGTTTCGTCTGAGGTACAGGTTCGTGGCGCGTAACGAGGCGGTGGCCCGGCTGGGCAAGCCCGAGTTACCGATCGAGCGGGGCTCGCCGGTGCCGGGCACTTACTGCTCGAGGAACTTCTACGAGTGCCACCTGAAGCAGTGCAGGCTGCAGAGCCCTAACTATCCCGGCGAGTACCCGAGGAACGCCAGCTGCTCGATAACCATAAGGCAGAAAGAGGTGCCCACCTGTAAGCACGCGATGATCTCGGTGAAGTCAACGCCGGGCGGCCCGGTCGGCGTCACCACCGCCAACACCACACTGAGCGTCTGGCAAGACTGCCCGCCGGAGAAGGACCATCTTATCTTCCGAGACGGCGTCAGGCCAGAGGATCTCGTGCTGTTGGTATACTGCGGTGGGCCACTGCCAAGAATCACTGCCAGGGGGCCGACGATGCAGGTGGAGTTCCGAAGCTCGCCGATCGCCATTCCCCTCGGCGCCTCCGCCCTCAGGCTCGAGCTCGAGATACAGGTGGTTTACGTGGACTCGGACGGCCTCGAGTACGCCAAGGGGCCCCAGGGCTGCCACTTCTTCGTCAACGGTACCAACAAACGCAGCGGCGTGCTGAGAGCGCCGCTCCACGCGCTGCCGCCCAACTCCAGCTGCACGTGGAACATCAAGGGTTCAGCCGGCGACCGTGTGTGGATCTACTTCTCGTCGTACTCGCAGCGAGACCTGACCGGCACCGTCGAGAGCAACGCCAGCTCACAGTCCGATGTGCCGTGCGCGATCAAGCTGATATTCTGGGACGGCACGCCGGCCACCGGCCTCCCGATGGCCACGCTCTGCGACGACACGCCCAAGCTCTGTGCACACGCGGCACTCAGGAACGTCACCAGGAGCACCAGGCCGTGCACGCAGGACGAGAGCTACATCACCGTCACGCCGTCGCTGACGTTACGGATGGAAACGTTGCTGGGCACCGCGCTTCACACGGTGAACTTTAACGTAAGCTTTTAACCACACTTGAGGTGTGTATACTTGAGGTCACCGATTTTTGACGAAATTTCATGCATAAATGTTGTTCTTGGAAAAAATAGTTGACACGTATTTTTTTTTTTTTTTTTATTTTTCATTGGCAGGTGGTTTTAGAGAAATTCGAGGAGGTGGCGGCGCAAGGTTGACACGATGATTCTGATGATCTTTTCATTCTTAAAATTCTAATGTCTCACCTCTGTGGCATGTGATTCTCATTGAAAGTGAATTTTTGACGGGGAGGAAGTTGGTCTAAACAATCTTCCAAAGACGTGACATTCACGAAAGAAAGAAAATCAGAAAGTCAAAAAGAATTCACTGTTAATAACTCATTCTCGAGTTGCCTCCCTGTGGGACATCATCACGGTTCTACAGATGTACCCATGATAAACCTCAAACGAGGTTTCCAAAGCTTAAATGAAAAAGAAAAAAAAGAAAATCATTCGTGTTGATCGGGAAAATTATTGGAACGTGTTCTTTTTTTCCTTTTCTTTTCTTGCTTATCGATTGCAGAATATTAACATCCCTAGCGGTTGTTACTCTACACTCTAATTTTTACATACCTGCTGAAAGAATATGTAAATATCTTGCACGTGCGAAATAGACACATTCGCAGACTAAAAAAAAAAAAAAAAAGATTAATCGATCAATTTTCTGTTTGCACGCAGGCACAGTACGAGTTTATATCGACCACTCAAGTCGGCGAGCCATGGGGTGACGGAGCCTGCAGCAGAGTGTGGCGCAAAGTTCGTAGCGGCGAGGTGACGTCGCCGCGCGACGTACGCCTGTTTGGTAGGGGCGGCTCGCAAAAATTGGACTGCAGATACCGTATCGAGGCGAACGCGGACGAGAGGGTGCGGCTGACGTTGCACAACGTCAGCCTCGGCGAGTCGACCGTGTGCACGAGCGAGCCAGATCCCCACACCGGCCGACCACGTTGTGTTCAAGAAGTGGGCTCGCGAGAAGCTCGTTTAGTTTTGTACGAGGCGCCCTGGCGGGACGTCAAGCTTCCGAGAGCCTGTTTATGTGATAACACGTCGCATCTTCCATTGACGCACATCTCCTCGAGCACCGCGCTGGAGATCACGTTCCTCGTCGACCAGCAAACACCCCACGAGGACTTCGAGACTCTCTTCTTCTACGCCAGCTTCGAGCTCGTCAGAGCGCGCGAGTGCCCCAGGAAACAGAGAGTGCGCGGCGAAGGTTGTTATCGACTCGTCGATCTGTACGGGGAATTTGTACAAAACTTTTTGTATCCTCATGAGTAAATTAGGAAATTCATTTATTGTTGGCTCGAGTGTTTGCTGCGTGTGTTTATACTTCTTGCGCTGGAATAATGAGTTTTTTTGCCCCAAAATTTTAAGTATATTTAAATATATTTAAGTATATTTTTATTTTATTTTTGTTTCAAGTATATTTAAATATATATTTAATATAAATATAAGTATATTTTTATTTTATTTTTATAAGTATATATTTATTTTTATTTTATTTTTGTTTTAAGTATATTTAAATATATACCCGGGCAAAACAAGTAATAAATTTATTACCTCTTAATAATTTCTATCTATAGTGATGTCGAGTTCAAAAAGAAAATGACGAATTATTGTGTACGGTGTTTGGTCACTCGTTATGGTCCGTGAACCAGTTGCCAGCGCAAGGGGTTAAACGTATATATTACTGTGACGGTGCAAAAAAAATATTCTTCGCCTAACGTGAATGGTATTGAAAGACAAATATAACTGGTAGGAACATTCTTTTTGTCAAGATCATCTTTCGAGGTCACTGGAGCTTTTTTTTTTTATACAGTTATGCTATTATAATTCGTACAACTTATTTCATACAATCATACGTATAACGCCGTTCAATACAAATATGTAACTATGTATTGCTGAATAGAAATCCAAAATAGTTATATGTATTATTAAATAGAAATATAAATATATTTAATTTATTTAATATATGTAACTATATAAATTTAAAAATAAATTTAAAAATATTAATAGAAACTAACTTATAGAACTATATAAATTTAAAATATTAATAGAAACTAACTTATAGAACTATATAAATTTAAAAATATTAATAGAAATATGTAAATATATTTAATATATTTAATATATGTAACTATATATTTCTATTTAACAATACATATATATACCATACATATACAGTCACACAGTTACATGTATAGTTATGTGAAATAAGTTGTATGAATTGTACTAGCATAGTTGTGTGATAAAAATCCATCAATGACTTTGAAAAATGACTTTGGAGAAGACCTATTATACCAATTATTGGCCTTTCGATACAGTTTATGTTTTTTTCCATAGTTTCACAGTTTCAAAAGATATTTAGTTGCTCTAGCTTAAATGGACCACCCCCTACGTGTAAACACAATTTGTTTCGCTAAAGTATCTTAAAGTGTACGGTTTTGTACTGATATTTCGTACCACTCGCAGATCGTTCAAGGTTATCATTAATAATCCCATTTTTCTTTCTTTTCCAAAACAGGTGGCGAATTACGGTTCGTTGCTCCACCTTTGTCGAGACCAGACATTTACTGCGAAGGACTTCCATGGTTGGTGGAGGCGCGCGAGAACCGATCGCTCTTCGTTTTAACCTGGGGCTGGTTCCTGCCCCTGGAGCCCACACCGATAACGGAAATGAACGAGCAGAGCAAGTGTCCAACGACCAACAGGATCCTCCTCTACTCCGGTTGGCCGCCGAAGCTTTTGAAAGTGGTGTGCCCCGCCGAGCCAGGCGCGCGAGAGTTCACCGTTCACGTCTTCTCCGAGGAGTGGCTCGGGGGCACCGACGAGGGTAAATGGCCAGGTCCGCCGCGACCGCCGGCGCTTTTGCTGGACTTCATCGCGAGGGAGTCTGGCCAGGCTGCTGCCTCGTGGCTGGAGATCTCGAAGAGCAGAGCCGCGCTACGCAGGCAGCTACGTCTACCCGAGAGAGGCGTGGAGAACGAGACGTCGACGCACGGCGACTGCCCCCATAAATGTCCCGAGCTGAGCGCCTGCATTGCCGCGAGCCTCTGGTGCGACGGGAGGGCTAACTGCCCGTCCGGGCACGACGAGGCGAACTGCGGCAACGGGGCGAAGTTACTTGGGTTACTGCCTTCGGAAATGTGGCTAGTACTAGCTGGTGTCTCTGGGATTATCGCTGCCTTTGCGTGCTTCTTCGTGGTGCTGATTAGCAGGTATCACTGGGGCAGAGTTAGGGAGAGATTAATTGAAAGATTACATTGATCAATTCCATAACGTATGCAAAGTCATTTTAATCTATAAGTGCAATCTCCTTTTGAGCTATTCGTCATTTAAAAAATGTCTCAAATGCATCTCTTTTGAGAAGTCAGTAATTTGGTACGTTTGGTTTGTCTTTAGACAAAGGCATGTAGGAGATATGATGGTCGTTGCTAGTTTTCCAGGTATAATTATGTAATTTTTTTTTTCATGTCGATGCAGCAGGTCATTTTCTGTAAAAAAGTATCAAAAAGCTATTATAATTTAAAAGATACTTTAACTTTGATTTTATAAAATCTATCGTATGAAAGAGGAGAAAGGACAATTCTTGTATTGTAATATATGTAGTTAATAATATATGTAAGTATTATATGTAAAGGAGTATTTTTGTGTTCATACTGTTCTCGTCTTTCGTACGTAGATTTTATAAGAGATATCTCCTTTTATAAAAAGTGGATTTTAGACGTAGATAGGTTAATACTTTTTTTTGTAGAGAATGACCTGCTGCATCAACTGATGCAAAAGAAAATTACATGATTTTATTTGAAAAAATAGTAGTAATTTTCACTAGTATTCTCTTACACACGTCTATCTAGAGACAAACCAATGTGTAAACCAAATTACTGCCCTCTCAAAACAGAAAAAAAACACATTCGAGACGAATAATACTTATAGAAATAATTGCATTTATAGATTAAAACGGAGCATCCTGTATATCTATGTATATTTACAAATATATTAGAACAGAATATGTTGCACGTTGTATAATATTTCTGAATTTTATCAGAATGATGTGTTAGAATTTACTATTGTTTGTGCCTTCTCCTTCTGACTAATGAATTTAGAGAAATAAATTCTCTTTTTCTTCATTACATTATGTACATTTTAAGCAACGAAATTGAGAAGCTTACAGAAAGTGGAGTTGATCAGTTTGGTCAATATCTATTTAGATTTCACTTCGTGTCAGTTATCATATATCAAAAACCTTGCACGAGCATTCACAGTCTGAATTTTATTAATTCGGGCTAATTAATTATTCATCCCTACTAATTCATATCTAATTATCAATTCTCCTAGCAGTGTAATTATGTATTGATTTTCAATTACAGATTAATTTCGTTTCGCGACTAGTGTTATTTATTGATTGATGTTCATTGCAGGTCAAAAGCGCGTACAAAAAGACTTCATTACAAGGGTACAAAGAAAAGCAATAGGCCGAGGCGAGCGCCGACCGAGGAGACATTACTGGGGGCAGCATCCTGACAGCAGCAGCCCGGTTTCGTGGAGTACATCCACGTGGACCGGGAGACAACCGTCTAGCAATATTTCTCTGTGCTTTACCGTCCACTAACTTAACACTATCCCCAGGCATCGTGAACCAAAATGTTCAAGTAACTCATTCCTTTCTTTTTTTTTTTATTTATTTTCGAGTTACGTGTTATTTGACTCGTTTACTCGATAAACATTTCCGACCGTTGCTTAATTGTAACTGTTATCAATATGTACTCGTTTGTTTCGCATGTTTTTAGTATTCTACGTTGCGTATAACTTATATATATATAAACGTCTTGCCAGGATCGAACAGCGCGACACCCATAGGGAGAGACGCGAAACCATACTGCCGTGATCTCCGTTTCTTTCAAGGGAGCTCCATTTCAATTTTAAACGATAGAGTGAATTATATCACTTCGTTGTAACGGGCAGTTAGAGCGATAGCAATAGCGATATCGGTGTTCCCATTCGTGCAATATGGGCGTGCGACAACGTGGAAAGTGATGAATGGTAATACTCGAGTCAAGTTGCGGCAACTGATCTTTTTGCAAGAGGCTAGAAGAGGCTAATTAATTGAAATACCAAAGAGCCAAAGAGCTAAGTTACGTTGTGACATTTCATTCACTGACACACGATGTTTTATAAACCAGAGAGAAAGAGAGAGAGAGAGAGAGAGAGAGAGAGAAAGAGAGAGAGATAGTAAATGCAATTAATATAATATACAGGAATAAATCTATAATTTAAAAGATATCACACATATTGCTCAAAAGATATTGTAACTGCCAAAAAGAAAAAAAAAAGATATTTTAATTTCGATTAGCTGATATACTACATTTTTAGCAGCAATAGAAAAGAAAAAAAGAAAAAAAAAAAAAAAGAAGTAATAGAAGAAGTATTCTGAACGCAGAGGAGGATAACTTTTTTATATTTCAACGTAGGGGAAGCAAGTTCAATTTAAAAGAAAAAAAAGAAAAGAAAGAAAAAAAAAGACGAGAAGATCGAAATTGATTACATAATCATAGTTACATCTATCGACGATGCCAAAGAGTTGATTTTAACGTGTTCAATATTTATATTTCTCTTAAGATTTTCAAATATATTTTTATGACTTTTGCTCAGATGTTTAATTATATATATTTTAAACGAGTTGTCATTGGAAATTTAAAAAAAAAAAAAATGAAAAAAGAAAAAAAAAAGAGGGAGGGAGAAAATGTAGAAATGTAGAAATACTTGTTTGACTTGCAAAGCTTATTGAAATTTTGCTGAAACAAAAGTGGTCGACGTTGATAATATCGATATCTGTTATTCTTCATTTGCTGAATACAAGATACACTATAAAAGTACTATACTTATAAGGGAACAATTGTAGGTGAAGTTCCAGCGCACAAGAGATTGTGAGAAAAACGAAGGAAATAAAAAGAATTAGCTAAAGTTTACAATATTATATAACAGTGTTTTCTTCGTTTCTCTACATTAATTGATTAATTTTCAATCCTCGTTTGCAATTTCGATCAAAGAAAAAAAAAATTTTTTTCTTCGTTTCTCTGCATTGATTAATTAATTTTCAATCTTCATTCGCAATTTCGATCAAAAAAAATTTTTCAATTTCAGTAAAAAAAAAAAAAAATTTTTTTTTAAAACTGTCGCTATCTTTTCGTTTTATAGGATGGGCCAAAAATCACTTCCTGAAATAAATCCGTATTTTAAAGGAATAATTTTTAAAATATAATGAAACAATCATGTTTGAACGTAAATTCAGTTTAAAAACAATAAAATTTGTTGTTTCTTATCTCTCGATGTTTTATTAAAAAGAAAAAAAAATAGGTGGGAAGAAACTTTTGGCCCACCCTGTATTATCTCTCGTCGCGTGTTTGACGATTATTCATTAACGATTCCTTAGTCAGAAAGTCAACTAACTAATAATTTTCGTACGCGTACGTATACAAAAATTAGTGAAATATATTCTTATTAACCGAGACGAAATTGAAAAAAAAAAAAATACCAGTCGAATAAAGTAAATAAAGTATAATAGAAGAATAGAAAAGGGACTAGAAGATATTTCTGCAGACACATTCTAAAGAAAAAAAAAAGAAAAAAAGAGAGAGAGAGAGAAGGATTATTCGTAAAAACGTCGCTGTTATACAATATTTAGTACTACCGTTTATAGATGCACTTACAAAGTAAAGTTAAAACATAGCTGTGACACAAAGTGTTGGGAGATACTGATACTATAATTTACGATTATAAAGCACACGAGATAATGTTAAAACGTTGTTATTAAAATATAATTATTGCTGTTACTACTGAACAACTGATACGTATTATTTGAACGAAGGAAGTGGGGAGAGATACTCGCCTACTCCGGTTTGTTTACAATTAAATGAAAACGATCGATCGCGAAACGAACGAAATCCGATCGATCGGTGTGTTTTCGAGCCGGAAAAATTGGATCCTCGATCGCGACGTACGAGGTACAATATTCAAAGAAACAAACAAAATCAAACATAGTTTTTAATTCAGACTATGATAATAGATTACGATTACGATTGAGGTTATAATTAAGCACCGCTGTATAGAGGACTGAAAGTAAAATTCCGAGAGATTCAGCGATTAAATTGAAATAGAAAGAAAATGAGCAAGAAACGATAAGTAATGTTAAGTGCTATTCGAGAGTTAGAACGATTAATGTATTATGTATCTAGCCTTTAGAGGACGTACATACAAATTAGAAGTGGAGTATCTAACACCTGGGATCTGTATCACACTGTACGTGAATTCTTTGTAAGATCTTTTTTTTTTTTAATTGTTTCTCTTTCTTGTTTATGATCAAAACAATCACAGTGTTCAAAGGTCGAGAGATTTTACAAGATCGTTTTACAATGATGAAGATGACACATCGTACGTGATCGCAAATCATTCTTCCTGTATAAGTTCGAAGGAATTCGAAGAGTAGTCGCATACTTTTTCCTGAAGATTCGCAACGAATTTCGGAACTGTGAAATGGATTCAATCACCGAAAAGAGAAAAAAAAAAAAAAAGAAAAATGAAAAAAAAATAAATAAAAGACGCACTTCCATCTATGTAATAATCTATAAGAACTGAATGTACATACCATGGTCTGCTTAAAATCATCTTCAATTCTGATATCTGAATATGATATATTGCATGAACTTAATGAAATAATTTTGCTCGTTTGTTTTAGGTATGAGAAGGAAGGAAAAACCAAAAACAGGGCATTCGACACTTTCCTATTTCTTCGAAGAAATTGATTTCGGAATTTTATAATTTAGGAAAGTGGAAATCATTAAATTGTAAATTTGTAATTCAGTTGGCTGGAAATTATTAAATTACAAATTCACAATTCAATTGGCTGGGAGTTGTTAAATTGTAAATTCATAATTCAGTTGGCTGAAAATTGTTAAATAATAAATTCGCAATTTAGAAATTGTTAAATTGTAAATTTACAGTTCAGTTGGCTGAGAATATGTTAAATTGTAAATTCATAATTTAGTAGGTTGATATCTATGACCTGTTTTGTTCTACACAATTATGTAATTTTCAACGTGATAGTTTCGAGGTTAGTTTTACATTTAGATATCCGAATGACGCTATCTTACGCAGACCATGTAGCTCAACATAAGTAGCGTTTATTAGAAAGATAACTTTTACGGGGGAGCTCGACTCGAGTCGTTCCTTCCCCCTTCCAACTATTCTAATCCAGATACACACGAAAGAGTTAGAGTTTTGAGAGAAATACATTTTATGAAGAGTAAAAAGAGATAGAGAGAGAGAAAGAGAGAAAGAGAAAAGAGTATACTTATACTTAGGCTCTACTTTAGTAACGAATTTACTTAAGAGAGGGAAGAGAATCCGAATATTATATATACATATTATACATTTAAGACTTGTACCCGAATCGTGTACCCGTTCGTTTAAAAAATTTGTAGAAGACGAGAAACCAAGAAAAAAAAACAAAAAAAAGAAAAAAAAACGAAAATGATCTATTGTATTAAGGGGTCTAAAGGATAGATTATAGAACATATTGCCTTTTACAAACGTAAGGATGACAAGGAAGTCGCGCATAATCTCATCTAGGAGTAAAGAGAGACATTAACGATTATTCCAGTACACTACAATCTAATCTAGTAGAACTAGTTGCCAAACCAATACAAGTTAACTGTCTTCTAAAAGAGAAAACCATTCCTTCCTTTCGTCGATTAATTTGTAAACGTTCCAGCTTTGATTTTTGTTATCTCCAGAGAAAGAGAGAGAGAGAGAGAGAGAGGGGGGGGGGGAAGAAAAAAGAAAAAAAGTAAAAAATACAGGAGAGAAAGAGAGAATTGTAAAGTTCCTTTCTTTTGCAGCAACGCGTTTCGATTTCGACAAACTCGCGTTCTGCGTGTCCCTGCGGTTGATTTCCTCGAAACAACGTCGTTTAATAATCCGACGACGTAACTACTCGATTCACAGATTGTTAATTTAACGGCGAAACGCAATGAGAGACGCGGGGCACGAGGGAGAACAGGTTTGAAGGGAAGAGAGAGTTTCTTTCGTTTTGTTTGAGCCACACGTTTGTATTGATACTTTCGATTTTAAATAAATACGAAAAATTGCGAACGATCCTTCCTCCTTCTTTGGTCCTGCACATCATTGCTCGCCCCACCGTGCTTCTCGCTTTTAATTTAGGAACTTCTTCTAGAGGGAGCTCTGCATGTCCGTCGAGTCGCTTCTCGTGGACGGTGTTCTCGAAGTGTCCACATTTATCTCCCTGGTGTCTTTCGCGTAAGCCAGCTGTGCTTGATCGCGAAGGGACTGCGCCATCAACACTCCTGTGTTGTTCACCATTTGCGAGAACATACCCTGAGGCTTGTCGCGCAACAACTCGTAAGGGCGACCAAATTCCTGTGATATATTATAAGGGTGATTCACGTGACTTGCATACCCGAAATAATATTTAAGTTATGCCATGTCTAATGAAAAGTTATTTAATGGAAAAGTTGTATGATTCTGTGGGGTAACAAAATATGGCGTATTAATTTTTTCTGAGTTTCCAAATTCTCAAGGTCATTATTTTTTTTCTTTTTTTATTGGACCATACATTTCTTTTTTTTTTTCATCATAAATGGAAAGTATATTAAATTACAAGTAAAAATGTGTTGATTCTAAACGTAAAATACATTTTGCCTCCCTTAAAACCATGCAACTTTTGCATTAAACAATTTTTCATTAGACATGATATGTCTGTTACATTTCTAGTTAATTTTAACATATATCATACCGCTATATTACCAAAGTCCATCACGATGATCCTGTCGCTGTCGATAATGGTCTGCAAACGGTGAGCAATCGTAATGACAGTGCAGTCAGCAAATCTCGTTCTTATGGTTTTTTGAATTAGATCGTCCGTGCTGAAAAAGATCACGCGTGAACATAGAATGAAACGTTTTTTGAATATTAACACTGGAACTAATACCAATGATTAAATGACTTGCATTAGGGAAAATTAAAGGGTTAGAGTAAAAAAAAAAAAAATAGAGAAACTTAGTAGTACAATAGAGTGCATATACATGTGCGTGTATATATATATATATATATATATATATTATAAAGTATTGTAGTATATTTGTAGTACTGTAGTACTACGTTATAGTATATATGGTATATTTATAAATATTATACTATAAAGTACTGTAAAATATTATAAATTATAAAGAGAAACTTTGTATAATATTATAAATATTATTTGTATTGTATAATATACAAAGTTTCTCTACTTTGTATATTATACAATACGTTATTATACGAAACTTTGTATATTATACATTTGTATAATATACAAAGTTTCTCTTTATAATTTATAATATTTTACAGTACTTTATAGTATGATACTTATAAATATACTAAATATACTATAATATAGTACTACAGTACTACAAATATATCATAATACTTTATAGTATAAATATATAGTAAACTTATAATACTTCACAGTGCTATATGGTAGAATGGAGTATACAATACAGTATACAATATATGGTAGAATGAAATTTTTATCTATGCATGAGTTTTTTTCTACAAGTTTTTATCTATATATTTTACGAAAAATTATTTAAACGTCTTTGAAAATACACTATTATTATGTCTGCAAAATATCTAACAAAAATTATAAATTACTCGTTTTGATAATTAGTCACTTTGGTAGTTCTAGTGTTAAAATTACTGTTATGAATACTGAGATAATATTGTATTCAAATGTTAATGCAACATTAAATTAATGTTAGAATTACTGCGTATCGATATTGGCTGTAGCCTCGTCCAACACTAGTATCCGATTGTTCTTCAAAACTGCTCTGGCCAGACATATCAGCTGCCTCTGTCCAATGCTCAAATTACTTCCACCGGACATCACCATCTGATCCAGCGTAATATCGTTCAACTCAACTTGTCGGAGGCTATCCCACAGCAGCGTGTCATCGTAGCTGCGAAACGGATCCAAATTGTGACGCAGCGATTCGGAGAACAAAAACGGTTGCTGAGGGATGATCGATATCCGCGAGCGTAACTCGTGCAAGCCCAACGTCTTGGTGTCTTTCCCGTCGATTCTGATTTCTCCTTCTAGTCCCTCGACGAATAACCGGAAGAGCGCCGATATCAACGACGACTTCCCTGCGCCGGTTCTACCTACCACGCCAACTTTCCATCCAGCTTCTATCGTCAGATTTAAATTCTGCGCAAATGGAAGGAGACAAAGAATATAAAATAATTAGGACAAACGATTTGCAGTTAAATGTAAAATAATTGACATAGACAATTCTTGGACAATTAAATATAAAATAACGTGAAATGAAAAATGATATGACACATAAATTAAAATAATCAATTCTTGAGCAAATAATGTGAAATGAAAAGTATGAAATATAAAATAATTGCATTGAACAATACAATTTATATGTAAATATGAAATAATTAAAATAAACAATTCTTGTTCCTGGTTCTGGTCACCTTCAACACAGGGGCTTCTTCCTTGTCATACTTCATGCTGACATTATTCAGAGTCACTTGTCCGTGTTTCGGCCAGTCCGCCGGCGGAGGATCGTCACTGGTCCACGAAGGTTCCTTGGGCAAATTGGTGTACTCTAGGATCCTCTCCACGGACGTTGTATGAGATATCATTTCGCCACTTCGCTTCACTACATGTTGCAGGCTACCGATTATACCCAACGATTGCGATATAGCCAAACCAACATTGCCTCCAAGGATGCTATCTAAAGTTATAGACAATTTTAGGACAAACGATTTTAATCGCAAACGTTTGAACGTATAGTGTGGTGAACTGTGGTGAATTGTAGCGAATAGCAGAGTTGTAGTTTGAGAAGCATTACCTGTGTTCATTATAGCGAAAGAGAAACAAATGCAGGCGATGAACAGCGTCACGACGAAATCCATGTACAGACCAAAAATTACAGGCACAACTATACTCATGTGCCATGCACCGGTGTGTACATCTTGCAAGTCGTCGAACTGCTTTTGCAATAACTCCACAGTATTCGATCCACTGCTTCTAATGGTGGTCAGTCCGCTTAGCGTGGCGTTTACGTGAGAGAATACAGGGCTCTTTGCTAAATATTCAAGATTTGCTAGACTTTAGATTTACTGAATATTATACTACACAGAGTGTCCCAGTTTAATCTATAAATGTAATTATTTCTATAAATGAAATTATTTGTCATTTAAGAAAATGTCTCAAATGCATTTTTTTTCTGTTTTAAGAGGATAGTAAATTTGGTTTACACTTAGTTTGTCTCTAGACAGACGAGTGTAATAGAATAGTAATGAAGGTCATTACTATTTTTTCAAGTACAGTTGTGTAATTTTCTTTTACATCAGGCGTTCTCTACAAAATAATATTAATCTATCTACGTCTAAAATCCATTAGTTTAGGAGATACTTTTTTTATAAAATCTATGTATAAAAGACAAGAACAGTATGAATGCAAGAATATTGCTCTTGTTTCTTTTCATTTTTCACATGATTGATCTTAAAAAACAAAATATCTTCTGAAGTAATTTTTGATACACATAGATTAATACTTTTTTACAGAAAATTACATTGGTTTGCCTCTGTTTAGAGACAAACCAAATGTACCAAATTACTGGCCTCTCGAAACAGAAAAAATTGCACTCGAGACATTTTTTAAATGGCGAATAATTATATTTATAGATTAAAATGGAACACCCTGTGTATTCTATAATTTATAATATTTTATATATAATTATTCTACGTTATTACTAGTATTCTATATTATTATTAGTATTATATATACTATAATACGTTTTATATTCTATATTTCATATATTTATAATGTTCTATTTCTAAATATTCTCCAACAATCTATGGGCATTTACATTTCGATATCTTCTGAAAATGGATGAACGTTATGAAGTATTGTAATAACCGCGAAACACTTGCCTATACCCTCGAGACGCCTGATACTCTGTGCGGTTCTCAGAAACGCCCTCCTCCCGAAGAGAAATAGAACGAAAAACGCCATTAACGGGATTAGCATCCAATAATTCACAGTCACCACCATGCAAATGATACCGATTATCATAAGAGACATCTGAATGGTCTCTAGCATCACCTTCGGCATCACTTCGTCCACGGAACCCATGTCCTTGGAAAATCTGTTCAATATCCTTCCTGCAAAAACGAACAAAGTTTCCATCGTCATTCTAACATGCATCGGCGTTCCTTAGACGAACGGACAGTTTCTATAAACGTACGCGGTGGTTAATCCCACCAAATAAATTGTATAAGATATAGAGAATATCTACCAGAAACGTTATCATGAAAAAAGGTCATCGTTGCTTGTAATATGTTGGAGAACATCGCGTCGTGAAGATTCTTACTAGCGTTTGTGCAAACCTCCATGAAAAACATGTTTTTGACGAATGTTATCACGATGCAGGAAACGATGCAAAACGTATACACGTATATAGCGTCGGCGGTGTCTAAGAGGCCGTGTTTGTCCAAATTGAACACACGCGACAATGCTGTATCGTTCAACACGTAAAACGAATACTGAGGCTTGAACGAATTGTTCCTGTTCAACGATCTTCTTATGATTTCGATGTTCGTCCAGTAGGTGACCCAATAGTCGTTGCCAGTCATTGTCACTTGCGACAAAATGAACATAACTAACAAAGCAATCAAGGCGTAAATCGAGCCACCGTTCTGAAAGTATTTCTTGTAGATTTTGTTGGAGAAACGACTGGTTGCCACCGCTTCGTCATTGTCCGGCACTGACATACAGTCTTCGTAGTCGTAGGAAACCTGAAAATGTACCATCATACTGCAAATTAATTTGTTTTAATTGTAACGCTGTGACATTACATTATGTCGTTCATTACCACGCTACTGTTGGCAGATATCACGGAAGACAACCTACGGACACCACTTCTGCTGGGTTTTCTCTCGAGATTTTCGGAGGCTTCGTTTTGCTTCTTAGCCTCCGTCAACATTTCGATGCGATTCATTATCTTCGTGAAATTTTCGTTCGACTTGGACAGCTCCTCGTACGTTCCGTACATACTTATGGAACCCTTATGAATTATGAGAAGCAATAATTACAAGTTGTACAATTAATTAATTAGTACTGGGAATGAAATTTATGAGAGGTCTCTTTAAAAATTTCAGGGCTAGCCTTTAACGAATTTTAAAATTCACTCCCTGTTGTATTCTGGAGTTTGGTGGAAAAAATTTACTCGGTCCAATACTGCAACGGTGTCAGTCTGTTTGATAAATTGTAACTGGTGGGTGACCAAGATTCTGGTAGCCCCGCGAAGGTAGTTTTTGATACACCTGTGGAAAAGATGCTTGGCCACGCGTGAATCCACCGCGCTCAAAGGATCGTCCAACAAATAAACGTCCGCTTTCCTGTAGACCGCCCGCGCCAGATTCACTCGCGCCTTTTGCCCTCCGGACAAAGAGGACCCGCCTTCGCCTACGTTGCTCATGTCGCCGTAAGGCAGCTGTTGGAAATCCTTGGTCAACGCGCAAACTCTCGTTACCTGAAACGTATTCACTTTAAACTTTCTCTCAACCACATTTAATACAATTAATACAATTAAATGCATTTGATAGAATTGAGTTTCTCAAGAAGTTGAAGAAATGCTCAATTAGGTGATATTGGAAGTATACGTAGCTCTTTCCAATAATCGTTTTAACAAACGATTTTGTAAATTGAGCAATCAATTTTTATTTTTCTACCATCAACTCTTTCAATTCTACTAATTCTATAATTAATTAAACTTATTCTATAATTTTATAATCAGCTAAACTCATAGAATTCTACTAATTCTATAATTAACTAAACTACTTAATAAACCAATTCTACCGTTGACTTCCAATATTGAATGTATGTCGACAGAACCTACAGCCGTGTATCTCTCCTTGTCGTACGGCTGCCCAAAGAGAATATTGTCCCTGACAGATCCAGAAAAGAGCCAAGCATCCTGGCTGGCGTAAGAAATTTTCAGATGCGGAATGTTGCTCGCGTACCCCCGTCTGTCGAACACGAGGTCGTTGTCCAGTGATTCGCAGTACAGTTTTATCTTTCCAGCTCCTAGACGAAGTTCTTTCAAAAGAAGGTGTAAGATGGAGGATTTGCCTGAGCCCACTGGACCGACCAGGACGCACAAATCTCCACCTTTGATCTTGACGGAGAGGTTGCACAAGGTCGGTGGTAGCTGGTTGGGAATCCAGTTCGCCGACACTCGTTCCAGCTCTATCGAGACTGCCACTTGCTCGTCGACATTGTTCGAGTTCAAATTTTGGTTCGCGTTCATGGTTCGCATCTTGATAGATTCCACGCTCCGTTTCTCCATATTCTTCCTCTTGAATTTCAAGGCACCGTTCTGGTATGCTCGGTTCAACGTTCTTTCCTCGTTCGTGTATTCCTCCAGTAACAAAAATTTCTGGCAAAAAGAGGTAATTTGTATTTGTTAAAAGAAACGAGAGTACGTGAATATGTTAGAATAAAAATTCATGTGTCAAACAACTTGTAATCTCTTGATGGACACGAAAGTCTCCCCGCTCAGTAGAAGAGCGTGTGGGAAGAAGAGCGTGGTCGTGATCTGAATGATCTGGAAGTAGCTGAACATCATGAACGTTAACTCCGCTTTCATCTCGTTCCCCAGTGCAATGTACGTTATGAGAGCCACGAAGAGAACGACACGATTCACGAAGGCCGCGAGAGCAAGATGCGATGCACGGATATACGAGCTACTTCTGATTGCCTTGCTTTCCACAGCACGTATATTTGTAACGATTTTTCTAAATGGCTTCTCCCAGGCGTACATTTTGATCACCTGAAGAGACAGCAAATTTTTCACATTACGTCTCCAGCGAGGAAAATAAATGAATCTGAATGGTAGGATGCAACAGTTTATCTCGAGAATTTCTATTCTCGTTTATCCATTACCTGGATACCACCTATAAATTCGTTCATAAGTTGCATCCTCTTGTCCGTCCAGGAGGCAATGGTTTCTCTAAATTTTTGGGTCATTGTAAGGAACATGGTGCTAGTCGGAACAGTTATCAGCAGAATTATTACGACGCCAATTAAACTTGCAGTTCCCAGCTTGTACCACATTATCATGGCCACGATGATCATCTAAAAATTAAGTCCAAGTTAAAAGGAAATAAAATAAGTGCAAGAGTTTTCGGTATAAAGAAATAAGGGATCTCTCTCTCTCTCTCTCTCTCTCTCTCTTTCTTTGCTTTTGGTAATTAAATTTACTTGAACGGGCGTTATCCAAAGGAAGTTCAAGTAACAGCATAATTCGTCGAAGCGGCTGACGTCGTTGCTGAGAAGATTCACAACCTGGCCAGCGCTCATTTGAGTCAAGGCCCCTTTATCAAGCCTTAATATCTGCAACTCAGCAAAATAACAATCAGGAAATCAGCAACTGATAATTTTAATGACAGCACAATTATGAAAGCATGTCAGTCTTATCGAGGAATGCATATGAGCACGATACATATATTTGCGTTGGCAATGTTATCAACTTGAAGCAAATTTCAACCAATTATCTAATATCGTCTATAGAAAAAAAAAAAAAAAAAAAAAAAAAAAAAAAGAAAAATATTACGTTCGAACGCGAGAGTGTATTCCACTCTGTTTTTCACAACTTCTCGAAACATAGAGATTAGCGAATTATAAATATGAATTTGTTAAATTCAACACCTTTCTATAAATTAACGAGCAACAAGCGACCCTTATCCTCATGCCAATCTCCTGCGACCAGAGATCGCTATGGTGCATGAAGAACACTGAAAACATCAGGCAAAGTACTAAATAGCAGACGTAGGATAGAACTTCGTTTTTCGTGGTGATTTCTGCAGCCTCGTCGTCGACCTTGAAGTAGCTGACGATCCACGAGAGTATAAGTGTGGTGAATACAAGCAGTCCGACGTATTGGACCGCCAAAAGGATGCCAACAAACAAATATTCCTTCCAAAATACACGAATCAGAGCTCTCTCCAGACGAGGGGAAACGTCGTTCTTCTTCGATTGGTCCTCGTACTGCGTTTCTTTCTTCTTCTGCTCCCATTTCTGAAGTTCTTGGTTCCAGGATCTACAACAAACAAAGAGAGAGAGAGAGAGAAAGTTCACTTCTATCGTATAAATAGAATCTCAATTGGCTGCTGATTATTATTCTAATATTATTTCAGCTATCAGTGTGCACAGCTACCACAGAAATTTGAAATTTGTGCGACTCATCGTGACGAAGAAACCCAACTGCGTGCTCAAAGGGTTAATTATGTATGCTCACTTTTGTAACTGATCCGTGACTGTTTTCGACGAATGCGATTTCAGAGGATGATACAGATCCGACAACGTGAGCACTCTTCTAATACCATTCACGTATATGTCTTTCATCCATCTAAAAGTAATTAGAACAATAAATGTCATTGCACAGCAATTGTACATAATTACACATACACAGTGACAACAGAGAAAGATATACCCGAAAAATAATCGACTAATTGGATTTGCAGTTTCCTTCGGATTTTGTTTGGTGTATGCGAACTTCACTTCCATGTTCCTCTTTCTTTCATTGATACCGCGTCCACCGAGCGATTACTCGTCAAACTACCAAGCACATACTATTTATTGCACCACTTATAACAACTGATAAATTCTGAATAATGCATTCCAAAAGTAAGGATTACCTTGAGCAACCATGAATTTGTCGTTTTTCGTTTCACTCGAATGCAAAATCACGTTGGAACTCCAATGAAACAAGTACGTACGTGACACTGCAGCACATTATTTGTAGTCGTATTTTTTTCGTAAAATACATTTCGCCCTCGCCGTACGTTGCAGTTCGTTTTCAACGTTTGCGCGTTTTAAAATTCGCGCGCAATGGGCAATCCGCTACGACCAATAGACTTGCGACCAATGGCGCGCGTAATAATTTCGACCAATAAGCGTTCGTCTTTTCAAAACGTGCAGAAACTTGTCTCCATAATTGGTTCGAACATTATTACAATATTATATTAAACTGAATTAGTAGGTGACTATAGTAAAGTATATAGTACACTACATATAGTATACTACATTAGTAGGAGTAATATTTTTTGAACGATACGTCTCGACGTGACAAAAAAGGTCACCCGTAAAACTGAGACAAAAATTACCTACGCACCAATATTATTGAAATAAATCATTCCGTTGGCGTATTATAAAAGTAAAGTATTTTATTTACAATTCCGTATTGATCGACATGTACAATAAAAAATATAATAATATAATCGTTGAAAATTTATATCAAATTACACAATGAACACTGCACCGCTGTGTAATCCTCGCAGGTGATACCTGTTCTTAATGCCATCGATCGTATAACAATTTATCGATGGATCTATCGAGCGCTGTATTATCGTGACAAATGAATCGATTCTCGATCTCTGTTACACAACACGTGTATCTACAGTACATTTTGCATATATTGTATATAACGGGTAATAATATAGTACAGTATAGTACATCGATCTTGTATAGAAAAATACTATAAACGTTATAATAGAATAGTACATTTCTTTAAGAAAAAAAGAGAACCGTTTGATTCTTACTGCTAGTTTTTAAATCTTTGTTTTTTTTTTTGGCATTTACGTGGATGTCCAAAACTATTGAAAATTCTGAATATTTCTTTCCTCCTCCTTCTTTTTTCAATAGCAACAGACATAATAATTCTCCACGGTGTGAACTCGTAAAATACAAAGTACAAAAATTAAGTATACCTACGAACATTTGAAAGTTCGGTACGCCGCGTAACGGCATTCTGCTCGTACATTACAAGTAGACTTTGGATTTTTATGCCGACATCAATTACGCGCGAGGAGATTTCTGGAAGAACCACAAGAAAAGGGACTTCTATAAAAATATAGAACTTTAATTAAAGAACATTCTCGCTTTGAGATCCTGTTTCTTTCGTGCTCGTGCATAAAAATCCGTAATCTAGTAATAAGAAAGAAAAGTACTTGTATAAAAGTACTAATAGGAAAGAAAAGTACTTATATAAAATGTTGCAACAATCGGCGCGCAGAGAAATGTACAAAAATATTCTCTCTCGACTATTGCTTGAGACTATATTATATTATATCGATCATATAACTATATTGTATACGCTTGTAATAATACTTGGTAGGAATAAAATTAAAAATATTATTCTTGTATTGCACAAGCTCTGTCGTTTGGCAACTGAAGCGGCTACTGCAACAAGAAAGACCAATCTCCACTCTCCGAACGGCAATCCACAAGTCAGAAAATTCACAACTATCGCCTTCCTGTGCCGTAAAATGGAATATCACATGAACTTTCCACCGTTGCCGATGTAAATAGCAAACTGGCTGCTCCCTGTTACTGCAAACTCTTCAATTGTTCCAACGACCAAGCCGTTTTTATCCAGCAATCATCGTTCTCCGTATCTGGCGATGTAAGATTGCCTCGCTATCTTCACTAATTGGTCATATATAGCACGATCGGTTTCTTTGACCAATGATTTGAACTGACTGTAGCTATTTTGTAACAGTATGTGAGGATGATCAAATTCCTGCAAATGAAACCAGCATTTCGTACATGATTTAATAAAACGGGATTCAAGCTAACTAGAAAATCAATAATAAATTTTTTTATAATTTGATTGTAATTCATAATTTAATTGTAATTTACATATTTTAAGCCAACTAGACGAATAAGGAATTTTACTTACAGCCATACGACCTTTATCCATAACTAACACCTTGTCGCTGTCCATAATGGTATTTAACCTGTGAGCAATAGTAAGTACAGTGCAGTTAGCGAATTTTTTTCGTATCGTTTGCTGGATCAAGGCATCAGTTTGTGGATCCACATTGGCCGTAGCTTCGTCAAGCATAAGTATTTTATTATTTCTTAAAATAGCTCTCGCCAAACAGACCAGTTGCCTCTGGCCAACACTGTAGTTACTACCCCGATCTAAAACGCGGTTTTCTAAGCCTGTTCCTGTAGTAGTTACAGCGTCCTTCAACTCCACCTTTGTCACATACGCACAATATTACAAATTTCGACAATGAAGAAAGGAAAGAAGAAAGAAAAGTTGACTGTTACTACATTCCAACTTATTACCTCCTCGAGAACTTCCCACAGAGCCTTGTCCGTAAATTCATTGAAAGGATCCAAATTCCGTCTCAACGTGCCAGAGAATAAAACTGGGTCCTGAGGAATGATCGATATGTGACGTCGTAAATCCTCCAAACAAATAGATCCAGTGTCCACGCCATCGATTTCTATGACACCATCGATTTTGGTTAGCCTGAACAGGGCTGATATCAACGACGACTTTCCAGCTCCTGTCCTTCCCACTATACCTATCTGCAAGATAATTACGTCGATTTTATAATTTTTTAAACTGGTATCTACATTGTTTATTTTTCTCTCAACTGAACGAAAAATCCACGTACCTTTTCTCCAGGATTAATTGCAATGTTCAGACCTTTCAACACTGGAGGATCATCCTCTACGTATTTCATATAAACGCTTCTGAATTTGATTACCCCATTTGTCGGCCAATTCTTTGGTGCGTTAGCAGGAAGCGCGACTTGCTTCTCAGTTTTCTTGGCGAACTTCCCTCGGTCGCGTAAATTCGGTTCAGGTACAATTTGTGTATATTCCAATACACGTTCCACAGCCATCATCTGATTAGCAACCTCGGCATTTTGTCTCATACCCCACTGAATCATCCCAGTCATGGCCATTACCTGAGTGATGGCTAAACCCACCTCTCCACCGGAGAACGCTGCAAGAGTATCATTGAAAATCGTTCAACAGTGTGAAAACAAGAGTACACTAACTGATTGAGGAAATATTCATTTGTATCTCACATTGCTCCAATAAGAGAAAACTAAAAGTAACTAGGGACGTGAAGACGAAGCAAAAGATGTCCAACGAGAATCCAAAGGCAGTGCTTGCTACTATATACATATAAAATGTGGAGGTATGAACATCTTGCAGTTTGTCAAACTCTTTTTTCAGTATGTCCTGCGCGCGGTAGGCTCTTATGGTGGTCAATCCATTCAACGTTGCATTTAAATGAGTGAACACCGGAGATCGAGCTGTAGAAAGATTTTTGGTTCGTTGAAGACAAATCCTCTAATATCGCTGATCATTTAAATGTCTCGCAGAGATATATACTTACTCATTCCCTCCATTCTTTTAATATTTTTGCTAGTCTTCAAAAATACTTTTCTTATCCAATAAAAGACGGCACCCAAAAATGCTATCGGGATTAAGAACAGAGGATTGACTACACAGGAGACTGTTAAGGATCCAACCATCATCATGCATATTTGGCCAGCATCCAGTATAGCCTTGGGTAATAATTCGTCAATGGCTCCCATGTCTTTGGAAAATCTATTTAAAATTCGACCACTGGGATTCGTATCGAAGAACCTCATGCTCGTTCTAATTAAGGCACTGAATGCCATGTCGTGCAATTTTTGACTGCATAATATGCATACTTTGTAGAAAGTCAATGATCTCGTAATACCGATACAAAATAGCCCAACAATAATTGCAGTATAAACGTATATATAGTTATACATGGAGGAAACATCCAAATTCTCAGTTGAGGTATCATTGGTACTATTTAATTTGGCTTCCGTAATGTAATAATGCCGCATTTCTTCCGCGCTTACTCTGAAAATATTTTTAGTCTATTAATTTTCATAGTTTGTATTACACTCATCCGCAAAACTGTATTTTAAGAAAGACACTTACAAAATAGGAACAAAATAATCGTTGAGACTAGCCATAAACTGTGTACACACAAATAATAAGAGTACCAAAGAAGATAGGCACAAGTTAGCACCGGTTTGAAAGTACTTGACAAATATTGGACCTTTAACTACCCCACGCGAGGTTCCTTCTAAACCATCATTAACTTCCTCAGACTTTTCATCTTCTTCCTCATCGTCTGTTCCCCCAGTACTTGCTTCCGGAGTTCGACTCTACGAGAATATATCTATTATTCTCTCACGCACGAAAGTATGCGAGCGTAACAGGATAAAATAATCTTACTCTAGTACTTGACGTTGAAAATTGTCTTTTCATACTACTCTTTTCCAAAGAGCTATCCTCGGCGGATTCTGATTCAGCCGCTAGTAATTCAGCGTATTCTGGTCGCTGATTCAATAAATCTTGAAAATGAGAAAATACGGTGACCTTCCCTTGCTCTACAAGTATTATGGTATCTACATTTTTCACGTACTGCAACTGGTGAGTAGCCAAAATCCGTGTTTTTCCTGCTAAGTATCGTCGCATACATTCTTCAAATAAATGTTTACTAACATGAGTATCAACCTAGAATTTATAAAATAATATAATATAGGTCTTATGTAAGCAGTTAACTCACTCTAAAGTGTGAAACATTGGTTTTAAGATACTCACAGCACTCAACGGATCATCCAGTAAATAAATGTCCGCTTGCCTATACAAAGATCTAGCTAAATTAATCCTAGCTTTCTGCCCTCCCGATAAAGAACTACCTCTTTCCCCAACGATTGTCTGATCACCCTGCGGGAATTGCTTAAAGTCGCTCTGAAGCGAACAAGCTTTCACAACTTTCTGATATCGGTGACGATCGTAAGGCTGTCCAAAAAGTATATTCTGTCGAACAGTGGACCCGAAAACCCACGCCTCTTGTCCGGCGTAGCTTAAACTTCCGTTCACTCTAACATGACCACCTGTTACATTTATCTCTCCAAGAACAGCCGACAGCAATGAACTTTTCCCAGCCCCGACCGTTCCTATAATGGCGTACATCTTTCCTTTTTCTATTTCAACGTTTACGTTTTCAAGGGTATTCTCAATTTGACTTGGTTCCCATTTGGCTGTCAAGTTACACATTTTCACTGCGTATGTTTCATCATTTGCCGAAGAACCTTTTTTCTCTAGAAAAAAAGAAAAAGATTTTCACAAAATATTCAAAAGTTTATATTTTAATTTTATGTTTTATTTTATATATATTTTTATTTAATATAATTTCATGTTAATATTTTTATTTCACTAAAATGGTAAACGTTTTGTATTACTTTTAAAATGTTAATATATTGACTTGTGAGATATCAGAATGAAATGCAGACAAAATATGTAAAATATCTAGAGAGTGTTCCGAATGCGCTCCCCATTTCTTCAGTTACGTTCATGCAAATATAAATTTATACCAACATTTATAGTTTAGACCGTGGAAGGCAAGATAATGCTTACCCCCCATAATGTTCGCCGTATTCATCAACAAATCGCTGGCAACAACTACTAGACCATTATGTCTTCTTGTTTCTGAAGAATCGTCCAAATTCTCGTAGCCATCTACTTCATCATCGATATATGGTATATCGGGTTTAGAAATTTTGTTTGAAGTATGCTTCGAAACGCTATTAACGCTACCGTTAATACTAGCTGTGAAATTGTTCGAAGCATGACCACTGTCGTGGAACTCCTCGTATATCAGGAACTGCTGCAACCTTCTCACGGCTACCATGCACTCTGCAATCTCAGCAAAACCCCGCACGAACATTCCGGACATGGTATGCGCCAAAATATTGAAATACGAGGAGAAAACGAACACTTTGTCCGCTGACAATTCATTGCCAAATAAAAGCATACTGATCAAAGTACAGAAGAGGGCCATCCGTGTGGTGAACAAGTTGAAGGTCATGTAGATGCCTCTAATGTAGGAGCTCTTGGTAACTACTTGCAATTCCAATTTACGGGCAGTTTCGATCAGGGCGCAGAAGGGTTTTTCCCATGCGTACATCTTAATAACCTGGACTCCTGATATTATTTCGTCCATCAAACGGACTCTTTCGTCGGTTTTTATGGCAGTCTGTAGCCGAAACTTGGAGGACAATTTCCCCGTGTATGCTGAAACATAAATGTAATACCGACGATGGAGAAAATTTCAATCTTGAAGTTTGTAGCATTAACATCATCTAATTCGAGCCTTTATGCTTGCACGCTTAGAAAAAAAACGAATGATTAACTAATGTTACTAGAGTAGGATATTTTCATTAGCACACTAGCCATTCTTAATGAATACAATACTTTACACAATAACTTTATGAGTAACGTCATGTGTATTTTATACATTACTTCGTGTGATACTTCACAAGTACAAAAGCTCGAGCTTTCCCGCTCTAATAATGGAATTATCATTACCAGAAACTCACACTGAATCGGTACGACAACGAAGACCGCGGCGATACCAATCAATCCAGCGTATCCAGCTTCGTCATAAAGAAAATATGCTATGATTAACGCGGAGAGTGGCGCAGACCACATATGATGTATGAAGATGGAAACAAGATCAAATCTATTTACATCGTTGGCCACCAAATTGACTATCTTTCCCGGTGCCGTTTCACCAAGTGCCGTTTTGCTAAGTCGTAACGCCTACAAAAAAAAAAGATACAGTAAAAATTAATTTATATATGCAATTCATGTCATACATACATCTCAAATACATAAAATATACAAAATGATCCAATCCTGTATATTGGAAGAACATTACAAAGATATTTATCCAGTGTTCCTTAAAGCCTATTCTTTCTTCCAGCATTGTATTTGACAAACGTGCTTTTTTTGAAAACTTTATCATATCGTTGAAATAAGTGAATAATTCGCCGACTGCACGCGCCAGAAATTTCGAAACACGAAAATCTGGTGAATGCACACAAATTTTGGAAAAATATATGAAAGTACTTGTTACAATATTCAGTAGTGGAAACAAAACTGTGCCCAGACAGAGAATTCTTTTAAATGCATTCACAGAAATTTGAAATTGCATGAAGATCAGTCTACTGATTATTTTTTCGGCATTACCTTCCGATAAACGATAGAACACGTAGCGACTCTGATTCTTGCACCAACGTGGAACGCGCCGAAGATCGTTTGATTAAGTGAGATGACGTTCACAGCCGTTGCTATGCAAATTCCAGCAGCATATAACAGAGCAGTTTCGTATGTTTCGGTTGTGTTCTTCTTAAAGTAGCGCAGGAGCCCACCCAGGAGTATCGGTGTTCCTAATCTAAAAACAAATACAAATCAATGTAATCACGAAGTTTGGCATAGGATTGAACTTCGTTAAGAACCTAATTTGCACGCTGAGTGACGTTTGTGCTTTTGTTTCTTGATGAATATTTGTTTCTTTTTTAATATTTATTTTTCTGTTATATAATATATTTAGTATATTATATACAGCACATACAATATACTAAATGTAACAGTTATATAATACATAGTATAATATATTTTGTACATATATAGTGTATATATATTTTATGTTATATAGTAAAATGTATGTAAATGTACGCAAAATCTACAGTCACAATGTAAAAAAAGTACACATGTACTATGTTATTACTTTTAATTCTCTTTTCTTTCTTCAACGAAACAATCCAACAATATTCCAAAGTTTAAGTCAAGAAAAACAATATTCCAAAAGTTTAAGTCAAAAAAAAACAGAAGATACATACCGGATAAAAAATTCGTTTAATATCTGCATCAAAGCAAGCACAGTGTACTCCCCCAAAAAGGTACGGAAGATGGCTCTCAATAGGCTGGGGTTTCTCTTGCGCTTCTTGGAATTTTCCAGTTCGATCTTCCATCGTCTAAAAATCGTGCATATCGCAAGTTAAGTACTGATTTCTTTTTTGTTCTTTTTTTTTTTTTACTAAGTTAAATCAACGAATTATACAAACCTTTCTAATCGATCCCCAAGCACGTTCGAACGATCGGTGTACAAAGGAGTGTACAAATCTTCCGTTTGCAAGATTTTCCTATAGCCTGTCTTGAACAAGTCTAGCGTCCACCTGTGTACAATATCGGAGATTCTATAGTTACTATCTGTGAAACCGTGCAATCACATTTAACGGTATACACGATAATACGTTTCACGCAATCGTTTATCACGTCACGAACAATGGTAATACAGTTTGGATACTGTTTATTTAGTAACAGTTCATACGTCGTGCAACCAATTTGTTTCATAATTATTATCAGACAATTGCGTTAGACTAAAACATTTCGAGATAAAAGTTTTTTGGAACGGATCTCTGATGCGTAATAATAGTTGAACTCTGGAATGTGTGATTAATCTCAGACTTCTTCGCACTCTCGAAAACTTTTTTTTCTTTTTTTTTTTCTATTTTTATTTGAGGGAAATACGACAGAATTGACGACGACGTGACTCGTTTTTTCTCGTAATCCTACGACAACTATCGTTCGAAGGAATCAAACATCTTCCGGACAGAAATTCAATGTCAACACAGAATTAAGTTCATGACTTGCAAAACAACGAAAATGAGTAGAAAATTCCGCGAATGTAGAGTCACGATGCATGACAATTAATATTTATGCCACCTTGCAAAAGTTTCGTTTCAATTTACATGAGTGATTGTTCGAATTTTGTTCTTGCATAAATACCAGAATTATACTAGGATTCCTCGACTTGAATATTTTAAGTTTAGACAGTGATATTACGTATTCGAATCACTTTTCTTCACACATCTATCTTGCATCAGATGACATAATACCGAATATTACATAAAATTCAATTTAGAAGCTGAGTTTTAATTTTCTTTCTTTTGTTATAATTATAACTTGTAAAATATATTTAATTAACATAACTTGACGCAATTTAGGTTAGAGGTGAGGAGTCCTTTATCTTCGAAAAATTTTTCACGGAATTTCAAAAGAAACTAATTCGATATTTTCTCCACTTATGCGATACACACGGTAGTTTTCTCCAGCCCAGTTCTGCTGAACAGAATCAAAAATTGCCTCGGGCTAAAACGTGGCAAGGTCGTGAATCAAACAGATACTGGATACTATCTTTTGACTGTGAACTAACTTAAGACGTTATATCATACTCTAAATGAGTGCACATTTAAAAAAAAAAACAAACTGCGACATCTATTGTCATTTGTAAATAGAAGGATCATAAATACTGATCACTATTTCCATAAAGCAGATGATACATATTTTTATAAAATATATTCGAATATTTCAACCTCTTAGCAGTAAGTAACGAATATACCCACCAGAAAGAAATGGAAATTTTTTTGTATACTCGTCGTGCTCGAAAATTAATTACAATATATTCATCAAATTAAATTTTTTGTAGAATATAAAACATATTTGTAAATCTTAGATATTTTGAGACTAGACTTGAATAGTTCTTTTTACTTTTCATCATTTCTAAATATTTTCTTGCTATTAATACTCTTGCTATTAATTAGTATTAATTAAGTTAAAAAATAGAATTACTGATTTTTCGGAAGAAACTAGCGTTACTTCTTTATAAATGAATTCAATTTTACAACAGCTGCATGTGACTGTGTTCGACAAGTATAATCGTCATCGTCGATAATCGCGTCGTTCCAACGTTATCTACAATGTTTCAAAAGCGGCACCAAAAACTAAAAGATTATATTTCAAATTGTTTACTTACATTAAATTTATATTTATAAATTATGAAATATAATTCATACGATTTAATTTAATTTGATATAGTTATCAGATTATAAAACATATTTCTAAATTATAAACCACAGCTAATAAAATTGATTTTACATTTATAAATTGCGAATCAAAAAAATGATTGAGGTACTTACCACCAGAACAACACCGACAGAAAGTTGGCCTTTACTCGCGGGTTCGGTTTCTGTTTCAAATTGCTCGAATCCATCTTCCATTAATGCGTGCCGCATCAATACACTGATCCTCCGACTGCTAGTTGACAACTACCCAAACTACGATTCGACTTAGCCGATAAGGAAACAAAAAAGTATAATCAGACGCCGGACATGCGCGACGAAGTAAAAGTCGAGCAGACGAAAGCTTGATTCCCACGGAACAGGTTCTTATCGTTCGAGTAGTTTATCTGTCTGAGCCTTCTCAAATATCGGGCTAATTGTTGATTAATTGAGGTAATCACTTGAAACTTGACATGGCACAGATATAACGTAAGTACAACAAATAAATCTTCAATAATCTTGGAGATAGCGATCGCTGTTTCGGTAAAGTGTCAATTGTGAAAATGCTCAATCGATAAGTGATCTTGATGATCGGCCGAGTCCAACGGTAGATGTACCCGGAATTGAAGTTTTCAGTTCGGTCACGCGTGGAACTGTCTCGTGGAGGAGAGTAAAACACGACTGGATCGGAAACCTGTATTTAAGACAAAAAGAGATCGTGAATCAGATCCGAACGCCTTCGTGAGTGGCAGCTTCTCTTTATCTCAGTATTTGCTTCGTCACTAGTCAAACAAGCCATGTTTTTTCGACACGATGGATTACATGCATATGCATACATACAACATCAGTTACCGACAATCAAGTAAATATTTGACGAATTTTCAGTAAAAAACAATTAATTCTGTCCTTCATACGCACGAAACATCAAACATCATTTGATGTTTTTTTTAGATATTAACTGATCTATAAAGTATTTGAATACACCTCGAGACCATTTGATTCTAGAATTATGGACCATGGTGTGCAGTGGATTTATTGAAATCTATACTAAAAGATCACTGATACGTATAGTATAGACAAGGTATAGTATAGACAAGGTATTTTAATTTCCAAATTGTGTTCCATGTCATCTCTTTAGTTTTATAATTAATTAAATTATTACATTTTCAGGGCTTGAAGAGATGTAGCAGTTATTACATTAGCTTTCTATATGTTATGCCCAATGCAAAAAAATAAAAAATCAAATAATAAAAATGAACGTCTTATCGTTTGTTATTGCCATAAATTCTTCGAATAATGAATAATTCAGCAGCAAGAATAGCTAATCTACCCTTGAGTGGAATCTGTTATTGGCTTTATATCTTCTTATATCTGCCTCATATGTACCTCACACTGGTTTGTCCAATATAGCAGGGAATGTTCTTTATATCTGTTAAAAAATGTGACAGAAAAATAAAATTGTCAATTTTCACAACTACTGTAACTTTATGCAACTACATCATTGATGATTAATTATTGGACTCAAGGTTATTATTTGACCCGTTTATTTTGGAGATGGCGCAAGTGATGAAATATGACGATTTTTAAACGTCCATGTGAAGTTATTTGTGTTGAGAGAAATATAAGTATCCGAAATAACAAATACAAGCAAATCTTCCCGAAAGTTGGCATCAATTTTTCTAGGCACGTTAAACCTTAAATATCTTGATTTAAAAGCGAGGTGAAAGTTGTGCCACTTTCAAAATAAAACGGCTCGTTTTTAAAATTAGCATTATCAAGAGCAGTTATCGAAGGCGAAAGATCAGTGAAACAATGAAAACAAGTGGAAACAAGAATGTAAAAATCTTCGTGAGTGATTCGAGGAATCTGTAATTTGATAACATTTATCTTCTCGTGTTACTAATTATACTAATGTATAGTTGTGTACAATGATGTACTATCAGTTTAAAGAAAGCGTTATATATGCATAAGAATGAATTATTTATCATTTTGACTTGATACATATACTTAAATATAAATGCCTAGACAAACGATAACCGATACGAGCATATTCTATGCGCAAAAATTAGTAAAAAATGTAGAATATTTTTTCGTTTAAGGCGTCATTTTCAAAAAAATAAATTTCGAATGTTTCGTTAACAATTAAATAATAAAATTAATATATTATGTATACATATAATTTTATTATTAAACGAAAAACGAAAAAACGAAAAAATATTATTCTACATTTTTTACTATCTTTTGCACGTAGAATATGCATGTATTGGTTATCTGTCTAGTATGAAATTATACATATTTAAGTATACTCGATAAATTTTCAAACTCGATATTTTGAGAACAAAGGCTTCAGTGAAAAAATTTTATTCTTCCTTTTCGATACATTTTTACGTGTAGAATCGTCTCCTACAATTCTTTTCGATTGGCCACGAATTGTGAGACACCCTGTATATATTGTAATATATACGCAACGAAACAATTATTTTATAACTATTAACCCATTACGTTTCGTTTGAAATTGTTTTATTCAACACACGTGAATTCTAACCTATTAATTGTATATGGTTTGGTCGCTCGTTACGGTCAGCAATCAGTTGCCAACGCAAGCGATTAAAGTTATGAAAGAATTCTGTCGATTTTCATTTCTCCTTTCATCCAGACATTCTATTGTAATTTTATTGAATTCTCAAAGCATCGAAACACTTGGTGTCGCTCTGATAAACTATCTTTTCTGACTTCCGTCTTATTGTTTAGTCTTCCAATCAGTGAGGCTAAACGCATCATCTTACATTTATCTCTGCTCGTGAAGTACACTAGAATTTTCCAAATGCGTTGCTTAATAGAAATTCATCGATCGTGTCAAAGCGGTGATCTGATTTCTAACGAGTTGAGTGATTTATCTACGCGTTCCTTTAGTTTCACGTTTTTAGTCTGCTCAGGCATAATTTCGTTGAATGGAAAAAAACAGAAGTATGTGCAAACGTAATTGTATAGCGTATACATTGATATGAACATATTGTTGTAAAACGTTCAAAGCGATCACTATGAATTTAGAATGTTAGAACGCTGCGAGAACAGTATGTCGGACTACTGCGAACAACAATAACGATAAAACGTTAATGTTATAAATATAACTCGTTTCGTTGATTAAAAAAAAATACGGAACAAAAGTTTTAAGAAATAGAAAGAATTTAAAAAATAATTGGCGTGCGTGTTATTACATTTTTGGTACATTAAAAATAGAAACACTCCTTTATAGATAAGTGCTTTTTATTTGATTTACTATACAGCTTGCACGTGTACAAGCGCGCAGCCAAACACGCGGAGATAAAAATGGTGCCAGTCTTCCTTCGTCAACCACGATTCGACATGTATAATTCGGTGCACATGTGTAATCGAAATTATATCCTTGAACTTAAACCTGGACGAAATTGAGATAACGATTTCCGAATAAATAGTTCGAACAATGATTATTATGCTGCGATTAATAACACTTCGATCGAGGCTGCGGATGTTCATGTATTTATAGAAATGTTGTACATTCAAACGTGCCAAAGTCTAATAAAATCATAATAAAAAGCATCATAGTGCATAATATGTACGTATTTCGTACGTTATATATTTCATGATAATTAAAAATTTATGGGATAAACTATAAATTTAATTATATTACATATTATGAATATATATATAAAAATTATTGGATTTTAGTATTGGCTAATAATAGAAAAAATTTTATGATTATATTTATAATTTTTACATTTAAAGATTAAATTAATTTATAAATATATGTATGTATAATTATTAAAAAAAAAATTGTAATTTTGAAAAATTACTTATAATAATTAAATTAATAAATGTAATGTAAATGCAATGCTTCAGTCAAGTCTCTGATCTACAATCTAGTTACACGACAGATACACGGAATGTAAAAGAATATACGTACGACGGAAATAACTACTGACGACTACAAATAAATCTTGCGTATGTGTTTATTATGTGCCTACAAAGTGTGAGGTGCAGATAATCATCTTCGATTCGTGATGCGCAAAATTACCAAGTGAATTGAAACGTTTGTCATCATTAGTCAGCAGAAAATTTTATGGATTTACTATGTTGCCTGCAATGACTGCTACTTGTGAGGAATGTGCAATTCTATTCAAGTAAATAAATAATATATGCATGCATATAATCTCTTCTGTTTATTCATTTGAATAATTATATTGTAATTATGACATGTCGTTGGTAAAGAAGGAATCTTTTTGCACACGCGCGTGTGATTTCTAACCGCGGAAGTTTTACCAGGAAATACAATAAATCCGCAATAATTCAAGGTAATAATTGTACCATGACATTTATTGTCTCTCTGTTACCTTATCAGCTCCATAAATTTTTTTTTTGCAGATTTATGTCAGCGGCGTTTATCAGCGCGGAATATGATTCTATAATTTCACGATGTGAAACGTACAAACATTTCGTAAATTGTCGCCGTTGCAAAAAAAAAGAAAAAATAAAAAAAAGAATGAAACGAAAAAAAAATAAAAAAATAAAAAAAAGAATGAAACGAAAAAAAAAGAAAAAATAAAAAAAAGAATGAAACGAAAAAAAAGAAAAAAATAAAAAAAAGAATGAAACGAAAAGAATACAAACGACGTTCGGTCGACAAAGTTAACAATTATAATCTTCAATTCCGTTCGATTGTACGCAGATGTGTACACATCGTGTCATTAAACAACTCGTGACAAAAAGTAAACGAACGATCATTATCCGACCATCAGGAAAAGTTTCACGAAATCACGCGATCAGAGTAACGAAAACAGGGGTAAGAGAGCCGGAATCATAATCACGGAATGTCAAATAAATTATTTGTCTAATAATTTATCAACGAAGTCTCTTTGCAGGCTGTGACGGTCGCTTCTACGTACATTTTCGAGCAAATATGTATCGCAGAAACGTTCAAGAATTGTTTACGACAGGGACGGACAATGATACGACGAAAATATAAATTAATTAATGATTGTTGAAACGAAAGGTTCACAGAGAGCAATTGAGACGCGTTATGCAACGAAAACCCGCGACTCGGCCTCAACCAACACACACCGAGAACAAATAACCACAACGCGAAATCAATTTTCAACGTACGTAAGATTTGAACAAATGCTTTCGCCGGGGTAATATGTGCGTTTTTTAATTCGTCATCGGGGCGCTAAAAATAACGCGTTTCTCGCATTGTTATTATATCATTAATCGCCGGGCGACTTCTTGAGAGTTGTGTAACGCAGTCAGGCTAATGGTCGCGTTAAAATGACGCCACGCGAAATGTTATCGAGACAGAGAGATGAGAACGGGTCAATTGCGGATGACACGTGACGCTTAGCCTGATATGCCATCGTTCTCCTCAATTCGATTTAACGCTTACAACGAAGAACTCGCCAGTGTGGCGACGATTTCTAAAATAGAGATCAAACTTTCCGGTTTGTTGCAGGCAACGCGATTCTCACGACAAATGAACGTTCCGTTCCGAGAACGCATGCTCGTTAAATAATTCCGTGGGAAACACGTGATTTTCATTAAAAACCAACGGCACATTTTCCGATCATAAAATTCCAATCGTTAAGCCACAGTAGGTGAGATACTCTATCGTAATATCTACCATTGTTAATAGCAAATAGAACGAGTCAAACTTATTCGAAAATTATTTCATTGAAAGACAAAATTTGGTTCTACAAGTTGTTCAACGACATGAGGGATGCTTCTGTCTAGCATAGGACTATCCAGTTAGCCTTGATATATTGACACAACGGTATTTTGTGTTGCGTGACTGCTGGGATTCGAAATGGGACTTCCATCGAAAAAAGTCAAATAAATATACGTGTATAGACGCGAGAAACGCGCTCAACGAACGCTGCTACTCACTTTTTGTTGCCTGAGCCTTGTTTCGTCTTCTGCTGAATGAGGGAATTTCAACAACGCGTGTCACATTCTACAAATCGGACACTGTTCCTCCGGACGAATAACAAACTCGAACGAAACGAAACGAAATACGCATGCTTCGCGCAAAGCCTGCGCCGCTACTGAACGCAATTCTCAACTTCGACACTCCTCTGCCTTGTTTCCTCGTTCTATGACGTATGCATGTGTTCAACGTGCCAGTACGTTTGATCGTAATATACGGTCTGCATCTTTCTTTCGACGATGGTGTCTTTATTTGCAATTTCGATAAAAAGGAAAAAAAATTTAGCCGTAAAACAATGTTTAAGAAAAAAAACTTTTCATTATATAGGGTGGGCCAAAAACCCCACTTCCGACTAAAATAAATCCGTAATTTTGTTATTAACTTGCGAACGCCCTAGTGGTCAACATTTAAATGAAGAAATAATTTTTAAAACATGATGGAAAAATCGTGCTTCAACTTAAATTCAATTTGAAATTAGTGAAATTTGTTTTTTTTATATTTCGATGTTTTATTAAAAAAGAAAAAAAAAATTGGTGGGAAGAAACTTTCGGCTCACTCTGTATCGTGTCTCGTTGCGTGTTTGACGATTATTCATTTACGATTCACGGTTTCTTCGAAACTTAATTAACTAATAATTTTTCAACATTTGATGTATATAAACTACATTTTTATTGAAAGACGAAATTGAAAAAAAACCAGTCGAATAAAATAAATAAAGTATAATAGAAGAACAGGAAAAGGGAATAGAGGATATTTATGCAGACACATTCTAAAAAAGAAATTGCTATTCGTAAAAGTTGCTATTATACAATATTCTGTTTTTTAGATGCACTTACAAAGTAAAGTTAAACATAGCTGTGACACAAAATGTTGGGAGATACTTATATAGTTTATGATTATAAGGCACATGATAATGAAAATAAAATAATAAAACGTTGTTATTAAAATATAATTATTGCTGACACAACTGAACTGTTATTTGAACGAAGGAAGAGGGGGAGATACTCGCCCACTCCGGTTTGTTTATAACTGAATAAAATGATCGATCGTGAACGAGCAAATCCGATCGATCGGCGTGTTTCAAGCCAGAAAGTTGAATCTTCGATCGCACGAGAGACCATTCAAAGAAACAAATAAAACCAAACATAATTTTTAATTCAAGCTATGATAAATTATGAATAATAATGACTACGATACACTTGAGTAAGAGGATATAATTAAGCATCATTATGGAGTACTGAAAATAAAATTGCAATTAAACTAAAACAGGAAAAAGAAAAAGAGCAAAAAATGATAAGTGCTGTTTAAGAGTTGTAACAATTGATGAATTATATATTTAACATTTAGACATATCAACAAATGGAATAAATTTAACGCTATTGTATACAAGTGAATTTTTTGTCAAATTCATCTTGATCTTTCTTTTTTGTTTTTCTTGTTGATCAAAACAATCACAACGTACAAAGTTCAAGAGATTTTTACGAAATCGTTTTACAATGATTCAATGAATCAAGAGTAATTGCAACTTTTCTCCAAAATTCGCAACAAATTTCAGAACTATGAAATGGATTCAATAAGGAGAAAAGACAAGAAAATAAAAAAATTAATAAAAGACGCACTTCCATCTATACTGTTCTTCTAAACGAGAAAACATTTCATTCTTTTCTCTCGTCGATTAATTTGTAAACATTTCCAACGTTCTACTTCAATTTTTGTTGCTATCTCGAGAAAAAGAACATAAAAAATACAGGAGGAGATACGATTGGCGACTCACGACGCCAACTTTTTATACTGCTTCTATCGTCAGATTTAAATTCTGTAAATGTAAGGAAACAAAGATATAAAATAATTAAGATAAACGATTTGTAGTTAAATGTAAAATAACGTGAAATGAAAAATATGAAACATAAAGCAATTAAAATAAGCAATTCTTGAGCAAATAATATGAAATATAAAATAATTGCAATGAACAATACAATTTATATGTAAATATGAAATAATTAAAATAAACAATTCTTGTTCCTGGTTCTGGTCACCTTCAACACAGGGGCTTCTTCCTTGTCATACTTCATGCTGACATTATTCAGAGTCACTTGTCGTGTTTCGGCCAGTCCGTCAGCAGAGGATCGTCACTGGTCTACGAAGGTTCCTTGGGCAAATTGTTGTACTCTAGGATCCTATCCACGGACGTTACGTGAGATATCATTTTGCCACTTCGTTTCACCACATGTTGCAGGCTACCGATTATACCCAACGATTGCGATATAGCCAAACCGACGTTGTCTCCAAAAATGCTATCTAAATGTTATAGATAATTTTAGGACAAACGATTTTAATCGCAAATATTTGATTTATAGTGAAGTGTAGTAAATTGTAGTGAATGGTAGAGTTGTAGTTTGAGAAGCATTACCTGTGTTCATTACAGCGAAAAAGAAATCCAGCTACAGGCCAAAAATTACAGGCACAACTATATTCATGTGCCATGTATTGGTGTGTACGTCTTGCAAGTTATTGTACTTGCTTTTGCAAGAACTCCACAATTTTTGATCCATTGCTTCTGATGATAGTCAGTCTGCTTAGCGTGGACTTTACTAAGTTAGAGAATACAACAAAGCTGTTTGCTAAAAATTCAAAATTTACTAAATTTTAGATCTACTGAATATTATAATACACAGAGTGTCCCACTTTAATCTAAATGCAGTTATTTCTACAAATGGAATTATTCATCATTTAAGAAAATGTCTCAAATGCATTTTTTTCTATTTTGAGAAGACAGTAATTTAATTTACACTTGGTTTGTCTCTAGATAGACATGTGTACGAGAATACTAGTGAAGATTGTTACTATTTTTTCAAGTATAATCACAGACAAGCCTCAGGTATTCATATATCTTGTCTGTGGTATAATTTTTTTTTTGCTCAAGGTACAACAGGTTGTTCTTTATAAAAAAAGCATTACGTTCAAAACCCATTAATTTAGGAGATATTTTTTATAAAATCTGTGCATAAAAAACAAAAACAATATGAATATAGGAATACTCTTGTCCTTCCTCCTCTTCCATATAATAAATTTTATAAGATTAAAGTTTCTCTAATAGTTTTTCAATATACATAAATACTTTTTTGCAGAAAATGACTTGCTATATTGACTGACATAAAAAATTTACATAATTGTACTGGAAAAAATAGTACTGACTTTCATTACTATTCTCCTACATGCGTCTATCTAAGATAAACTAATTGTAAGTGATAATAAGGAAAGAATCTATGTATAATGTAGCAGAGTCCGCGAGTAGACTCAATTTTCAGTTTTATGTTTAGCAAAAAGTTGCAAAGAGTTTGTTTCTTACCGCGCGAAGCAAACAAACACTCATTTATGGTCACTTTGCAAAGAATTACAACACTTTGTCTCCTCTGATAGACCAATAAGTGAGGTTGGCATTCTCGTGAACTAATTTATTTTAACTATAACATTACAAACTTTACAAACTACATGCTACTGTTCGTAGATGTCATGAGAAATAATCTGTCTGTATTTTTTTCGTAAAATACGTTCGTATTTTTCGTATTTCGTACGTTTCAGTTTGTTTCCTACGTTTACACGTTTTAAAATTCGCGCGCGATCTGTTGGAGCAATCCGTTACGACTAATAAACTCGCGACCAATGGCACGCTTAATAATTTCGACCAATCAGCGCTCTACTTTTCAAACGCGCAGAAACTTTCTTTCGTGATTGAAATTACCTTCGTTAAATACGATTTTGTCAAATGTCAAAACTTTACAATGTTATATTAATATAGTAGTGAGCTCATAACTGATCATCGCTCATCCCCCATCAATTCTTGGAATGTCTTCACTCTACGTTACTTTACTACGCACACAAAACAAGTAGTGTATGTCATGATACCAATGTGTGTGCCTGGCATCGGTGAAACTGTTTACACACATCCCCACTCTTTCTCTCGGTGCCTGGAATACACCGCCCCTCTTAATTGACCAGTTTCGGTCCCGACTGTTGGACAGTTGCGAGGTCACTACTGTATCGTGTATTACATTAATCTGAATTAATATACCGAATTAATCGATTGACACAGTATTTCTTTAATAACGTTTTGTTTCAAATGTGAGAAGAACGCGCCATTCAGAAAACCGAGATACGCATATCGGTAAATACGATAGTCTCTAGTGGACATTTAAGAAGGGCGGTGTATTCTGCGAATTGGCTTCGAAAGAAAGAGCGGGGACGAGCGTCAACTGTTCCACCGATACCAAACACGTGCAACGAATTCCAGTATCGTTCAATCGTAAAGAAATTTAACAGTTTAACATTTTTTTTTTTAAATTGAACACATTGAAACTATTTGATAACTTAATGCGTACATAAACTAAATTAAAAACAATAAATTATAATAAAGCAATAATTATCAAACAATTCTCGAAAATTTACTGAAATTCTTATAAAAGTAGTTGTTAACATTAATTCTACTGACACTTCGATATTTTATTGAAATGGCTGATTCCAAATCTAGCAAAGAGGTGAATATTGCAGATCGTTTAGACATTTTAAATAAATTAGAGGCTGGTGAAAATATAAACACTCTTGCGCGTGAATATAACGTTTCGAATCGAACGATAAGACGTATTCGACAAAAAGCTTTGTCGATACGACGATATGCGAAAGAGGATTTTAAACTGCAGAAAAAGAGAATGCGTACGTCCATATCTGCCGATTTAGACAAGGAATTGTATTCGTGGTTCTTGCAACGTCGTTCAGCGGGAGACCGAATAACTGACTATATTTTGATAGAGAAAGCGAGAGCGCTGCAGGAAGAAAGAGGCGGCCCATCCAACTTCACGCTATGTAAAGGCTGGCTGTGGCGATTTAAAAGGAATTATAACCTACGCCCTACAAATGTACCCTACGGTGAGAGTGACAATACGGACAAATCTGTTGCGAAAGAATTTGTGCAACAATTTTTGCAAATGTTGGAAGACAATGAGATCAGTGACAATAATTTGTACAACGTGGACGAAACAAGCCTATTTTGGAAGATGCTTCCCAAGGAAATATTAATGAGTAAAAATGAAAGTAGGGTATCGGAGAAGAATATTAAAAAGGACAGAATAACGTTAGCCTTGTGTGCGAACGCAAGCGGAAACCATAAGTTACCGTTATTTGTAATTAATAACTGTGAAAATCCTAGAGCATTGAAACACTGTATGAATAATTTGCCTGTAATATATACTCATAATAAAAATGCTTGGATGAACACCGCAGTATTTCAATTATGGTACCACAATGAATTTAAGCCCCGCGTTAGAAGGCGGCAATTGGAAGAAAATTCTGGTGGCAAGGTTTTACTGATAATAGATAATTTTAGTGGCCATAAATTGTCAGAGAAAGAAATGGACGATGGCCATTTCAAAATCATATTTTTACCGCCCAATACCAGTTCCCTGATCCAACCAATGGATCAGGGCATAATATCAAAATTGAAAAAGAAATTCCGGCATAAATTATTGCAGCGCGTCTTGCTATATGAAAATGGAATATCAGAATTCTATGCTGATTATGACATAAAAGATTGTATAGATATGACAAATGAAACATGGAGCGTTATAACCTCTGCGAATATATTCAATTCCTGGAATAAAATACTTAATCGAGAGGCAGGAATAGCTGAAAGAAACTTCACGTGTTCTGTCGCTTTCTCATCAGAGACTGCTCCGTGCGATGCAACATATGAAACAATTTCTGACGACAAAGTGACAGAGTGGATCAACGAATGTGGAGAAGCGGAGAGAATTAGAGAAGATGCCACCGAAGAGACAGATGCTACAGAAGAATCTTCTCATTCGCAGCATCTTGCAAATCCAATAGAGGTGGAGGAAGTTGACAGATTGTTGTATTATTTACAAAAAATTATTGCAACAGAACCAGAAATTCCAAGTCACGCAAAATCTATAATAGATTATTACAATTCAAAATAAGTTTCACTTACACTTTCTATTGTTATTTCTTTTCTTTCTGTAATATTTTCACTTGTTATTATCATTGTATGATATATCATATTCTGCAATATTTCTATTTCTATCATTATTTATCCTTATTATTTAATATAATTTAATATAATTATTAAATGTATGTACTCGGGAAATATTCAACTACTTGTAATATTTGTGGAAATAAAGCAATCACTTAAGCAGGCACTACTGTGTTTGATGTTTAAAATAAACTTGCCTAACTTTGACCCAAAACAAACATAATGTGCCGAAATGTTATCACATATCGCTTGTTTTGTATTGTGCGAATATTATATTTTACACAATAACTTGGAGTGGGGAAAATTCCAATTCCAAGAATTGGTGGGAGATAAGCGATAGTCACTTACAGGATTTAGAGTGTGGTCAATTCTGAGGGGACTACTCTATTACGATTATTATTGAAATAAATCATTCCGTTAACATATCATAAAAATAGAGTGTTTTATTTACAATTCGGTATGATCGACATATACAATAAAAACTATAATATAATCATCGAAAATATATATCAAATATACACAATGAACTGCTGTGTAATCCTCGCGAGTGATAATAAGACCGATCATATTTCAATTTATCCAGGGAACCATGTATTGTTGTATTATCCTGACAGATGAATCGATTCTCGATCTCTGTTACAACACATGCTACAGCATGTGTATTTATAGTACATTGTGCACATGTTGTATACAACAGGTAATAATATAAAAAAGTATAGTATAGTACATCGATCTTGCATAAAAAAAATACTATGAACGTTATAATAGATTAACATTCCTTTAAGAAAAAAAAAAAGGACCGTATAATTCTTATTGCTAGTTTTTAACTCTGTTTTTTTTTTTTTTTTGCATTTACGTGGAAGTCCAAAACTATTGAAAATTCTGCATCTTTCCCTCTACTATTTTTTTCACTAACAACAGACATAACAGTTCTCCACGATATGAACACGTAAAATATGAAGTACAAAAAATAAGTATTCTTACGGACATTTGGCAGTTCGTAATATTATAAGTAGTTTTGCTCGTACATTACAAATAGACTGGGTTTTTTTGATCGCGCGCGGAGGCTCGTAGAAGAAAAGTGGCTTCTATAAAAATATATTTATATAAACTTCAAAAAAAGAAACCCCTTTTCATGCCATCTGGTAGACGAAAGATCTCTCCTCAAGACACCATATCTTTCGTGCTCGTGAATTAAAATCTCCCGTCTAATTATAAGAAAAAAAAGTACTTGGAACGATAGTAGCAACGGTGTAGGCACGAAGAGATGTACAAAATCTGTACATACTGTATCGATCATATAACTACACTGTATAATAATTCTTGGTAGGAATAAAATTAAAAATATGATTCTTGTATTGCACAGGTTCGGTCACTTGGCAATTAAAGCGGATACTGGCTACAATAAAGGCAGTTCTTCACTTTCCAAACTGGAGTTCCTGCGCCATTACAAGGAATATTTGCATGATCTTTCCACCTTTGCCGATGTAAATAGCACACTGGTTGCTCCCTGTTGCTGCAAACTCTTCAATTTTTCCAACGACCAAGCCGTTTTTATCCAGCAATCACCGTTCTCCGTGTCTGGCGATGTAAGATTGCCTCGCTATCTTCACTAACTGGTCATATATAGCACGATCGGTTTCTTTGACCAATGATTTGAATTGACTGTAGCTGTTTTGTAACAGTATGTGAGGATGATCAAATTCCTGCAAATGAAACCCGCATTTCGTACATAATTTATTTAATAAATCGGGATTCAACCAGAAAATCAATAGTAAATTTTTTTATAATTTGATTGTACTTCATAATTTAATTGTAATTTACATATTTTAAGCCAAGTAGACGAGTAAGGAATTTTACTTACAGTCATACGACCTTTATCCATAACTAACACCTTGTCGCTGTCCATAATGGTATTTAACCTGTGAGCAATAGTAAGTACAGTGCAGTTAGCGAATTTCTTTCGTATCGTTTGCTGGATCAAGGCATCAGTTTGTGGATCCACATTGGCCGTGGCTTCGTCAAGCATAAGTATTTTATTATTTCTTAAGATAGCTCTCGCCAAACAGACCAGTTGTCTTTGGCCAACGCTGTAGTTACTACCCCGATCTAAAACGCGGTTTTCTAAGCCTGTTCCTGTAGTAGTTACAGCGTCCTTCAACTCCACCTTTGTCACATACACACAATATTACAAATTTCGACCGTGAAGAAAGGAAAGAAGAAAGAAAAGTTGACTGTTACTACATTCCAACTTATTACCTCCTCGAGAACTTCCCACAGAGCCTTGTCCGTAAATTCATTGAAAGGATCCAAATTCCGTCTCAACGTGCCAGAGAATAAAACTGGATCCTGAGGAATGATCGATATGTGACGTCGTAAATCCTCCAAACAAATAGATCCAGTGTCCACGCCATCGATTTCTATGACACCATCGATTTTGGTTAGCCTGAACAGGGCTGATATCAACGACGACTTTCCAGCTCCTGTCCTTCCCACTATACCTATCTACAAGATAATTACGTCGATTTTATAATTTTTTAAACTAGTATCTACACTGTTTATTTTTCTCTCAATTGAACGAAAAATCCACGTACCTTTTCTCCAGGATTAATTGCAATGTTCAGACCTTTCAACACCGGAGGATCATCTTCTACGTATTTCATATAAACGTTTCTGAACTTGATCATGCCATCCGTCGGCCAATTCTTTGGTGCGTTAGCAGGAAGCGCGACTTGCTTCTCAGTTTTCTTGGCGAACTTCCCTCGGTCACGTAAATTCGGTTCAGGTACAATCTGTGTATATTCTAATACACGTTCCACAGCCATCAACTGGTTCTCCATCTCGGCGTTTTGTCTCAAACCCCACTGAATCATCCCGGTCATGGCCATTACCTGAGTGATGGCCAAACCCACCTCTCCGCCGGAGAACGCTGCAAGAGTATCATTGAAAATCGTTCAACAGTGTGAAAACAAGAGTACACTAACTGATTGAGGAAATATTCATTTGTATCTCACATTGCTCCAATAAGAGAAAACTAAAGGTAACTATGGACGTGAAGACGAAGCAAAAGATGTCCAACGAGAATCCAAAGGCAGCGCTTGCTACTATATACATATAAACTGAGGAGGTATGAACATCTTGCAGTTTGTCAAACTCTTTTTTCAGTATGTCCTGCGCGCAGTAGGCTCTTATGGTGGTCAATCCATTTAACGTTGTAGTTAAGTGAGTGAACACCGGAGATCGAGCTGTAGAAAGATTTTTAGTTCATTAAAGACAGATCCACAAATATCGCCGATCATTTAAATGTCTCGCAGAAGATATATACTTACTCATTCCCTCCATTCTTTTAACATTTTTGCTAGTCTTCAAAAATACCTTTCTCACCCAATAAGAGACAGTACCCAAAAATGCTATCGGGATTAAGAAGAGAGGATTGACTATACAGGAGACTGTTAAGGATCCAACCATCATCAGGCATATTTGGCCAGCATCCAGTATAGCCTTTGGCAATAATTCGTCAATGGCTCCCATGTCTTTGGAAAATCTATTTAGAATTCGACCACTGGGATTCGTATGGAAGAACCTCATACTCGTTCTAATTAAGGAACTGAACGTCATATCATGCAATTTTTGGCTGCATAATATGCACACTTTGTAAAAAGTCAATGATCTCGTAATACCGATACAAAATAGCCCAACAACAATTGCAGTATAAACATATATATAGTTATACATGGAGGAAACATCCAAATTCTCAGTTGAGGTATCATTGGTACTATTTAATTTGGCTTCCGTAATGTAATAATGCCGCATTTCTTCCGCGCTTACTCTGAAAATATTTTTAGTCTATTAATTTTCATAGTTTGTATTACACTCATCCGCAAAACTGTATTTTAAGAAAGATACTTACAAAATAGGAACAAAATAATCGTTGAGACTAGCCATAAACTGTGTACATACAAATAATAAGAGTACCAAAAAAGCTAGGCACAAGTTGGTTCCGGTTTGAAAGTACCTGAGAAATATTGGTCCTTTAATTACACCACGCGTATTTCCTTCTAAATTATCATTAAATTTCTCAGAATTTTCATTTTCTTCCTCATCGTCTGTTCCCGCGGTACTTGCTTCCAGAGATCGACTCTACGAGAATAAATCTATTAATGTCCTGCGCACGAAAGGCGTAACAAGAATAAAATAATCTTACTTTAGTACTTGACGTTGAAAATTGTCTTTTCATACTACTCTTCTCCAAAGAGCTATCCTCGGGAGATTCTGATTTGGCCGCTAATAATTCAGCGTATTTTGGTCGCTGATTCAATAAATCTTGAAAATGAGAAAATACGGTGACCTTCCCTTGTTCTACAAGTATAATGGTATCTACATTTTTCACGTACTGCAACTGGTGAGTAGCCAAAATCCGTGTTTTTCCTGCTAAGTATCGTTGCATACATTCTTCAAATAAATATTTACTAACATGAGTATCAACCTGGAATTTATAAAATAATATAATATAGATCTTATAAGCAATTAACTCATTCTAAAGTGTGAAACATTGGTTTTAAGATACTCACAGCACTCAACGGATCATCCAGTAAATAAATGTCCGCTTGCCTATACAAAGATCTAGCTAAATTAATCCTAGCTTTCTGCCCTCCCGATAAGGAACTACCTCTTTCCCCAACGATTGTCTGATCACCCTGCGGGAATTGCTTAAAATCGCTCTGAAGCGAACAAGCTTTCACAACTTTCTGATATCGGTGACGATCGTAAGGCTGTCCAAAAAGTATATTCTGTCGAACGGTGGACCCGAAAACCCACGCCTCTTGACCGGCGTAGCTTAAACTTCCATTCACACTAACATGACCACCTGTTACATTTATCTCTCCAAGAATAGCCGACAGCAAAGTACTTTTCCCAGCCCCGACCATTCCTATAATGGCGTACATCTTTCCTTCTTCTATTTCAACGTTTACGTTCTCAAGGTTATTCTCAATTTGACTCGGTTCCCATTTGGCTGTCAAGTTACACATTTTCACTGCGTATGTTTCATCATTTACCAAAGAACTTTTTTTTTCTAGAAAAAGAGAGAAAAATTTTAACAAAATATTCAAAAGTTTATATTTTAATTTTATTATTTAATTTTAATATTTTTATTTCACTAATGGTAAATGTTTTGTATTACTTTTAAAATGTTAATATATTGACTTGTGAGATATCAGAATGAAATGCAGACAAAAATGTATAAAATATCCAAATTACGATATTTAGTAAAGCTCTGCGTTTGCTCCATTTCTTCAGTTACATTCATACAACTATAAATTTGTACAATCATTTGCAGTTTAGATATCGCATATAATGCTTACCCCCCACAATGTACGCCTTATTCTTCAGCAAATCGTTAGCAACAACTATTAGATCGTTGTGTCTTCTTTGTTCAGAAGAATCGTCCAAATTCTCGTAGCGGTTTATTTCATCATCGATATATGGTATATCGGGTTTAGAATTTTTGTTGGAAGTTTGCTTCGAAATACTATTAATGCTATCGTTAATGCTAGCTGTGAAACTGTTCGAAACATGACCACTGTCGTGGAACTCCTCGTATACCAGGAACTGCTGCAACCTTCTCACGGCTACCATGCACTCTGCAATCTCGGCAAAACCCCGTACGAACAATCCGGACATAGTCTGCGCCAAAATATTGAAATACGAGGAGATAACGAACACTTTGTCCGCTGACAGTTCATTGCCAAATAAAAGTATACTGATCAAAGTACAGAAGAGAGCCATTCGTGTGGTGAACAAGTTGAAGGTCATGTAGATGCCTCTAATGTAGGAGCTCTTGGTAACTACTTGCAATTCCAATTTACGGGCAGTTTCGATCAGGGCGCAGAAGGGTTTTTCCCATGCGTACATCTTAATAACCTGGACTCCTGATATTATTTCGTCCATCAAACGGACTCTTTCGTCGGTTTTTATGGCAGTCTGTAGCCGAAACTTGGAGGACAATTTCCCCGTGTACGCTGAAACATAAATGTAATACCGACGATGGAGAAAATTTCAATTTTGAAGTTTATAGCATTAACATCATCTAATTCGAGCCTTTATGCTTGCACGCTTAGAAAAAAAAACGAATGATTAACTAATGTTACTAGAGTAGGATATTTTCATTAGCACACTAGCCATCCTTAATGAATACAATACTTTACACAATAACTTTATGAGTAACGTCATGTGTATTTTATACATTACTTTTATACATTATTTTGTGTGATACTTCACAAGTGCAAAAGCTCGAGCTTTCCTCGCTCTAATAATGGAATTATCATTACCAGAAACTCACACTGAATCGGTACGACAAAGAAGACGGCGGCGATACCAATCAGTCCAGCGTATCCAACTTCGTTATAAAGAAAATAGGCTACAATTAACGCGGAGAGTGGCGCAGACCACATATGATGTATCAAGATGGAAACAAGATCAAATCTATTTACATCATTGGCCACCAAATTGACTACCTTTCCCGGTGCTGTTTCACCAAGTGCCGTTTTACTAAGTCGTAATGCCTACAAAAAAAAAAAAATATGGTAAAAATTATTTTATTACGTGCAATTCATGTCATACATACATCTCAAATACACAAAATGATCCAATCCTATATATTGGAAGAACATTACAAAGATATTTATCCAGTGTTTCTTAAAGCCTATTCTTTCTTCCAGCATTGTATTTGACAAACGTGCTTTTTTTGAAAACTTTATCATATCGTTGAAATAAATGAATAATTCGCCGACTGCACGCGCCAGAAATTTCGAAACACGAAAATCTGGTGAATGCACACAAATTTTGGAAAAATATATGAAAGTACTTGTTACAATATTCAGTAGTGGAAACAAAACTGTGCCCAGACAGAGAATTCTTTTAAATGCATTCACAGAAATTTGAAATTGCATGAAGATCAGTCTACCAATTATTTTTCCTGCATTACCTTTCGATAGACGACAGAACACGCAGCGACTCTTATTCTTCCACCAACGTGGAACGCGCCAAACAACGATTGATTCGCTGAGACTACGTTTACAGCCGTTGCTATGCAAATTCCAGCTGCGTATAGAAGAGCAGTTTCAAACGTTTCGGTTGTGTCATTTCTGAAGTAGCGCAAGAGCCCACCCAGGAGTATCGGTATACCTAATCTATAAACAAATGCAAATCAATGTAATCACAAAGTTTGACATATGGTGAACTTCGTTAAGAACTTAATTTACACGCTGAGTAACGTTTGTGCTTTTACTTTTTCGATATTTTTATGTATTTTCAACATGAATATTTGTTTCTTTTATATTTTTAATATTCATTTGTCTGTTATATAACGTATTTAGTATATTATATATAGTATAATATACTAAATATATAATATATAGTATAATAATATAATAAAATGTATGTAAATGTGTGTAAAATCTACAGTCACAATGTAAAAAAAGTACACATGTACTATGTTATTACTTTTAATTCTCTTTTCTTTCTTCAACGAAACAATCCAACGCAAGCGATATCTCAAAAGTTCAAGAAAAACAAAAGATACGTACTTGATAAAAAGTTCGTTTAATATCTGTATCAAAGCAAGCAAGGTATACTCCCACAAAAAGGTACGGAAGATGGCTCTCAACAGGCTGGGGTTTGTATTGCGCTTCTTGGCATTTTCCAGCTCGATATTCCATCGTCTAAAAATCGTGCATATCGCAAGTTAAGTACTGATTTCTTTTTTGTTCTTTTTTTTTTTTTTATTAAGTTAAATCAACGAATTNCAACGAATTATACAAACCTTTCTAATCGATCCCCAAGCACGTTCGAACGATCGGTGTACAAAGGAGTGTACAAATCTTCCGGTTGCAAGATCTTCCTATAGCCTGTCTTGAACAAGTCTAGCGTCCACCTGTGTACAATATCGGAGATTCTATAGTTACTATCTGTGAAACCGTGCAATCACATTTAACGGTATACACGATGATACGTTTCACCCAATCGTTTGTTACGTCACGAACAATGATAATACAGTTTGGATACTGTTTATTTAGTAACAGTTCATACGTCGTGCAACCAATTTGTTTCATAATTATTATCAGACAATTGCGTTAGACTAAAACATTTCGAGATAAAAGTTTTTTGGAACGGATCTCTGATGTGTGATAATAGTTGAAATCTGGAATGTGTGATTAATCTCAGACTTCTTCGCACTCTCGAAAATTTTTCATTTCTTTTTTTTTTCTATTTTTATTCGAGGGAAATACGACGTGGACGATGTAACTCGTTTCTTGTTTTACGGCAATGATCGAAGAAATCAAACAGGCACTAGACTTGACTAGTCTTGACTATTTCTCATCATTTTTAAATATTTCCTTGCTATTAACACTAATTATTATTAATTAACTTAAAAAATAGAATTACTGATTTTTCAGAAGAAACTAGCGTTACTTTCTTATAAATGAATTCAATTTTACAACTGCTACATGTGTTCTGTGTTCGACGAGTACAATCGTCATCGCCTCGTTCAAGCGTCACCTACAGTGTTTCAAAAGCGGCACCAAAAGCTAAAAGATTAAATTGCAAATTGTTTATTTACATTAAATTTATATTTATAAATTATGAAATATTATTCATACGATTTAATTTAATTTGATATAATTATCAGATTATAAAACATATTTCTAAATTATAAACCACAGCTAATGAAATTGATTGTGCATTTATAAATTGCGAATCAGAAAGATAATGGAGGGTCTTACCACCAGAACAACACCGACAGAAAGTTGGCCTTCACCCGTGGATTCGGTTTCTGTTTCAAATTGCTCGAATCCATCTTTCATTAATGCGTGCCGCATCAACACACCGATCCTCTGCCGATTGCTAATTGACTACCCAAACTACAATTCGACTTAGCCGATAAGGAAACAAAGAAGTATGATCACACGCCGGGCATCCGCGTAGAAATAAAAGTCGAACAGCCGAAATCTTAATTCTCACAGGACAACACGTTTTTATTGCTCGAATAGTTTATCTATCTGTAAGGGAGAGCCTTCTCAAACATCGTTGCTGACTAATTAATGAGTAATCACTTGAATTCACTTGACACGGCACAGATATAATGTAAGTACAACAAATAAATCTTCAATAATCTCTGAGAGATAGCGATCGCTCTGTCCGTTAAGTGTCAATTGTGAAATGCTCGATCGATAGGTGATCTTGATGATCGACCGAGTCCAACGGTAGATGTGCCTCGAATTGAAGTTCTTACTTCGGTCACGCGTCGAACTGTCTCTTGAAGGAAAGTAAGACACTATTGGATCGGACACCTGTATTTAAGACAAAAAGGGATCATATATTACATCAGCTTTCGTTGGCGTTAGCTTCTTATCTCCATACTTGCTTTGTCACCAATTAAACACAACAGTTGGTATAATTTCACGATGATTTCGACATGATGTGTTATCACATAGATACAACATTAGTTATCGACAATCGAGTACATACTTGATGAGTTTTCAGTCAAAAACAATTAAGTCTGTCTTTCATACACACAACTTCAAACATCATTTGATGTTTTCTTAGACACTATTTATAAAGTATTTGAGTACATCTCGAAACCATTTGATTCCGGGATCATGGATCATAGTATGCAGTGGATTTATTGAGATCTATACTAAAAGATCACTGATACGTAAATGCATAGTTTAGAAAAGCGTTTTAATTTCCAAATTGTGTCATCTCTTTAATTTCATAATTAATTAAGCTATTACATTTTCAGGGTTTGAAGAAATATAGAAGTTATTACATTAGTTTTCTATATATGATGACTAATGCAAATAATAAATTACAAGTGAATAAAAATGAACATCTTATCGTGTGTTATTGTCATGAATTCTTAGAATATCGAGTAATTCAGCTGCAGGAATAGTTAATCTACCCTCCCGTGAAATCTATTATAGTTCTTGTATCTGCCTGATGTGTACCTCACACATAAAAAAAGTGTTACTTTAAAATTACAATTATTATACTGTTACTTTAAATACAGTGTATACATTGATATAAATATATCATGTAAAAAGTTCAAAGCGATTAGTGTGAATTTAGAACACTGCGAAAACGGTGTGTTAGAATATTGTAATTGAGTAACAACAACGATAACACGTCAACGTTATAAATATAACTTGTTCCGATGATAAAAAATAAAAAGAAAAGAAATAGGAAGGATTTAAAAAATAATTAGCACGCGTATTGTTATATTTTTATCAAATTAAAAGTAGAAATCCTTTTTAGATAAGTGACTTTGATTTACTATACAGCTTGTACATGTACACGCATGGAACCAAAACGCGGAGATAAAAATGGTGCCAGTCATCCTTCATCGTTCACACGACTTATTTGAGATAAGAAAATCTTATAACTACTTGAAAGTGTATTTTACATTTTGCAAGATTATACATAAAGAATTTATTAGGCATCCACTCATGAAGCGATATTGGTATCAATGTTTCAAGTACCGAAGAAATTAAATAAACATTGTTACAGTTCGAGTTATCGCATCGAATTAAGTGGTGCCTGAGAATCACCTCTCGAATGCAAAGAGTGGGTTCATTATGACGCTCAAACGCGTTTCTCGCATTGTTATTCTGTCATTACATGGATGCCATCTAGTTATATAACGCAGTCAGGCTAATGGCCGCGTTAAAACGACGCCGGGCGAAATGTTATCGGGATGAAAGGAAGCTGAGAATGGAACAATTTAGACGCGTAACGTTCAGCCTGATATGCCATCTTCTCAATTTGATTTAATCACTTGCGCTGGCAACTGATTGCGGACCATAACGAGTGACCAAACCGTATAGAATGATTCGTCGCTTTCTTTTTGAATTTGTCATGATGACTGGATAGAAATTATTGAGAAGTAATAAATCTATTATGTGTAGGTTATACTTAAATATACTTAAAGCTGAGAAAATATTGCAATTTTCAGACAAAAAATTCTGGACATGCGTGGCACGTCATTCCAGTGCAAAAAGTTAACGCGATTTCTAAAATAGAGATCAAATTTTTGGCTTGTTGCAGGCTACGCAAGTTAACGTTTTTGCTCCTAGATAGAATGCATGCATGTTAATTAATTCTGTAGTAAATGCGTGATTTTCATTAAAAAGCTAACCTAACCTAACCCACGGCTCATTTTTTTGATCATAAAATTCTGATCAATAACCCCTTCGCAATATCGTGCAAAATTCGTCAAACCGGTAAGAACCACGGAAATAATAAAAAACCTAATCTAAATCTAACCAATGGCTCATTTTCTGATCATAAAATTCCGATCATTAACCTCTTCGTCTACGACATCGTGTGGGACTCGTGGTAAGCAAGTCGAACCAAATACAACCACGGGTGAGGGTCGTGGTTTGTAGATCGGACCAAACGTGAACAACACGTGTCGCGTTCGTGGTTTGTGGATCGGACCAAACGCAGATAATACGAGCCACGCTCGTGGTTGTCACCGATGTTTTTCTGTCTCGCTTTCGTATTACTCTTGGCCACGTCGCACGTTCAAAAGTATTTTCTTAAAAACACTAAAAAAAAAAAAGAGCTCTTGCACAATGTATTCAAAAAGAAAATTTAGCGTCGATGAGGAGAGTGAAAGTTGTGCAGATGATGATATAATAGATGTTTTTAGTAGTGATAGTGACAGTAGTTATATATTATTTCCTGAACGAAAACGTTCGAGGCAGCTGGTTATTGAAGACGACACCGACGATGAAGATTACGTTAATCAAACACTATCAGATGAATGGGTTTGGAAAGAAAAAGATAATAAACCAAAGATCTGGAATTACACGGAGATTCCTGGCGTAAAAATGGCAACCTTATCTCAGTTAAGTGAAAACAAAAGAGAGCTAGACGTTTTTAATGTAATATTTGAGAATGTGTTTTGGGAGAATATTGTAACGGAGACGAATCGGTACGCGGAACAAATAATAAACAATAAGAATAAAAAACGAAAAATCGACGAAACTTGGGTCCCTGTGGACTGTGATGAAATAAAAATATATTTTGCATTATGTATAATAATAGCTCAAGTTAAAAAACCAACAATTCAAATGAACTGGTCCAAGAGGGCCATTATAGAAACGCCAATATTCAGGAAAACGATGCCATTGAAAAGATTTCTGCAAATAACTAGATGCTTGCATTTTGCAAATAACGATACAACTGAGGGTACCGATAAACTACGTAAAATGAAACCTGTGACAGATTTTTTTAATAAAAAGTTTAAAGAAGTGTATACAATGGAAGAGGACATTGCCATCGACGAATCTCTAATGAAATTTAAGGGACACAAACCTTATAAAGAACATAGTCCATCGAAATCGAAAGTTGGTATAAAATTTTGTAAATTGTGTGAGTCACAATCAGGTTATTGTTATGACTTCAAAATATATATAGGTAGTGATCAAATAAATCCTGATGACAGTGCATCTGAAAGCGTTCTCATGGAACTGTTGCAATCAGTGTTGCACAAAGGACACACTTTATACTTTGATAATTGGTGCTCTTCGCCAGAACTGTTTATAACTTTAGTCAACAGTAAAACTAATGCCATTGGGACAGTACGTTCTAATATTAAGAATATGCCAAGAGATTTTGTTAGAGCAAAAGTAAAAAAGGGAGAATATAAAGTGAGAAGCTGCAATGGTATATTAGCATTAAAATGGAAGGATAAACGAGATGTTCACATTATTTCAACAAAGCACGAAACTGCAGAGATGACTGAACAAGGCAAAGGCCAATTCAATTCTACTTCAAAACCAAAATGTGTTATTGAGCATAATAAAGGAATGGTTGGAATTGATCGCCAAGATCGAATGTTGGCGTGCTTCCCTGTTATGAGAAAATATACAAAAAAATATCGAAAAGTATTCTTTTATGTATTTGACATGGCACTCTTTAACTCGTACATTTTGTTCAAAAAAATAAATACAGAGAAAAAACAGAGTTACGCTGAATATAGAATTGAAATAGCCGAGTCATTATTGAAAAATGTGCCCTTACCCGAGTATAAAGGACGTGGGCGATTATCGAACGGAGATTCACCGCAGAGACTGCACGCGCAACATTGGGGTCATTTTCCCAAGCATATAGATCCAACACCATCGAAGCAAAAGCCATCAAGAGCTTGTAAAGTTTGTGCAAAACATAAGAAGCGCAGTGAAACCACGTGGGAGTGTAAAACATGTCAAATAGCGTTACATGTTCCAAAATGCTTCGAAAGATACCATACGGTTGAAGATTATTAATTTCCTGTAAGTTTCTTCGAAACGCTAATAACTTAAAATAAGCATCAATTCAGAAGTTGAAATAAAATGTTATTATCACTTCCAGATATCATTTAGTAAAGTAAATCATTTTCATTCACTGATGAATCGTTCGAAATTATTTCTCAAACATCTTGCAAAATTAAACCAGTTGTATTACTTTACACATGTATTTGTGTACCATAAGACATGTGCGATTGGCACAACTCTTACGTTAAATGGCTTGACGCATGTCCGATTTTGTTCACTGTGTTACGCGCTGTTGGGACTCGTAGGGCAAGGAATTGTTCAACGACTCGAGAGATGAGAATGCTTGTCTGGTACAGGACTATCCGACCTTGATATATTGACACAATGGCGTAACATGATTGCTGGGATTCGAAATGAGACCTCCATCGAAAACAGTCAAATGAATATACATGTATACATGTATACGCGCTCAGTGAACGCTGCTACTCACTTTCTGTTGCCTGAGACTTTCTTCCTCTTCTGTTCAACGAGGGAATTTCAACAACGCGTGTCACATTCTACAAATCGGATACTGTTGCTCCGGACGAATAATAAACTCGAACAAAGCGAAACAACATACGCATGCTTCGCGCAAAGCCTGCGCCGCTACTGAACGCAATTCTCAACTTTGACTCTCCTCTGCCTTATTTCTTCGTTCCATGATGCGTATGCTCAATGTGCTAGTGAATTTGATCGTAACGTAAACGGCTTGCATGTATCAGTGTATATACCGTTCATTCCATCATCTGTCGTTTTTTTTTTTTTTTTAAAGCATAAGATGATTCTAATTTTATGTAGATTGGAAGTTAAATAAATAAAAAACATATCCCCTTTGGTGTATATGTATACATTTTCTCTTCGGAATAGCAGAGTATAAAATACGCCTCGCGTTTTTGTTCCAACAAAAAAGCCGTGAAATTCTTTTTCCGAACCTTTCGTGCTTGATGTGCACGAAGGAAGGACCGAAAATTAACAGAGACGAATATGTACAGTTGTAGTAAAAGTCATGCAAATGTGCTGTAATGGCTCTAACCTAACTTTTTCCAAGCCCGATTCTTGAACTCGAGTCGACAACCGTGGAAATGAGTCGAATTGGTTTAAGAATGGAAACACTTTATTTTATTTTCAAAACAATGTCATAGATTACGTAGAAAAATAATACTATCGTTACAATTTTTTTCTTTAATATTTTGTATAATAAATGCTCGTACGATATGCATTGTGCATAGTGCCATGAAATATTCGTATGTATGTACATTTGTATACATTCGTTTTTCTCCTTTTTTCCCATATATGTATTTCATTAATGTGATCCTTGGAATGTGAATTTTTTTTTTTTTTTTTTTTTTTAAGTATCCCCCCCCCCACTCCTGACGTATGCTTATATTTCGCATTTTACAACTTCTTAAACGTTATATCCGTAATTTCACAGTTAAAGAAATAATTCGTATACTTCTCTTGTAAAATCAAGAGAATTCGAGATATCAGTGTTTTTAATGATGATTGAAGACCCACACACACAAACACACACACACATACACACACACTCATGCTTTAACCACGCTATTAGCAGACCTGACTACAGACAAATGTAAATGATATGAAGCGAATTTCTCCTTGAAATGTGTACAACTTAGAATATCATTGAAAGTTAGACCATTCATTTATGTTTATTAGAAAAATAGACAAGTGTTCAATTGCACTACTTCATCGAAGCAATAATGACCAGCTAATGTCAACACTACAATTACTCTTGGTATTTAACGAATATTCATGCAGAGCGGCAAAGTACTTGAATTTAAATGTTTGTTCAATTCAAAAAATTACCAAAACGTTTATTATATAAAAAAAGACCATAATTTAATTGTCGACATCGATAAAAAAAAAAAATTTGGCTTCTTTTAACAATATGAAAAGATTGTCGATATTGGTAAAAAAACTACGAAGGCTTTTTTTAATAATACGAAAAGACCCTCAAATAATTAAGCTGTTTGCATGATTTGTAGATGTTTCATTTGGATGTTATAATATAAACACCTAGCAAAAATTCGATATATCCCTATAAAATAAAATAAAAATAAAATTACTAATTAATTGTATTTGTTATTCGCCAAATATAAAGGCATTATCTTTACTAAAAAAAAAAAAAAAAAAAAAAAAAAAAAAAAAAAGGGGGGAAACATAGTACTTCTAAAATATACTGTGTATCAGAATTGTTCATTTCCTAAATCGGTTGGTCACAAGTTATAATTATCGAGTTTGAGGATTTGATAACATTAATAGAAGTTTCTCGTAGGCATACGCTAAATTTTTAGCCAAACCTTTACAACATCCGTTTTCTTGTATAGTTTGGAATCTGTAAGTTTTGAAATTTTTCTCGGTGTCTATATAGGTAACAGCTGCCATCAGCGGGCACATAATAATTTTTGTATGATCTAGGAAATTAATCTAAAAATAAAATATTACAATTAAACATTTGTTTTTCTATCACATTCAAAAATTTTAAAATTTAAACAGAAATACATCTCAAAATGTCTAATTACTTACTTGTACTGTTCCGTTAGTCAACTGCATAACTACAGCACTCTGTGTTCTAAACCATTGATGCATGTAAGGTATTCTAGATATAGCATCGCATGGTTTTACAGCAACAGAACTCCCAGCTTTCATCAAATGGTCGTTCATATACTTCAAGAAGAAGTTCATTAACCTCATCTTCTTATCTAATTCAGTGGGATACTCTTTGACTGTGTAATACAATTCGTCTCCTTCGCGATTTATGTAATGAATGTTGAAACAATTAGCTAGCATTATTAAACGGGTGCCATCGTTGAACATTACACCCACGCCATCATCAGAAAGTTGGTACCCAAATCCGTATTTATCCGAATAGTCAACCCATTTGCTTATCCAAATTACAGGTTGTGCAACAGGATCACTCATTTCATCTACACAGTTAAAACAAGTGTGTAGTATTCACACAAAACAATTTGCACAGAAGAATTTGACAATTACAAGACCAATTATTTATATATATTATCGTTATTTAAATAACCGTTAATTTTAATAGAAGGAAAATAAAAAGATGTGATAAAAAACGCGATAATAATATTTAATCCCTGGAAGAGTTTACCTGTTAATGAAGCTGCCTCTCTATTTGGTTTAGCCTTTAACACAGCACTCAGCTGTTCTCTCAACGTCTGTAGCATCTTTCTAATGTCATGGTTCAGTTTTTGAACTTCGCTTATCGCATCTGCAGGCTTTGTCTTGCGCGCTGGACTATTACGGGATACTAAATTTTGCCCCTCTCCACCTACATTTGTATTCATCTCAGACAATGGCTTACGCTGATTATATATTTCCAGCATATCTAAGCGAGGTGCCATTGTTAAACATGACAACGGTAAACTATGTGGCATAAAACCTGTAATGAAATTCAAACAGATTAACAACAAAAATTTCTTCGCAACAATGGCTTGAAACTCGTTGCCAAAGTCTCAATTTACCACAAGTGAAAAACGGATCTTTTATTAGCTTCGTTATGGAAGGACGTTTGGATGGATTTCCTTGCAGCATATTAGAAATCATGTCAATCGCGACTGTATTAATACTTGCAGGTATTTTATACTGAACTTGCTTTATTCTGGCATAGGTTTCCCTTAAACTTGACGTTTCAAACGGAGGTTTCCCCACAAGTAAAGTATACATAATGCATCCAATACTCCATATGTCAACTTCATAAGAATGTCCAGCTTTAGTTAAAATTTCTGGTGCTATGTAGTTAGGTGTTCCACACAGCGTTCTATTAATGAACTTGACATTAATTCATTGTATTAAATATACAAGGTATATACATATGAAAATAAACAGAGCAGTTACTTTTTACGTTCTCCTTCGTGCTCTAGTCTAGTGGCCAAACCAAAGTCGCCAATCTTAACTTGCAGATCATCGCTTAGAAATAAATTACCTAATTTTAGATCTCTGTGAATTATCTTATTCTGGTGCAGGTAGTTCACACCATCTAAAATTTGTTTCATGTAATATCTAGTCTCGCACTCTGTTAACGCTTTTCTACGTTTATGCAATTCCATCATTGACTGAAAAGACACAATTGCTAGTTTAAATGATATATGGTATCTTTGGGTAAGAGCTGGTGAAGCAAGTGTTGAATTATATTTACCCTTTTCCTGCACAACTCCAAAATTATATATACATTCTGAGGATCGTCAAAAAAACCATAAAAACCTACAATGTTTTTATGGTTCAGTGTTTGATGAATGGAAATCTCTTGTGTCATTTTCTCTCTGTGATTGCTCTTTGTGATTTGTGATTTTGGCACGATCTTCCCAGCGTATACACGGTGTGTCTCTGACTCTCTGATTTCGTAACATTTTGCAAAACCACCCTACAATAAATGAAAAAAAAAAAAAGAAGAAAAAAGAAAAAGAAAAACATAAAATTGCAAAGTGCAAAATGCAGAATAAAAGGATTAAAGTAACAAGATATATGGAATACACGCTGCAATGTGTGATACAAAAGTGGCGGAGGAGAGCAACAAGTGCCAATGGTTGGCGTACACAGAGGAGAAAATTATTTGTTCGAACGAGTCTCAAGAAACAAAATTGTTTAGTAAATGTTGAATTTTCTCTCGGTTGAAACCGAGAGAGAGAGAAAACTCGACGAAAATGCGAGAGGAACCACTTACTTTCCCGAAAAATCGTCCTCTGATATAACTTTTGCCCGAGCCTACGTCGTATATCACATCAGGAATAACGCACTCTTTCTCGTCTTTTGACATTTTGCACTACCTTCTCCCCCCGGATTACGCGGTATACTGCGAAAAATGATGCACGCTCACGTTGCTCGCACGTTCCACGAAAAAAATTACATTCAACGCCGACTTTCCTCCCGAAATACAAATTTTCCTGTTTTTGTCATGCGGGAGACATGCAACGGATTTCAATATTTAAACCTCAATATTTTAACCAATCCCGCGTTTCCCTGCGCGTGCTGCCAACTGTGCGCAAGCAATTGTCACTGTACCCCTGGTAACAACAAGCCGCGTTCACACGAAACTGGGTTCGTCTCTTTAAGAAAAGTGTTCAACACTCCACTCTCGATTTAAAAATGTTTCCAAACGTTAAATGCATTTCAGCGGAACGAACGAACAAACTTATACCATGTTCAGAGCGTGATCGCACGTTGGCTAACCTAAACGAACGAGAATTGGAAAATTTCTTTCCCGCGTAATTGTAGAATTAAAATTTATATATCACGTTGTATGTAAATTAAATATTTTTCTGCGAAGTGAGAAATATTTTGCTCCTTGTAATTATTAAAAGCTCAGGTTGTTACGTGAGAACGCGCCTAATAGGGAGGATATCCGGTAATGTCGGTGTAGTAATTTAAGTGGTGGGGTCGATGCTTCTTTTTCCGGCAACCGGCGTCCATTTTCGTTGTTGGCTTGTCGAAGATTTGGCGCGTTTGGTATCTATGAACAGATAATTCAACGATAAGCCAGTCAAGTAAGTACGTCACCGGTGGGAAAGTAAAGCCTGCATTCTATTCGAATCTCTTTTTAGAATTTACTGAACGCCCACGATACGTTGGCGAAGTAGTTGTGATCAGAAAAAAAGAAAAGAGCTTCGTTGGTTGATCTGCGAATATTAGACAGCGTCTGTCGTTGCGGTGAATGAAAATTTCGTCGCTCATAAGGAAATCTCGTTGGAATAAATTTTAGATACCGATCGATCAATGGAAGGCGCGCCAGCCAGCAGGGGTGGATTTCGTGGTGGACGTGGTGGCCCAGGCGGCCCTATGAGAGGACGCGGCGGTTTTGGGGACAGGGGAGGAAGGTACATTTACTGCATACGTTCACTAACAACTCTGCCTATGTACATACTGATTCTTGTAACCTATAAACAAGCTTCTCGCAAGTTAACTTCGAGATTTTCTCTTTAAATTTCAAGATGAGTCTTTCTCAATTTATGAAATTGATTAGAGCGCAGTTTCTGACTGTGACTCGAATATAATAGGTTACAAAAATATTTAAACTTACATGTTCTACATGAAGAAGATTTCGATCCAACTATCGTGACTGCTTTGATTAAGTTTTTGGCAAGATATTTGGTCTAAATATACACTCAATGAAGAATTAATATAAAAGATAAATAGTTAGCTGAAGTATTTAACAAATAGTTGTGAATATTGTATGAATGCTTCTGGATCTTTTCTTAAATTTTACAAGATATTTGTTTTGAATATGTAATATTTAATGAAAAATTCATATTTAAAGTAATATTTAATGAAGAATATAAAGAATAAATAGTCATCTGTGTTTATATAAATGTTACAAATGAACTGAATATTGAATGAATGGTTTTGTAATCTGTAATAAACTCTACAGAGAGATTTGTTCTAAATGTATATTCAATGAAGAATTGAGGTAAAGGATAAATAGTCATTTGAAGTATTTAACAAATGTTATAAATATTGAACAAATGCTTTTGCGATCTATGTAATATATATGTTTGCAATGAATATTTTCTAATACACTTTCAGGACAAAATTTGTGAATTTTGAAAATATTTTGTACAACATATCTAATGTATATCTTAAAGTTTTCTATGATAAGTTAAAATAATTCTATGAACACTGTGATGTGTTAGAATATTATTGCAATATACCATGTATTTGTATTTCATGTAATGATGCTAAAAGTTATAAAATTTGATGTTGTGTCAATAGAGGTGGCCCTCCGAGGGGTGGTGGTATGATGAGAGGTGGCAGAGGTAGTGGACCTGGAGGTGGAATGAGAGGTGGACCACCAGGAATGAGAGGTAGAGGTGGTCCACCTGGAAGAGGTGGTCGTGGTGGACATTTCCCTCCTGGGTATTTAGACACGAAATTATTATTTATTGAATTACTTTGTTGCAACATGTTATTAATGTTTGTTGTTACATCAGGGGTCCACCGGAACCAGGAATGTCCAGTGGTCCAGGAGGTGGTGGACCACCACCACCAGGAATGGGAGGCCTACCACGTGGTGGTAGCAGAGGAGGTGGAAGTAGTGGTTTCCGAGGCAGAGGAAGAGGTGATTTTGGTAGGAGTGACAATCCTAGAGGTAGTAGCAGTTTCCGTGGACGAGGAATGGATAGAGGTAGCAGAGGAGGATCTCGGTAAAACTTATAATTTCTGTTAAATTCAACATTATATATATAAAGTACCAGTGAATAGAACTTTCATTTATTTTCAGAGGTGGCTCTGGTAGAGGTGGCCTAGGTGGAAGAGGCTTTGGTGATCGTGGAAGTAGAGGAAGTAGTGGACGCGGTGGCAGTGGCCCGTCGAAAAGAGGAGGTGGGCCACCAGGCTCGAGCGGACCTTCAAAAAGGCCGAGATTTGATCAACCATCTTCGCAATCCGCGAATGGTTATGCCACTCAACCACCAAGGTAGTTATTAGCTTGAAATAAGTTGATCTGATAAAAGTGTATTATTTCATTGTGGAAATGTTCTTGATATAGTCAAGGATATGGAGGTGGTACTAGCAATGCCTATGGTGGAGGGCAGCAACAACCACAGCAGCAGCAGCCAGTAGGATACGGTGGTGGTTATGGATCACAAAATTATACTCAGTCTTCGTATCAAAGTTACGAAAGTTACCAACAGCCGCCAGATTATGGTCAAACAGCTGTAAGCTAGTTTGTCGCATTAAAAATGTTGAATTAGACGGAGCAGGAAATTTCTAACTAACATGTATAACGTTGTTCAGGGATATCCACCATCAGCAGCTACTGATAGTAGGTATGGAGGAGCACCTGCTGTACCAACTACAGGAGCTTTCAGTACTGGTGATCCTTATAGCTATGGCAAAGCTCCACCATCAGGTCAGTATATGTGATGCTGTAAATTGTTTAGTTTCAATAGTTTCAGTAAAATTGAGAAACAGTTCAATTAAAAAAAAAAAGTTCGTTGCGCAAATGAAATGAAGGGCAATGTTATTATTAATGTGGTGGTGTAATTAATATAATATACTGCGTGCACAGCCAATTACCAACAGGAGGCAGTGGCAGCAGGGGGTGGGGGTGCAGGTTATGCCCCTGTTAACCCTTACGATGACCGATCTTCTAATGCCACTTCTATGAGCAACAGGGGTGGTTACTCGACGCAACTTTATGGTTAGTTTTTCCGTTCGACACCACATTTTACATCACGTATTTATCTTTTTCTCGGTTTCACTTAAAAAGAAAAAAAAAAAGAGTGAAGGGACGAAGAAGGGAAATGAAAGAAATAAGTAATCCATAATATAACACCTTGTCCTTATAGTCTTTAATTACTAGCACTTCTTACGCTCAAATATCAATCGATTCAGACGAGAAACGTTTAATTAGAAAAAAAGTTTAAAGTTTGTCTTTATTTTCTTTTCTTTTCTCAATAAGAATAGATTTAGTTTTACTTTCTTCTTTCAACTTTGTTGCTTGCAATTAAGAGTTGCGTTTCATAACTGCTCCTATTAAAAAAAAAAAAAAAAAAAGCAAAAGTAGAAATTGATACGGTGAAGAAAAATGTGGATATCGTGAGTATTTGAATACCAGCACTGCAGCACTGCCTCCTGCTATTCTCCATTCCAGAATGAACTGTACCTGTACAAAAAGAAAAAAAAGAAAATCTTAATGTCTCACGAAATTTATTTTGATATAGGTAAAACAGAATATAGTATGAAGTTTTAGATCTAGTGAGTTACAGATTTTTCTCGTCTGAGTCACATCTACATTACTTGAAGCAACGTTGTTGATCAATTTGTAACTTTCAATTTGTTGTACTTGCAGATTACTCCAGTCAAGATGGTGTGTACGGGAAACAAGATTATGGTAAGTACAATTCGCAATTCAGGCGAGCTTTTTAATTTTTGAAAGACTATCTTCTCGCGAACGAAATGCTTAGGGCCGGGTTTACACATAACTCCAAGAAAACGGTCGTATTTGTTAGTCCAATGAAACGGATATTTGAAAGAAATTGAAAACGAAATCCTGTTGTGAATTTTTAAATTCATATAAATAAATTTATGACGGATACATGCAGAAATGTTTAATGTCAATTGCAAGAAGTAGAGAAAAAAAAAATTGTAGCATAGGATTTGTACTGCATTCTTAGAAACAAAAATGAATATAAGCGACAAATCATAATTTCGGTAGTAAATTATAATTGTCGAACAAACTATAAGGCAAATGCATATACCGTAAAATTTGTTTTTTGTATTTTCAAGCAGAGTTAACATAACGAATAGTTACAGTGAAAAAAAGAAAGATGCACCCGACAAAAGTAGGCAAATAATATATTTATATTATTCAATTTTATACGATGATTAATATTGTATCTAATATAAAGTTAAATGCAGATCAAGTTAAGAAAAAAAAAAATATATATATATATATATACACAATACAAAACTACATGCTTAAAAAGATGATTGAATGGAGGAGCTATGGTTGTTTACAGGTGGCAGTGCTGGTTACCAAAACGCCCAGTCTCAGCGACGTTATTAAATTACACTTGCAACTATTTAATTTTACATATTTAAATGTCATTTCTTTCCAAATTTCAAAAGAAAACAAGAAAAGTTGTTCCTAGCGCGTGAAAAAGTTGGACAAATATCATTTGTCACGAACACCAAATATTTCTTAATATTTCATCGGAGGAATTATATTCAGATAAAAAAAGTATACCCGTAGGAAAAAAAAGAAAGAAAGAAAGAAAATTCGAGAACAGATTCAATGAAATTTCTGAATATAATTTTCTATCTTTGTCGCGCGCATGGAAAACCCGTCAAATTACGCGTTAAACGCGAGCAATTGTTTAATTACGATTTAAAAAAAAGAGAAAGAAGAAGAAGTATAAATGACATGAGCGTTTTATACTTGACTCAGCAGTATAGCATCTACTTTTGTCACATTTGGTTCAGAACATTGTTTTTTAGGATTAAGTTTAGTTGATGTACAGTTTATCTTTCTTTTCCTTTATCTGCGATTGTGAAGTATGAAATTGTAATTATTAAGGGTAAAGAATATTCACTCTGTTTGTAAAGTCATTAATTGGTCGATCATTGTGAACAAACGCATATAGTTCAATTATCTTCAAAGGAGTAGGTGCAAAAAGATCAATATCTTACTGTTCTGCGTGGAAAAAGAAAAACAGGAGCAAATAATTGTATATTATGGTATTTTGTTTTTTACACTTAACTATGAATTGAAGAGAAAGAATCTTGTATCAGAATATAAACTGCCCCTCTTTAAGCGTTTGATAGTGCGACATTTTTATTCTGGTAATACTTGTGTTGTCATTTAGCAACAAGCTTATAATATAACGATTGAGTCCGACTGTTGCGACATTTCATTTCCTATATATATATATATACATATGCGTATATCCACAATTATACTTTCAACTTGCAAATTCAATTTTTATGCGAACTATATAAAATACTCTGCTTAGTGGTGACAGAGATTTCTAAAAAGTTAAATGGATAATGTTAGAAAGTTTAATGATGATTTTAGGAATTTCTTCTAGCTGTTTAAGTAGTGATTATGTATTGAAATGTCACACCGGCAGAGACAATCAAAATGGCATATTAGCGGTTAAAAAAGAAAAAGAAAAACTAGATATTTATATGGAAATCAAGAAACGACGTATCTATTCAAGGCTCAGAGTGCATGAGTATGGAATATTTGTCCCAGCAAATTGTGTATATTGAGATACAGAATAATTATATAGGGCAGACATTGTGATCTTATATTCTGTTTATTATTATAAATTACAATGAAATTGTCTAAACTATGTTAAAAATTATCGTCGCATGTCATTGGTATAGCGATAGTGAATCAATTTAACATTGTAAGAACTAGAGTAATTACAAGCGAAATGAAAAGAAACTTTGAAACAAAGAACCATGAAAAAAAATAAGTAATACTTTTCACGTTTATTATTTCCTCACCTTTAATATGAGAGGCTATACGGATTGAATTCCAAAGAACATGTAGCAATGAAAAAGGGGAAAACCAGCAACTGCCTTAGAAAAGCACATATACATAAAAAGTAATTCAACTGAAAAGAATACAGTGTATTCGTGTAACATGACGTAGGTATGAAACTTTTGTTAAAAATCAATAATCTTTTGGAAAGTAAATTTTTTATAATATCTTATACACAAAAGAGCTAAGCAAAAATTCTTTTTTATTTTATTATATGTAGTTTATTAAGAAAAATATTTTACATTCAAAATGAAGTATGATGTTCAAAAAAATATATATATATTTATACATAAGAACAGTATTAATGGACAGTTCTAGATATATATATAAGAAAAAAAAAATTGACAAAAACTGAGTTTATTTCACAGGCGTAACAACAACCTGAGATACGTAGGGAACAGAATGAAAGAAAGAGAGAGTACCTTCCCTCTGTTACCAGCAAGGAGAATACCAATTCAAATAACAATACAATATTATATGAGTAAATGACGACTGATATGATAGATGTTATTAATGTCCGATGGCATCAGGTATCACGTAAATGAAACTTAGAAAGTATTTTTTTCTGTTAGAAGTGTTATAGTATATTTCATTAATTAGAATGTCTTTGTTTGATTTTTCCAAGCGATTGACCGACTTGTGTGTCAAATTAACGTTTGACCTTCTGTACGGTGCACCTCATTTTTTTTTCCATTCAAAATATTGTTGCAATTCTTTTTCAATGTGAATCATCACTTCAGTCTGTTGTTTTCCAAGTTGTCACATGCAAAGACTTAGTTGCATCTTATACGTATACGTATATTATATAGAAAAAGAGAACAGAAAACGTATTTAAAACGAAAAAAGAAAACATAAAATAGTATATGTATATATATAAAAAAAAAAACAAACAAAAAAAAAATATCAATGGAAAAGCAAGAGTAAGCAACAAGAGTACCGAATTAAATCTATGCTAACATGTATTATGCTCGTATATATTAAAAGACAAATGCTCGAGTAAACCTCAACCCAATTTCAGGTGAGTAAAATAAATTATCCGTTTTATATAAGAAAAAAAAAACCAATCTACAAATTTAGTACAAAGCAAATGTTAGCAAGGACAATAATCATAATAATCATAATCGTAATAATTAGATCTGCATCTATCGAATGTAAAGTGGAAATGGTATATAAAGTTAATTTTGTTTGTATTTGTTTTAAAAACGTGTAACAGAGAGCACGTATCTCAGAGACGTACAGTAAAAATTTTTTTTTTATTTTTTTTTATTGAACCGCTTTATACTTGCGATATCTGCAGTGTATTGTTCAGTCATGATAATGACGATAAGGTAACAATCGAAAGGTACGAATTGAGAATTTCTTAAAGAACACGTTACTTTACAAAAGCCAAGTACGATTTATCGTGACATTAACATAAAACAAAAACGAGAAAGCAGGGAAGGAATGTAGCGAACATTTATCAAAGAAGGAGTCTAAAAGCATATTTTTATGATTTAAATTAATAACGAGAACAATAATATGATTTATATACTAAACATGTTGCAATGCGTCAATGCTAGGTATATCTTTAAGATTTCATTGCTTTTGTCTTATCTGCCAACTTCTAATTTTTTATTATTAATTTCTTTAGGTTGATAACGACTATGCTGTCACAGATGGTCGTACTACCAATTCAGTGAGCCAAGCAACATCTGCCACATGACTGGCATCGACGTTGTTCCTCAAGAAGATTCAAGTGTTCTTTTTTTTTCTTCTTTTTTCTTTAAATGTTACAATGGCGAAAAATATTGTAAGATGGTACGAAGGAGATTATCAAAGGATAGAATTTTTAAGATTTGTAAGTTTATAACCACTGACATGTTCACGATAAAAGAATATATGTCTTTTTTTTATAAATAAAAACTTATAATTTATGTCTTTAATTGATGTGTTCAATTAATACCGTTTTTGATATATTTTTTGCAAGAAATATAAAAAGAACACGTAAATTACAATCAGAACTTTTATTTTTTAAATCTTTCAGAATGATTGTTTAACAACATTACATATTGATATAATACTTTTTAAAATTTTTCAATGAAATTGGTTACACATGGTTGTTACAAAGTGTGATTCTTAAAACATAGCATCACATCTTTGATTTTCCTTGTCTTTAAGAAATAAAAAAAAATACACAGCAGTACAATTTCAAAGTAGACATGAACGTATACGAACGTAAATTTGAATCATTGATGCTAAAAATTTCTCTTTTACTCTTATGCATTATGCATCTCTTCCTACGTTCAATTTCAATTTGTATAAAATTAAAAAACTTACATTACGTGAAAAAAGTAACAAAAATAGGAATAATATAAAGAGGAAGATTGTTTAATGGAAAAGTCAATTGCATATAAAGCAAAACTTTAAACTTAAAATTAAAATTTCGATCATTTGATTCACACTTACGAGTAACTTTTTTTTTTACTTTCTCGTTGATCACATTAATATGAAAGTTCTTTTTTTCACTATTGCATGGCACAACACTCGATTCTTACACTTTTCAATTTATCGTAAAACGCTTCTTACGGACATTATTAGACAGAAGTACCAGTTGTATGTAACTGTATCCCTCTCGCATATTTATCAATCTAAAAAAAAAACATTTTACCACTTTACATAAGAAAAAATGATTCTGACTTTACGTTAATTACACACCGATCTTTTTCCTGTTGCTGAATGTGAACTCTGTCACCTCTCTGCAACGGAGTTATTATACTTGTATAACAGGATACCTCTGTGGCCGACGGAGAAGAGGCTGTGGAACATTTCACAAGTTTCTGGGTACTGGATTTACCTTCTGAGCTTAATAATATCCAATAGGAGTAGTTTATTCGCTCGCCAAAGTAGAAAATCTGAAAGAGAAACGAGAATTGCGAGGAAACGTGCGAAGCATTGATTCTGAATGTCAAACGCGGTGTTTTACCTGTGCAGAAATCATGTACAAACCAGTTACTGTGACTTCGATGGATTTCTTATCCTCTACCAAATGGAATTTATTTAAATTGTATTGAGTATTGTTTCTAATACTTTTGACCCACGGACCAATGTAAACTGAAAAGTATAAGCACATTTATTACTTACATTACATTAAAGAAACAAAAATATGCATATTATATGTGATCAATATGATGTTATGTGTAATTAATGTAAAATTTAATGATCTAATTGAACATGATATTAATGTTTTTTTTTATATACCTGTGTCTGTGATATGTTGCTCTGGAATTGCGCCCACAAACGTTGCTACCAAAGGTCCTAGACAAACATTCTTTGTACAAATTCTATGCCTAACAAAACAGCTTATATTAAATGAGTGAAATGAACAATCGACTTTTGCAAAGCATTCGATTCGTTCAGTTAATAAAAATGTTGCAAGTTTGTATCTTGTCATTACTTTTCTTAATGCTCAATTAATTTTGATTGTTTCAGTCATTATCTTACTAAAAAAAAAAGAAAAAAAAAGATAAAGAGAGAAGACAGAAATATTGTAATTTTCTGGATACAGAGTATCTTTCTTTGGACAACGGAAACGCATGCTAACTAAATACATAATACTAAATACCCAATCGCCTGTGACTGCGTTTGGGCTGCCTTTTGTTCTTTGCCCGTTTTTTACCTCTTCCCTCCTCTCTCTTCGACCTTCCAGAATGGGATTCTCTCCAGATATCTAAGTCATTATCATTATCACTATCATTACCATCATCATCATCATCATCACCACCATCATCGCTATAATAATCATCATTCACATTATCAATCTTCCCCTGTATGGCTCCTTCTGTCAAATTCTCTTTCTCTAACGCTGCTCTTTCAACGCGCGGGTTACCATTAGCTCTGTCGTCCTCGTTGCTTATTAACGCCGCAAGCAGTTTAGAAGCTGCAACGTTGTTTCCATTGTTTATGCCGTAAGCATCATTACGCGACGCGTGTCCATCTCTGGAATTCTTCGTTGAATCTCCATACGGGTTCGCGGCATCGTCGTTAATCTTATTTCGAATTCCGATAACGTCTGTGGTCTTGGACATCGATGATGCTTCCTCCAACAGTCTTTTCACATCGTCAAGCTTCCTGTTCTCGAGGAGTCGGCCGCACCTTTGAATCCAGTCTTGGTTCAGCCTGTCGTACTTGGACGTCACTAGCGATAAATTTACGTTTAAAGATTGCACCTAAAAAAAAAAAAAAAAAGAGAAAGAAAAATGATGAAAAGTCGTTCAATTTTGTTTCATTGTACAGGGTGATTCGATGAAAAACGAACCGCCTAAGTAACATATTTCGTTTCAATGTGACTAACGAGAAAAAGAAGAAGCTCTTTTAGGTGTTTTGTTTTTCACTGATTTACCCCACTACGACGAGAAGCGATAAACGACTGGTTCATTTACTTGTAGCTGCAAGGCACGAATCTCCCTCCTCAAGTGGTACAGCATAACGGCAAAGAGGATCGCTAAAAAGAACATAACAGCGGCGCAGAATCTTTGGAACATCTTTGACTTCTTCACGCTCGACACGATCACCCTCATGTCGACGTCACATTGAATTAAATTTGCCGCGTTTTTCGGTGGAACACGATCGACTGACAGATCGATGTGTTGGCCCTCCATTGTGATTTTCGTCGCCATCGATCACCGGAGGACGTTGCGTATCGATCGATCGCGAAGAAAAACGCGTTCAGGACTAGTTTGAATTGTATACAATATATCACATATATATCACAAATGACCTGAAACGATATACACATAGTTTAATTTAATGGCTTCTTCGCTTCAAAAGGTAAATTGTAATTAGATTGTCACTCGATAAATATCGACGCGAGGCAATAAAAAAAAATCTTTCACTCACTTCGCCGAAGAAGAGAAAAAGAGAAAATAATTATGCATTAACAATCACTTTTCATTTCATTTCGTATTTTAGTATAAAAATTAAATTCAGTATAAATTTTACTTTTCCAGGAAAATATAACGAATTAATTATGTTTTTGGTTTTTTTCGTTAGAAGACAAAGAAAAAGAGAAAAAAAAAAAAGGAAACTATGACTGTTACACGTCGATAGGGGTCGACCCTTTTCTATTTGTTTTTAATTCATAATACGTACGATTGAAACGTTGACAAAGAGCTACGAGATAGCGACAGTGATAAAGGAAGTGGCGTGCGGATCTTATCGAAACGTTCGCGCGCGGATAGGCATATCGAAACTGACTGAACTGATTTCAAAAACTGCGGAAGTATATATATACACGTGCATATAAAGTCATGAATTCGTCATATGGCACGTGGATGTGTCAGCGATAGAAATGGAGGAAAGCAATAGAACTGCTGGAACAGAGGAAACGATGTAACGCGAGTGCCCTGAGTGAGAGGAGTTTAGAGATAGCGTGTTAAATAAAAAACACACTGGTCTAACAATAAGATTGTACGATTTTAAATTATAATACATATAAATATATAAATATATATATATATATATATATGTACATTATATAAATTATATATGTATATATAATATATAAATGTAAAATAAATTATTTTAGAATTTGCAATAAATATTATGTTATTAATATAATATACTATATATATAGTACATAAATTTTATATATATGTGATATATATATATAAATTTAAAATAAGTTATTTTAGAATTTACAATAAATATTATGTTAATTAATATAATATACTTGAAGTATATTGTATACTATATACTATAAAGTATATAAGTATATTATATACTATATATAAAGTATAGTATAAAGTATTATGCACTAAATAGTACACGAATTATATATGTATGTATATATATATATATAAATCTAAAATAAATTGTCTCAGAATTCACAACAGATATTATATCAACTACGCATTGAATGCTACGTTAAGCATATCATAATTAATCCGTCCAATTAAAAAAAAATCACGCTTTGTTTTCCAGGCACACGCATCGATTTGAACACCTCGATTATTATTTACACCCTTCACGCCGGACATGGACAGGGTCTCTCATTTATTCCAACATCGTTTCTTCATTATCCTCGGGACAGGTCCGTTCCGAAACCGTGCAGAAACAGAATCCCGTGACGAGGTTTCGATCTCAACACTCGCGACGATACCGAACTCACTAAACGGAATTTAGCACTTGTCTCTTACGAAAAGTTCGAAAACGCGAGAGAACCGAAGCGAGAGAAGAAAAGAAGATGCTCCACCGCGTGGACATCCATGCAAAAAGGAAAAGAAAGATTCGTGTTCGCTTACCTGAGTGACATTTCTGTATTTTTGTAATTTTTTTTTTTTTTTTTTTTTTTTTTTTTTTTTTTTTCTTGTTAGTTTGCCAGCTCGGAGAGAGCCACGGCCGTGAGATCAATCGATCCGCGAATCGATCCACTCGCGTAGCTGGCGAGGTGGCCTACCCTCTGCGAACCAGATAGTGGACGAAGACGTGCTGTGGCATCTTTTGTTTACCTAGCCACAGTCGGTGGCTCCCGCGAGCGTCCCCCGGAACGTAACGGCGACTCCGCTCGACCGGTTTGGCGGTTGTCCGGCCCAAGTGTTGCCAACATTCGCGTGGTAAGATACTATGCCCGCCCTTTCCCACGCTTTCACCCGACGCGGTTTTCGATCTTTCTTGTGGAACGCGCGCGCGAACAACGACGATTCTTATATGGAGACTTTGCTTTCCTAGGAAACGTCAGATCTGCTTGATTGTCCGCGCGATTGTGCGTTGCATGCACACGTTGTAACGAAACACGAAGCTCTGTGTGTATTTTTACTGGAGATAAGAAATCATTTGAGCGACCCTTTTAGTAAGATTTTATTCAACTTCGTTATCTGTATACAAGATAAGGTGTCGCTTGGAAGTCGCTTGAAGAATGTTTAGAAAGTTTCGAGGAAATATATTCTGCTGAATTCACTACGGGACTCGTTCACAAGGACAATGGAGCTTGACCTGGATTCTCCGTTCGAAAGCGAACCTTTTTCGATCTACGAACTGATTATCGATCGAGTCCCCGATTGTCACGTTTTTTGACAAATTTTCATTTTCTTTTTTTTTCTACGATTTTTACAATCTTGATGAAATATTTGGAAAATATTGAAAAGTTTGTTGGTTATTTTTTAACAAAAGCGACTGATACAATATTCTCTTTTGCAGATTCTTTAACGACGCAGTCCCTTTTTATCGATCTAACTTTCCAGTTTCGATCGTTGCGTTCGATTTTTTTCGTAAAAAAGGTCTTCTATCTACCAAGTTTTTATTCTCATCTGCTTTCTACGTTTTTTTATTGGTAATTCATGATAATGTCAAGTATCTGTACGATTCACAGAAATATTAACAAACGATCTAAACAATATTTTTCCTTTGTATTTTTAATTTAAATATTCATAGATTCATAGCGGAAAGTAGGATCAATAATATAAAATTCGAATACTTGTCATTGCTTGAGCGATAACAGTCAATTGAACATCAAAACAAGACGTGAGTATAGAGTACATACAAAGTGACACATCAGTCACTCAAGAGATGCACTCGATTAAAGGGGAGTATCTCCTCGATCATTGTTACAATGTTACAACTTAACAAACACATGTAAGTTTCAATCAAGATTAGATTGTTATAAAGATATATCTATCGATTAATGGAAAACACGGTCAAAGATTTTGAAAAGTTTGATTTGCTTAATTCCAGATCATTAAAATGTTACAACCTTGCAAATGACATGTAAGTTTCAATTAATATTAGATCATTGCAAATTATAAATATTACAATTAAACTATTACGTCATATATGTTATTATTACAATTGTGAATATATTTATCGATAATGAAGAACGTAATCAAAGGATTTTAAAAAATCTGATTTGTTCAATTTTGGTTTTTATTTTTTAGCCAAATATTAATGACGATTAAAGAAGATTAACCCTCTTGCGCTAGTAACTGGTTCACGGACCATAACGAGTGACCATACAATAATTCGTCTTCTTTTTTTTTTGAATTCATCGGTATATCACTGGATAGAAATTACTAGTGGTTTGAATTCATCGGTATATCACTGGATAGAAATTACTAGTAAAGTAAATTTATTATTTGTTTTTCCTGGGTTATATTTCAGTATACTTAAAACTGAGAAAATACTGCAATTTTTGGATCAAATATTCTCGACGCCTCGTGAACTTGATCCTCGACAATTTCAAGATGGTTGAAAATATTCTTCCCCGTATATAGCGCATTTCGACGCTATATTTAGAAAATAGTTTCGCTATCTCGGATCGATGCAGTGGCGTCGATCGACGAGATCTCGTGCTAACCAAAGTTTCGCGTTGGATTTCAGCCGTATCGTCGCCGTTGGAGGGGAGGTTTAAACTACAGCCAGTTAATAACAATCACATCGTTGCACATGTGAGAAAACAATTGACGCGGTTATTGCTTGTAATGTAACGCATCGTTAATACCGGAAGTGGAGGTCGTTGGTTCGCCCCAGCGGGAACAGCGAAACGAAACTGTGTACGTGGTTTAGGTTATGTTTTCTTCCCTTTTTTTTTCTTCTTTCTTCGTAATCATAATTTTCTTCTCTCGTGATCTTCGGCTCTCGTGACCAGAGTGCAGGAAAGCCGCGAGTAGGCAGTGGCTAAACGAGGAGAAAGGGCGAATTAAATAATTGACAGGCCACGAACGGCACGTTTCGGCTTGTCAGTCGTAAATTGATCCAGATACCTCGAAAATTTGCCGTCTTCCTACGTGAATCGGCTCAATTACACGCTCGTGCGATGATTAATTAGGATCGCCAGGCTACTGGAATTTCTGATAACGCCGCTATTGAGAACGCAACGTGAAACCGTTTTCGCTTTCCGTTACCGTGAATCAACGTAAAGATTAAAATATCAGCATCCTCGCTGAGGGGAAAATCGGTCGATTTCCTTCCGAATATCTCGTGACTGTATGACTGTGTAAATGAAACCAAATTTCTCAAGTTACAAAGGCAAGGTTGACAGTAATTTACGAGATGTTTTCACGAGCGGAATTTGACGATTCGGCGCGAGGAAATTCATTCTTATATGATCATGGAAGGTATCTAAATTTCTCCCATCGTCATCAAAAAATCGAGCGATATCCATTTCAATTTGTGTCTGGAATTGAGCAACTATCTCATGAATCGCAGAATAAGAAACAGTAAATACAAACATTGGACGTTGTACTCTGAGAAACGAATTATTTCTATCAAAATCAAATAATAAATAAAGATTCTGGCAAATAGTAAGCAATTAATTTCACAAATAACAAATGAGTCGTTTAATTGGAAATAAATTAATTTTTATATGAAATACTTGATAATATGATTTTGTTACTTTGCAGATAGATTGTTTCTGAAATAACTTTAAAAAGTAATGATAAAAAAATAATTTGAAAAGTAACATAACCTAACTAAAAACTAGATAAAGTAAGGTAATTTTAAAATCTGACCCTTTATCTAACTTTAAAAGTAAGATTAAACTTGGAAAAGTAATTTGAAAAGTAATAATAAATAATAAAGTAACTTTAAAAAGTAATAATAATAAATAAGGTAACTTTAAACCCTTTACCTAATTTTAAAAGTAAGGTTAAAGTAACTTTGAAAAGTAATTGAAAAAGTAATAATAAATAATAAAAGAATAAGAGTAATAAAAAGTAACTTTAAAAAGTAGTAATAAATAATAAAAGAATAATTCAAGAAGTAATTTAAAAATAATGTTATTTGAAAATTTTTCAAACCACCCAGCTCTAAAGTAGGATCAATGCGAATCTCGTCGAGGCATCAACTAATGCCCGGCTTTGTATTCAATTACGCCAAAACGGTTAATTTAGGTAATTCGAATTCCAGGAATATCAAATTATCACCATCTTAATAATCGTGGAAAACTTCAAAAGTGATATCATCGTCGTCATCATTAGATTATTATTTGTTCCCACATTCTATGATTCTGAGGAGTATCAGTTTCCCCGTGACCGTTTACACATCAGTCGTTGTAATCTATTTCCTGTATCTCCCAATGTTATCTCACGTCGCTCGATTATCGATAACCAGCGAGTGATAATCTTCATTGTAACGAAACGAGATCCGTGACTTTCCGAGGAAATAACCTCGATTCGTTCTCACGGCGTTGCTTCGCAAGGAGAGCAGGCAATTCCTGGAGCCGGTGAGTGTCGAATTCAACGTTCCCAGGTCGAAGAAGTGTCTAAGAATCAGAGATGCCTGATCGCAACGACAAAATACGTTGATAATGACATTTCACGTCGGAGGATATTTTCATGGAACGTGCGCCTCGCATGGGAAACGTCTGTCTCTATCCTTGGATGTCTACTTCAATGAAACAATATCGTGGAATATACGATTATGTCGATGACATACTGTGATAATTACAACGACTCTGTAACAATAATTATATCAGGCAAATTCTCTCTGGCAATGCTCTAGATGATAATTAATATCACAGTATGATATTAATGACAAATGATGTTAAAAATTCAAAATGTGTTAGAAATTTTGAAATCTTTTGTTTGCTTGTTATAATATCGGATGATATTATTACAGTCATACTTGTTACAGTATCAAATAGTATTAAAATTTCAAATTGAATTAGAAATGTTGTTCTCTTGTCTACTTGTCATATTATCATAACCATACTTATTACAGTATCAAATAATATTAAAAATTCAAACTGAGTTAGAAATTTGTTTCTTTTGTCCACTTGTTACAGTAGACAAATAATATTATCATAATCATATTCATTATACTGTCAAATAATATTAGAAATTGAAGCTGAATTAGTTTGTTTTTTTGTTCACTTGTTAGAGTATCGAATAATATTATGACAATTATACTTATCACAGTATCAAATAATAGATTAAAGATTAAGACTAATAGATAATAGATTTAAACTGAGTTATAAATTTTGTTCTTTTGTCTACTTATTATAGTAGACAAATAATATTATTATAATCATATTTACTATACTATTCAATTATATTAAAAATTAAAACTCAGAAACATTGTTCTTTTGTTCACTTGTTACAGTATCGAATAATATTATCACAGTATCAAGTAATATTAAAAATTCGAACTGAGAAATTTTGTTCTTTCGTTTACTCACAGTATCGAACAATATCAAAATCATACTAATTATATTATCAAATAATATTAAAAATTAAAACTGAGTTAGAAACTTTATTCTTTTGTCTATTTGTTACAGTAGTACAAATAATATTATAATCATACTTATTATACAATAATAATAATATTATGATAGTCGTACTTATTACATACTTAAATCATAATTATATTATCATAGTTATTACCGAATAACATTATCACAATCATATTTATACTATCAAATACCATTAAAAATTCAAACCGAATTATAAATTTTCTTCTTTTGTTCACTTATTATTATAGCTTCTTTTTTTCTCTGTTTGATGAAGCAGAAATTTGAAATCTCTTTTGAAAGTACCTTAATAACTTGTATTACGACTGAACCTTCGGGTCGTCATTCGAATAGAACTGTTTAAATCGATTTCAACACAGGGGAATATTGGAGGTGGGAAGCTGCTTCTCCGGATCATTGATCTACGCCACTGACAGTGAGATCCAGAGGCGCTGCCGCGCTGAAACTCGAATGTTTTCTGTTCCGTCCATCTAGTATCGCCGAGTCAGTCTGTCAGATACGTTGGTCAGATACGGTTCTTCGTACGTCTTGATTTTTTTTTTCCTTCGCGAAGTTCAAGCTCTCCTTGGATCAATACGATCGAATCACCGTTTGTTACAACTGTCACCTCGGTTCTACTTCTCGACTCGTTACATTTTCTTGTTCGTCACGCGGAACGAAAGAATTGGAGATCAATTCTTTTGTCGGGAGAGAACAGATTACTAGGAGCACCAGTTGCACGGAGAGGAACGAGGACAGAAAAGAAACACATCGTGGGACAACAAAAGGAAGGAAAGAGAGGCCGGTGGGCGGAGGTAAGGGATTAGAGGGTGGTCCTGCTCGTGGTCTCCCTCCAGAGGGGCGGGAACTCGCTGGACAGGTTTTAAAGAGAGCCAGGACCGGCCACTGAACGTCATTGTAAATTTTCGAAAAACAGGTGGAATCAGGTGAATCGCTTCGTTTCAAAAGTAGAACAGGGAAGAACGTCGAAACTGTTATCTCAATGGACTCGATGAAGATTCACGATTTAATCAGCCAGTGATGTTCGTCGTGGAAGAAATCTCTTCGACAGCGTGCTTTATGAGATAGTACGATGACATCACGCGAGAAGAGATTCAACGCCTTTCGGAAATGTGGATCGTGAAAGCGTTACGTGCACCGAGAAACCATGGACACTGTCTGTGATCTTCCCCGTCGTTCCTCGAACTTATGAACAGTAACTCGAAAGAGAAAGCACGAATTAATAGTGTGAACTTGATTTTGATTTTTGTGAAAGTTGACTTTGCGTCTAATTAAGCTTCCGAACCAGCGAATCATTTCCTGAGATGATTAATTTGTGATAACAGCAAATTGTCGTCGATTGGCCAAGTCCGATATTGGAAAAATCTAAGTCCCTTTTCTCGCGGCGATGATTTCCGTGCTGTCGGATGAAGACTCGAAAGCCGCAAGGATGAAGCAGAAACTGATAAACGACGTGCACGTGAAGGAAGAGACGCGATCGTTTCTCAGCTTCTTCAGGGAGAACCTCAGCATCTCTCAGTCGGATCTCGAACAGGGTTTCAACAAACATCGATTCCGGCCGAACAGAAATACGATTCTGAGTGTTACGGCTTTGTTGATCGCCCTTCTCTGCCTGGGCCTCGAAAGTTGGCGGTTCCATTGTTCTTTGGTCAATGCTCGCGAGATAGAGGAGCTGAAACGAAGCGTGGAGAGTCTGAAGCATCGTTTCTTGGAAGAGGATCTACTGGACGAGCTGAAAGCCTTTGAAGAACAGGTAGTGATCCTTTTTCTTTCTTTCTTTTTTTTTTTTTTTCTCGTGAGTAAATGGAGCACGAGGAAAGTTGAGTGTCACGTGCCGGTAGAATTACTTACTTTGGCCACCGTGTGTAATTCGATCGTTCCTCTTTTGTCTTTTGGACTACTTTCAGATTGTTATTATCATTGTTATTGGAAACTAACGATTCGCAGAATCAGATTCAACGCGAAAAACTTCAATTGTAATATCTTCCTTCTATTTGTTTACCTTCTTTTTGCGCGAGTACTCGTCATTTGATGCCTCGGATTTTGAAGTCACTTTTACTATTATTCTCGGTGATTCTTGGAGATTCGTCTCGGTGTCAGAAAATATCCCAGCCTTCGGCTATTTTTACCCCAAAGGCTTCTTTATTTTCGTATCTCTTCCTCCTTCTATAATCTTCTCGCTGATAAACGAAACTAAACAAACAGTTGCTTGTCTCTTTCCAAAAGATACCTAAAAAAAAAAAAGGAACTCTTTTCCTGTGACTGATTAATTTGCAATAACAGCAATCGTTATGGAACGATTAATCCCCTCGATGTTAGAAAATATAAATTTTTCTCTTGTTCTGGAAGAAATGAATACGCAAATATGTAGCTTCTACTAAATTAATCGAGACAGAAACGACGTCGACATTCTTTACATTGATATTAAATACACGCGATAACCTTGCGCGGCTCTCCTTTCGCAGGTCTTCGCATTACGCGAGGAAAGCGATAAAAGAAATTAGGTCATCAGTGTGTCGGGTAAACGCTAAAGATCATCCGTAGTTGATCGAACCGGGGCTTTTTCACGGTTCGATAACCTCTCCCGACGGCTCAAACCAGTACCGGCCGTTCTCAATGGAGAAACGATTATGCGAATTATGCAATTCTACGTGGAACCCTATTCTCGTTCAATTCATGTATGTAAGATGCTAATGTAACATTGCTTGCGTCACGTGATCGGAGATATTCGACGCACGCTGGATGGAACCGTAACTCGATCACCTTGAACGTTTTTGAAGATCTATTAAAATAGCTCTGTTAACAAAGATTGTTTAGGTTAGGTAAAGGGGAGGGGTCGTAATATTTTGTATTATATGCAGAGTGGACTGAAAATTACCTCTTACTGAAATAAATCCGTATTTTTTGTGACAAATATTTTTCTGAATTTCGTTTTTTTACGGATCAAAGTAGATAAATTAAATTAAATTTGAAATTGATAAAATTAATTTTTTTTTTTATGTTTCAATGTTTTATTGAAAAAAGTAGGTGAGAAGAAACTTTTGACCTACTTTATGATATAATATACTGTTACATTAATTAATTGTAATATTGTTATGATATATTATATTAGTTTATTTTCATAAATATTATATATTATAATATATTCTTATAATATTAACCTCTTGCGCTAGTAACTGGTTCACAGACCATAACGAGTGACCAAACGGTCATTCCAGTGCAAGAGATTAATAACAATACTTAGATATACTTTCTTAAATAGAACTGTAATATTAATATAATACTTGTAAATACTTTTTTAAATGGAACTCTATATTTTTTTCACCTTAGCTTTTGTCCTGTAAAAAAAAGTATCAAGCTACTCGTTTCAACATTAATTTTGTAAACTCTTGAGCTACTATCATAAATTTCACACAATTAAGATTGAAATATCTCCTAAAACTAATAGTTTATCGATGTGCACAGAGAATGTCGAGCCAATGGAGCAAGGAACATATCATTTCACTTAAAAAAAGTGAAAGTGATTTTAAAATCACCTTGAATCCCTCCATCTGTATATCACATTACAATATGCATACAATACAAATCAATAGATAATAATATAATATATAGAAATAATATTATCATATTATATCTGTACTAATTATAAGTTTCTTTTTCACACCCTCGAAAACAAAGACATTTAAAAAAAGACAGTCAAATTCACGTGGCTCACCCTGTACATAAGTACATCGTTCGTGTCCGCCGTAAGACACGAGCGTAAACATCCTGACGAATCAACGATTTATCAATCAGCTTATCAGTTAGCTGTCCGATTGAATGACATTATTATCATTAAATCGGCATTTTGTTCGCAGCTGTACACCGAGGAATTCAACGATGACAACGACGACGACGACGACGACGACGACGATGATGATGACGACCCAAATGAGGCGGATATCGACAACGTGGACTACGACTCGAATTACGACGACGACGACGCATTCTCGTCGCGTGATTACTCGCGCCCGGCGTTCGGCGCTCGGCCGTCCGATTTCCCGGACTCCTCGTCGACGATAGCCCCGGTGCCCTCTCCGTCGGAAGCCGGCGCGGACGAGTTGATCCTGAAGTGGGCGGCGGCAACGGTGGCAGCGTACAAGGCCGAGGCTAAGCACAAGCAGGAGTTGCAGAGGAGGGGCCACAGAGTTGAGCCGCACCTGGAGGAAAAATTGGATAATCGTGAGAACAATACCAAACGAAAGCGGAACGTGTTGGACGATACAGATCTTCTGCTGAACTGGCGAGCGAATTTGGAACGTAAACGGTCGACCGACAGAGAGAGTCGCAGCCCCAAACGGTGGTTCGTTAAGAGGCAAGAGTCGTACACAGGTTTCCGGGACATGTCCAAGGACAGCAACGCCGAGGAACAACAAAATACGTTAGTCGTGTTTCGCAGTATCATCCCAGTAGTATAAAAATATCGTTTTGGATTGTGACAATATTTTTCGTTTGACATGAATGGTGTAGAATGGTCAATAATTGGTCAAGAATATTTTCTTTCGAAGATCTTTTCTTTTTTTTGGGAATTTTCAGGGTCATTGACGTCCTTTTTTGTATGCATTTATACTATTAATTTATTCCATACAACTACACGTATAATTATTTTGTATTTCTACTTAGCAATACATATAATTATTAACAATACATACATGTACTTAATAATATATGCAACTCCTTTGTACCTCATATAACTATTGAGTATTTCTTTCTGAATTCCTGACAAATTTCGACGCACTAATATCGGGATTCCAATTGCTAGAAAAGATTATCATTGACGATGTTATGTTAATGACAAATAGTAAACATGTTTGTTCACATTTATTATTATTAGGCTCCCGATGTTGGCGTCTTGGCCAAGGTTTCTAGTCTCGATAATAGAGATAAATTTCTATGTAAAATTTAAATGTTCAAGATCGTATTTTTTTTTCTTTTTACATATCTGAACGTATCTTTTTATTATCATCTACACAATGTAATAAATAAAAATAAAAAAAAAATCAACGACCTTAAAAGCTCTGAAAAAAGAAATGACCTTGGAAAAAATATATTCTCACCAGTCACATTGGCCTTTTGATACCGGTCATGTGTTTGCATCATCACAATTCAGAATGTTTAGGTGGCCTCGCTTAAATGAATCACCCTGTATAACAGGCAAAATTTTGTTCAAAAATGAGTGGGAATTTGATATTGTGTGTTATTAGAAATTTCCATAGGTATTATATTAGATATAATAGTTATTAATATTAATATTAATATATTTATATAATATATTACATATATATTTATAATATTAATATATTATAAATAATATTTTATATATATATAAAGAATATTATTAATATTATTTATATAATATATTATATAAATTTATATTTATAATATTAATATATAGTATGATATAATATAATATATAATTATTAATATTAAAATAATAATTTATACAATATTATGTTAATAACATATTATATTATATTATATCATATTATCACATACTAGATATTATATTAGGCACGAGGTGTTAAATCTAATTTCTTTGTTCGTCACAGGTCCATTGTAATCTCCAGCAGACATCCTCCGAAGAAGTACAACACCCACACGTCTTCAAACAACACCGAGACGTCTTCCTTGGAGCGTGATGACAACAACAAGTTCAGTGTAGAAGCGCGCACAGCCACGTACAACCGCACTCGAAAGGTTGCTCACAAACTTCGAAAAAACATGAACTCTCGAGGAGTGGTCGCCGTTCATTACCACGGGGATGGTGGCAAGATCTCGTCGCGAGATCAGAACGCTGGTAACGGGAAGATCCGTCATGGTAGCAGCACGTTCAAAGCTTGGAAGCCGAGCGACTGGGTAACTGATTCCGGCATGAGCAAGCACTTCAGCATGTCCGAGGGGGCTCTCACCATTTACGAGACAGGATTGTATTTAATTTACGCGCAGATCCATTACAACGACGATCACGACGAGATTGGGTTTCACTTGACAGTGAACGATCGGCCTGTTCTTCAGTGTATGGTAAGGACAAAAAAAAAAAAAAAAAAAAAAACGAAAATTAATTGTTACTCTCAACTATCTGTACAATGTCGCATTCAGAGATAGAAATAATTGTGATCAATGTTTCTTTTAGATTGACAATTCGGGCCATTCGCGCAATATCAGCCAGACCTGTTTCTCGGCGCAATTGGCGCATCTCAAGAAACACGACGTTCTAACATTCAAGGAGGCCAGCTCGCCGAGATTCGTCATTTTCGACCAAAAGAACAGTTTCTTCGGGCTGGTGAAACTCGGAGAACTGAAGAAGCTATAGTGTTATCGGTTATTTAAATACGCACAACTGTAGACTGCAGATTTTTGTGCAAACTCGTGTTCTTGATAATATAATTATGAAAAAGAAAAAAAAGAAGATGGACATTGGTAGAAAATTGCGTCACGTGCCAAAATATTGTCGAATATATTTTGAATGTTTTATATATTTTTTTGCACTTTAAAATGCACGAAACTTCGCAGTCTAATAATCAAACCTTGATACCAGTGAACCTCTCTGGAAACGAGAAGCGCTTGTCTTACTCTAATGAAAAGTAACTTATTGAGCTGTTTATAGCTGCGACGATGATAGCTGAGACGCAGGCCGACTTTGTTCGTTAAAAATTAATTGATTAATTGATCCGTTTCCACTGCGTACACCATCGCTATAAATAAGATCTCTGCGTTTTATATTACTAAAAAATTTTCCACAGAGTCCATAGATAGCGAGAGTGAAGTTAAGTTAAGATCTCCTGTACATCCAAAAAGAAAAAAGAAAGAAACCTTCAGCGGTTCAGTCTTGCAATCAACGTGTTTACACGGTTTAACAGACAGTGTCGCAAACTAGTCTTTTCTCGCAGTACAGTATGGCTCTTTCACTGCCAATTGGAATCAAATCTCCAGGGGAGTGCATTAAGTCGACGATGAAATTCGGTTTCAACAACTTCGTGGGGAATATCGATGAGCTGCGAGCTAAGCTATCCTTGAGAGTCAAGCTTGAATCTTGGCGAGGATATTGTTTCAGAAAAATAGTTTCTGGACAGGTCGTGTCTCTCTCCATATAGTGGTGAAAGGTGTCCTCTTCTATCGGGACTCTCACCTGATAAAAACGTTCCAAGCTAAGAAATCGATCGAAATCTCAACAAACAAAATAAAAGAACCCAAGATCCTCCGTGCCTCCGGCACTGCGATTTCGATCCAGGCTTTTCCGTACTGTCCCCGGACCAGGGCAGCTGGCAAGTGCACCCTGTCCGCGATTACTTTGAAGAGGAGGGCTCTCTCAAAGTAAGAGCCGACTTTCAACATCCCCAGCGGGATCACGCTGGTCTCTATGGTCCTCTTGATCTCCTTCAGGTGAATTTCCAGCTGATGATCCACGCATCTGACCAGAGGATCAGGGCCTGACATCTGTCGCGCCACGAACTTTGCCAGCATCCTGGCGCGCGAGGCCACATAACCAACGTCCACGAATCCTCGTGTCGTTCTCGACACTCTGCGTTGGAAAGCGCGAAGGTTGTAGGAGTTTGCGCGACGAGGGACTCGCATGCGAGGCTTTCTTACACGTTCTTCGACTCGGCCGCGATCAACTTGCATTTGAATAGCTCCACGTAATCGTAGAGGGAGGAGTCGCACTGGAGGCCGAACTTGGAGTCCATCGTCAATTGTAATATCTCTCTGGACAAGAAAACGCCTCTGTCGTTGCTCGCTTGCTCGGGCCCTGAAAAAAAAAGAACACTTGAAAAATGAGAAAAAAGTGGGCAATGCCAGTTACAGTAGTGCCCACTTGAGCTTAAGTGGGGAGGTATATCCTGCTAAATATCGGTATCAGGTGTCACTCTGTTTGGCACGGGTGTCATATTTAACGGTAAAGTAGAGTGAAACAGTCCCAATTCTAAGAATTGGTGGGGATAGTTAGCGACGAACGTTTGACTAGGCATTATTCTATTACCTTCCAAGCTTAGTTCGTACGGATTTTCCTGAATACAATTCACCACGTAGATGGGCTCCAAGGGGCAGAACTTGAAACGGAAGATATCATCCAATATAGGAAAGCTAATTGCAATAAATACAAATATATAGAGCGTGGCGAGGGAGTGTGAGACGAAATGTAAGGAATACCTGCAGATGTTTCTTCGCAGTACATAAAATCCGTCTCGAGTGACGTCGTGCAAGGAGAGTCGCCCGGTGAAGGCGAATTTGATTGGCAGATGCGCATCGAATAAGGTTTCTATACACGTGTCCCATGATGGAACGACTCGAGCGGTCGATCGGTTGTTCAGCATACTACGATCATCGTTTTTGTAAGTAGTACACGTGACGAAATTGTGCTTCTTTCTTTCTTTTTTTTTTTT